TCTAGCTTCTCCTTTCGTTGAAATTTTTCCTCTTTGGGTTTGGGTTACATTGCCTGCCTCATCTCTTAATTTTTGTTGTTGTTGTCTTGTTTTGTTTTGTTTGAAGACTTTTTTATTTTTTGGAAAGGCAGATTTACAGTGAGAGAGACAGAGAAAGATCTTCCATCCCCTGGTTCACTCCCCAAATGGCCACAATAGGCAGAGCTGAGCTAACATGAAGTCAGGAGCCAGGAGCTTTTTCCCAGCCTCCTGCTCTGGTGCAGGGTCCTAAGGTTGTGAGCAGTGCTCTATCCCAGACCACAAAGAAGGAGCTGGAAAGGAAGTGGAACAGCTGGTATACTAACCAGCACTCACAAGGGATCCCAGCGCGTACAAGGTGACTGTAGCCAGTAGGCTGCTGTGCTGAGCCCAACCTAAATGTCTTTAAAGAAATACAATTACATTTGTACATCTTTAAAATTATCTTTTTGGTATAAAACCTGACCATTCCCCCATAAATATACTTCAGGTGACTCTCATTTTCTGTGCTATATAGCTGTAAAGTGATTACTTGTGATTGCCTCATCTCATGCCTTCATCTACAAACATCTTTTAGTTGTGTAGTTTGAGCTCTATTTCATTTTTTGAACAGGTATCTTAAGCTATGCAGATAATGAAAATAGTGAAACTTCATTTACACGTGCCACATAATTTTATATTTTTAATTTGTGATTTTTTTTGTCTCCCAAATTGTATATTATTGGATTTCACAAAATGTAGATCTGTCTTTTTGCCTGGAATTCCCTATTTTGATATTTGGTGACTGCTATTCGCTTCTTTGAAACTTACAAAGTCAAAACTTTTTCAGGGAAGATTTCCCTGATTATCTACAGACTGATCTAGACCCTCCTGCCAGTGTATACAGCCACCATGTCTCTTGTTGAGTGCTAATTGGATTAATTGCTTCTCTTACTCAGTGGGTTGTAAGTTTAACAGCATGGCCCATACTGAATGAATGAAAAGAAGCAACTTTCTTCCCAAGAAAATCTCAATTTTTTACTCTCTCCAAACATACACAAGAGGATCTTCAAAAAAATTCAAAAAAATGTGTATTATGAAAAAATCTTACATAAATTTCAAAAAATAGCCACAATAGCCAGAGCAGAGTTGTTCTAATGCAAGAAGCATCTTTTCGGATCTCGCACATGAGTGCAGGGTCCCAAGGTTTAGGGCCATCTTACTTTGCTTTCCCAGGCCACAAATAGTGAGCTGGACCAGACATGGAGCAGTCAGGACACAAACTGGTGCCCCAATGAGATGCAGTGCTTGGAGGAGGAGGATAAACCTACTGAGCTATTGTGCTGGCCTCTCAATTGCATTTTTGAAGTCTCCTCATATATGTACACTAAAGGATAATATAAAATAACATGTCTAATTGGTCATAAGATCATATTTTAGCAACTTTCTATTAATTTAGTTTTTTTACTCTATGTTTTTATTAGAAAGCGAGAGATCCATCAAATTACACATATAATTTATGAAGTGATGTTTTGGAGGTTTCTTGCTTGTTTTCATAATAGAAAGATCTTTTACTTTTCCCCCCCTCCATGTTAATAAGAACACACCAAATAGTTATGAGAAGGGCAAAGCTTAACATTAGGAAATTGTATCCATTAAATGATTTTTTCTGCCAGCAAGTCAATTAATTTCCGGAAAAGTGAAACTTCCAAACCTTAAAATCTTGAAGCAGTTTTTGAATGTAGCAATGGCACCACTTTAATTGAAGTGTTTCTAATTAACTAGAAAGGGAGCTTGACTTCTACATCCATAGTGTCAGTCAAATCCCTACGTTCTTTTTCCCCCACTAAATGCTTATGTTAACTAATAGCTGCCATTTGTCTAGTTGAGGTGGTAGAATATGACAATGGAAAAGTAAAGTGAAACAAATGTTTGGATTAATATTCCCCATAAACTATAGAAATGATCCCTGAAAGTATAGTCTTCTTATCTATTACATATCAACACGAGCTCCTGCTTTGCAGTAACACTATTGCTGCTCGATTTTTGTCACAGCTCTGTTTCCAAGCCACAATTTTTAAAAATCAGTCTCCTGAGTACGCCCTATTTGGTAGAAAGATGTCTATATCTTCAGTTTATAATGCAAATTAGGGGGGCTGGTGCAACAGCTCAACTGACTAATCCTCCACCTGCTAGTGCCAACTAGGATCATTTGGGTGCCTATTCCTGTCCCAGCTACTTCGTGTTCTACTTCCTATTCAGATCCTATGTATGGCCTGGGAATGCAGTGGAGGATGGTCCAAAATCTTGGAACCCATGTGGGAGATCTGGAAGAGGCTCCTGGCTGATGGCTTCAGATCTGCTCAGCTTTGGCTTTTGCTGCCATTTGGGGAGTAAGCCAGCGGATGGAAGATCTTTCTGTCCTTCTCTCCGTAAATCTGACCTTCCAATATAAAGAAATAAATCTTAAAAACATGCAAATTATTAAATGTGCATATTTCCCATTTTTTGTGAAAATAAAAAAATGAAAAACATTACACATTTTGTTTTTGTATATTGGCTTACATGGATATACATTAAGCAGTGAACAGTGGCCAAGGAAAAGAGAGACTTTTTACTTTTTTATTTATGTATTTGTATTTGAATGCTTCAGGAAAAATGTACTTTTATAGTACATTAGTTTTATGGTAATAAAACATGTAAAGAACAATGGTTAAATGAGTAAAGGCTTTCACCTGTTATATGCTTTCAACAAGAATGTACATGCCTATTTACATTATGTAAATATTTTTCCTGTGTATTATTTACATACTGTGGATTCACATCTTCTAGGTAAAAGTCTACCCGATGGCAGTGCTAGATTCCCAAATATTGGTTTTTAAAAGGAATGCTTTCCAGTTCTTCTTGTCTTCATACGTTCTATAGTGATTACACGCAGTTCAGTTTTTCCTAGAACCTAACACATTTATATCAGAAGAGTATTGGATTGCCTAGAAAGGACTTCTTCCTTCCTTCCTTTCTTCTTTCCTTCCTTTCTTCCTCCTCTTTCTTCTTGCTTCCTAATTTCCTTCCTTCCTTCTTTCAGACTGATTTTTGTGCATTCATTTGTGCATTCAAAAATACTGATTTTATCTAGCTTGTGCTTTGTCCTTAATATTTAAAGGATATTATTACAGTATGGGACACATCTTGCAATTTTTTTGGAGTTTTCCATGTTCTTTGTGGGTATACAGTTTTGTTGATTTACACACAAAGATACTTCTGTATAGCCTGGAAGGGGTACAAAGAAGCTAAATCAAAACTCTTCTTTTAAATGTTCCCTTTGTGGTTAGCGTAAAAGGTAAATATTTTGTATAACTCAAAGTTTAGTGGCTGTTTATCTCTATAATTACAATGAAAACTATTAGAGGATTATTTTCACTGCCATTTTCCTTCACACATAGGAACTTTGGAAATTAATTAAAAATGTCTTTTATTTGAAAGGGAGTCAGTGAGAGGGAGAGGGAGGGAATGAAGGAATGACAGAGATGAAGAGAGATTGGTTTCACCTGCTAGTTTACTTCCTGCAGGACTGCAACAGCCAGGATCGAGTGAGTATGAAGCCGGCAGCTGAGAACACAATCATGCCCTCCCAGATGGGTGGTAGGGAATCCTTTGATTTAAGCTTCCCAGGATGGGATTAGCATGAAGCTACAGAGGCAGACCTGGAGCCAGGATGGGAACCGAAGCCTTTAATCAACTGGTTCACTCCCCACATGGCTGCAAAATATTGGGATTGTACCAGGACCTTGGGTGCAGGGGCCAGAGTACTTGGGATCCTGCACTGTTTTCATCCGCGCATTAGCAGGGAGCCGGGTCGGAAGTGCAGCAGCCTGGACTCCGACAGGGTTCATACGGGGTGACCACTTGGGATCATGATGCCACAGATGGCTGCTTTCCTCGCGTTCCACACTGTCCCTCAAGACCTGTTTCTTTTGTATGTTTCCGATACATTTAAAAAGCCCTTATTGACGTTAACATCTCTCCACTCAAAGGACCAGTTCGGTATTGCGTTATGCAGCAGCCTTGAAATATTTGAATTGTGTATGTGTTTTGGGAGCTTCCTTCTCTAGTCACCAACCAGATTTAAGAAGATTCAATCAAGAAGCTTACAAAGTATACACACTGACGTGTTTTCCCCCGACGCGCCCTAGATACCGTGTGCTCTAAAGTGCGGGAAATTCAGAGGAAGCTCTGGGGCTCGGGGCTGGGCGTGGCTTTTGAAAGAAACCTTTCTTGGAGATGCGTGAGCCACTTCCAGAACTCCTTCCAGGCCCCAGGAAAAAGGCTTTCGCAGGTCACCTCTCACTACAGGCATTTTCTGGGGGACTCCTGTCTCTCGAGCCAGTCTGTGTCGGCTTGAGTGTGGGAAGAGGAGATTTTCTAGCAACTGGTTTTGCGGTTCCGGGTAGCAGGGCACCTCCCTCTCCGTCGTGTGAGTTCCCGGAGGTTCGGCCCTGGCTAGCTGGGCCCGCCCAGGCTGCCGAGGACCTCTGGGATCAGCCAGGCGAGGCAGGGGTCCCCCAAGAGCCCGCACCCCGCGCCGGCGGCGAGGGAGACGGCTGACGGAGCCGCTCGTGGCTGGGGGCCTGCAGAAGGGAAGCACGGAAAGAGGACGGCGGGCGCGTCGTCTTCCACCGGCTGGGTGGGGCCTCGGGGACAGCCTTCCCCCAGGCCCATTGGCTTCCCTGAAGGGGTTGTTATGGTAACACATGACCGAACAGTCCCTTACGAGCGGGCCAATGAGGACGGCCGTCTTTTCCAGCGCACCTCTGAACCGTAGGTGTTGCGAAAACCCGGGCAAGGGCCGGGGAAGAAGGAGGAGCTAGGACGTCCTGCGGAAGGGCCGAGGGCGGGGCCCGTGACGTTCCCGGGCGAGCCAATCACGCCCGCAGTGGCCAACGGCCCCGCCCTCTTACCGCACATTTGCCCTCCCCTAGCTCATTTCGCACGACGCAGCGGTTGGGAACACAGACATTTTCGGAGCTGGAGCCGCCGCTGCCGCCGCCATTTTGTGTCTGTGGAGAAAGAAGCGTCTGTGGCGGCTGGAAGTGGACAGAGATCCCCCGTGAGACGGCGGCGTTGCGCACCCGAGCTTCCCTCTGTGTCGTCCCCCAACCCCCCTCCGCGGTCAGCATGTGGTGAAGCCGGAGCCGCGAGAGACCCGGGGAGAGGAAGAGGAGTCGCCAGGGGAGGCGGGGTGTCGAGAGCGGCTTCTGCTTCAGCTGCGGCGGACCTCGGAGGGGGGCCCGGCGCAATGTCAGAGCAGACGCCGGCCGAGGCCGGTGCTGCCGGGGCCCGGGAGGACGCCTGTCGGGATTATCAGTCATCGCTCGAAGACCTGACCTTCAATAGCAAACCGCACATCAATATGCTGACCATTCTAGCCGAGGAGAACCTGCCCTTCGCCAAGGAGATCGTCTCTCTCATCGAGGCCCAAACCGCCAAGGTTTTTATACACCCCGCAGCCTCCTATTCTTCTAATACTCCCTTGATTTTAGTGTCAGCCTCATCCCAGGTCTCGCTTCCATCCGAAGGGGGGTCAGCGTACCTCCTCCTCTCCAACCCCCACCCCCACCCCCAAACCCCCTCCGACTCCGGCTGGGTGTCTGGCCCGGGCTTCCGAGCGTGGGCCTCTCTGCGGGGAGGGAGCGGGGAGGCCAAAGGGTGGAGCCCCACTTCCGCTCACCAACTCCCTTATTTAGGCCACCGCATTGTGTATCCGGACTCCAGCACGCTTGCCTAGAGCCCTTTTGGGGTGGGGGAAGACTTAAAGGCAGTTTGGGGGTGGGGGAAAAAGAGCTCAAACAAGCCATTTTCAGGCCCGGGAAGGTGGGAAGTGGCTCTCGCATTGCCCCTCGCCCGCCACCCCCTGCCCTTTTGGGTAATCGTGCTCTGTGGGTTGGAAGGAGGTGAAGGGGGACCTGGGAGCGAGCTGTTGAAGGGTGGGAATAGGGGAATCGGCCCCGAGTGGAGCAGCCGCCTGTTAGGAGCCCAACATGGCGCCCGAGAAGCACATGATGCGAAAGGGAAGAGAGGAGAATCCATTCCCTGCCAGCCAGGCAGCTGCTCACACCCGTCAGCCCCATTTTTGGGGTGGGGGCGGCTAGATAAAACTTTAGTCTCCTATTGGAGGGTGTAGTCTGCCCCAAAAATGTGGGAAACTGGGCTGAGGGTGGGGTTTGGGTGGGGGAGGAGATCTAATCCAACCTGTAGGTGGAGAATCGGCCCAGTGGGTAACAAGTTACTTGCAGTTTCTCTGAGAAAAAAAGTTCAGCCCCTCCTCCTCTTCCTTTTCTGCTCTTCTCCCTTTCCCGGATAGTGAAGGCGTGCTTTTCTTCACCCCTTGTCGAAGTGGTCCTCAGCCACCTTACATTTCCCTGTAGTCCTCTTCTGTGGATGAATATGTGGGAGCGATATGTCATTTAAGTTACTGTTACATTTAGTTATATTGAATTTTGATAGCGTCCCAGTACTACGGTTTAAGTAACTTTTTCAAGCTTGTATTTACGGTTAAGTTTTTTTAGTTGTTAGTGATTGCAATGATCAGGATGAGCCTCCTTTTAGCAGAGTGAACCCCTTTTACAAGGCCACTTTAACAACAACCACCAATATATTGTTTAGAGGCGGTTTCTGTCTAGTGTAAAACTGAGTGGTCTGACTAATAAATGGTTTTGAAATGTGTGACTGGTATTATAAAATTTGTGAATAAAACATATAAAATATGTATTTGTCTTTTTTATTTACCTTTGTAAGGTGTAGAATTTGTTTCCAAGACTTATTTTTATCTACGTGGTTGTGTGTTTTAAACAAAAGTCTTAAAGTGACTTGGGTTCATTCTTCTTTAGGTTCCATCCACTGTTTGGGGTCAATGTGTTCACAAGGCACACGGTTTCAGGTGGTCCTGTCATACCTTAATTTAAAGAGGAAGAAAAGGAAGTTTTTTTTTCCTTATGGGCTCAACAGGTTTCATGCCCAGCCTGACAGCTAAACTACAAGTCTTCTCATTCACTCTTCTGTGAATGTGTGAAACAGCTGTATGTTCTTTTTCTACCGTATGAGACGTAAAAAGGAAACATCCCTCATACTCGACGTCCTTTTTGTTAATGCCATGAAACATATTAAACATAAAAAACTTAGTTTTTGCCGTGTTGAAGGCAAAACAGCACTTAATGCTTTTAAGAAAAGTTTTTTTTAAAGAAACCCGTTTGGTTTGTGATTTTAAGTATTATTCCACAGTGCCTAATTAGCAGCTCAGTCAGTTTGTCACTCAAAGAGCAGTTTCCTTGCTGGGTTTTATGGGATCCAGAACAACTCCAAGAACTGAAAACTAAATGCCTAGTGTAGTGATCACATAAAGTTTGTTGTGTATCGGTGCACAGAGTGGTGAAAATAGAACTATTTTGCTGGAAAAAGACAGCTGAGATTTTTGGGACACACATTTCCTGGCTATTTTTGTAAAGCCAGCTGGAGGAAAAGATGTAAAAGTCACTTTCTGGGGAACTATCTTAATTTGGGTTTGGGTTGAGAGGGTGGTGGGGGGGGAGAGTCTTCTGTCATTTATTTGGTAGCAAACCAGCTTGGTTTTTTTGTTTCTGAAGGTAAATGTTTGTCCTTATTTAGCATCTCCGCCTTACTAAGTTCACACCTAATTTGACTCCTCTCAAGGCAGTAGTAGCCAAAATGAGTATTACATATAATGACTTCACTTGTTCAATAAAAAATTAGTCTGCTGAAGAGATGTCTGGGTATTAAAACAATCCTGTGTATATCTTAATAGGTACAATATAACTAAAAGTGTATCAAACATGACATCCTAACAGGAAGACACAGCCTAAAGCATTTGACATGTTGATACTTAATGTAGTTTATCCACATGCAGTGGCCTTGTGAACTCTTTTTTATTAGTTCCTTAAAAAGTTTTTCATACAAAGTTATTCAAAAGTTTCAGTAAGCCAACTTTGGTTGTAAAGGTTATCAGAAGCAAGAGCATTTCCACACACTTGTATGGGCAATTCATTTTGTCAAATGGCATTGTGAGCCTACCCTAGCTACAGGTAGCCATGGGGAAGGTGGTGTTCAGGGTTTCCAATACACAGGGTGGGTAAATAGGGGTAACCTAGGTTTGTTTTTGTTTTTCCAATCACGGATGCTCCTGTGGAGTCAGAGTTGACAGTTGATATGGTGTGTTCTAATGCTCCTCAACAAGTCTGTGAACCTGCTGATGCTTTCTGGAAGCTTGCTGTGCCTTCTGAAAGCCAGTGGTGGGTAGGCATTGCAGCTGATCTGGGGCAACATTCCACTACACTGGCTCTGCACAAATATAGAACCCCTGGCTTGTGCGTGTCAGAGGAAATTTATTTCGACGGAGAGTCCATGCTGTGAAGAAAACCTTCAGAACAAATCCTGGTGTCCAGAGTCAAGTTGAACCTGCTTTTCGTGACTCAGCTGCTGCTCCATCCAGCTTTTCTTGTATCAGTAAACTTGCACCTTCTTGCATGTTAATGTGCAAGTGTATTGACTTCATCTGTGTATTTAATTCCTTTGTTTATTTGGATCATAGAAAAGTAATCCTAATGATTTTACAGGTAACAAAAACCATAGATTTTAACATATAAAAACCTGTGGAAACTAGTTTTTTTCCCCTTTGTCAGAGGCCAAAAAATTTGTTGAACCTGGGCACACCATTATAAATTCATATGGGTCCAAAGGGAACACTTGGATTAAGGGAAATTATTTTTCCTCCTTTTAGTTATTTTCATCATTTAAAAGGCCTTTTTTTTTTTTAACTACATGCACCTGAAATCCCATTGAATGCTAAATGAGTATACTAGAGATTATAATTTTTCTTTCCGATAACTGTGGTAACTCAAAGAGCATTGTAAGAAAATTGGACAGAATTGAACACTTTCATAAAGGTTAATACTTCAAAAAAAATGTAGTACCAACAAACTAGAGGTCTGTATTGTAAAACTCCCTTTTAAAAATAATTCTTTGGTGGCAATTCATAATACTAAACTTATCAGTTTCTTTTTATTCAGGCTCCTTCCTCAGAGAAGCTTCCTGTTATGTACCTTATGGATTCTATCGTGAAAAACGTTGGAAGAGAGTATCTCACTGCCTTTACTAAAAATCTAGTTGCAACATTTATTTGTGTGTTTGAAAAGGTATATATGCATTTAGAAACATTTGAATTTTTTAAGAGTATGTTCCTGATTAAATAAATGCTTACCTTGTGTTGGGTTTTCTTGGGTGGTGAAGAGTTTCATTCTTTTGGACATTTATTGTATTTCAAAAGACATTGGCTTTTGTCAAAGTTTAATGTTTTTAAATACAGAGTTTAGGATTTTACATTATCCAGGTATAGATGGGTTTGCTTTTAGAATTGTGATTTTTTTTAAATTGGATTTCTTTAATCTGGTTGAAGAGGTCTTTTGTCAATAGAGTGTAGGGGAAAAGATGAAGCTGTCAAGAGTCCTTCAAAATCTAAATTTCTGGTGTTAGGGTGTTGAATCTTCCCATCTGGAGGTAAATGAAGCCTCATCCTCCAGTGTAATTAATTGCTCAAACTGATTTTTTTTCTTTTTAGAAATCCTTTTTCTGCTTTGTTCGAGTGTGTTTATGTGAATGTATGTGTGTGTGAATGGTAGACTGGTTAATTGCTTTCATTTTTATTTTAATTTTATTTTTTTCCCTTCATTTGTGTTCAGAAGAAAGACATTAGTTTCCATGCCTAGGGATTGTAAATTCCTTGTGTAGCGTTGTGTCTGACAGTTTGGTGTTAAATAGAACAGTGTTAAGTTGAGGAATAGAGAATATGGGCAGGTAGTTTTCTGCTTGACAGTCTTTGTCTTTTATACCCAGAAAAAAGGGTGCTTAAAAGAAATTGGGTTTTATGTTACATTCTGACAGATGATTGGTGGTAATTTTAGTAGATATGTCTGCTGTGTATGGAGAAATCCTAATAGTTACTAGGGAATTGGCTGTTAAGAGACTGGTTGGTAATTTTTTTTAAGTACTTAGGAGAAATAGAGAAATACCAGTGACCTGTATTTTGGATTAGAATTGTAGACTTTTGCTAAATACTGCTTATCTGGGGGTGTAGTCAAGGAGAAACCAACTTTTTATTATGGAAGTTGGAGGAGTTTAACTAACCTCTTGGTTCAGTTTCAGTATGTTGAAATTCATTGAGTGTTTGGTAGCATTCCTTTTCTGAATCTCAGCATCCAAACTATAGTTGGTCAAAATGACCTTGTAGTAAGTATGTTATTTTTTGAAGACATGAATGTAATTAAGCTTTTATTCTAAATTTAGTTTCCCCAAGTACTTTGGCTTTTTTGATGGCGGACTTAATAAACGTGTATCATACTCACTGCAAATGTGAGCCTGTATGTTAGATAAAGCAAAAGCTCAGCCATCAGTGGTTAAGATTTGGTAAATTTAGGTGACTAAAATGCCCTCCATACCACAGAATAACTTGCTCATGGATAACCAACCATGTTACATTGTTGAAGGTTAGTGAAATGGTTTTGTCTTAATTTTTACTCTCAATTTTAGGAGTTTGAGCCATCTTCTAATTTTGTATTTTCATTCAGAGTTGAGTAACAGGGTATAAATTTGCCTAGTTATTTGCATGAAGGCTAGGTGATAATGACTCGTTTTTTTCAGGAAGACAGATTTCCTGGTTACATTTGCTTTTTGCAAACTAAAATTCATCTTTAGTAAATTGTTAATTTATATATTTTCAAAGAGCAATTACAGTTCTTTATATGAAATAGAACAGATTTATGTACCTGTATAATATATGAAGCATTCTATAGTAACTTAACAAGCCATAGAATTGTTCTGTTGTTCTAGGTGGATGAAAATACTAGAAAAAGTTTATTTAAATTACGTTCCACATGGGATGAAATATTCCCTTTGAAGAAACTTTATGCCCTGGATGTCAGAGTTAATTCATTAGATCCTGCTTGGCCTATTAAACCTCTGCCCCCCAATGTGAATACATCTAGCATCCACGTGAATCCTAAATTTTTAAATAAATCGGTAAGTTAATATGGATGTGTACACTGATTTTAGCTTTTCTGAAGCCTCTCGCCAGAAGCAAAAGTAGAATACTTTGTACTGAATCAATTTAGTTGGAAAATATCTTAAAATTTTTGTTTGAAAATACATTTGCCTTAGTTATTGTGTAATATTTTGGGTTTTAGGTTCATGGAATTTTCTTTGTGCTTGATTGGCTATTTATGGATAATGTCACGTCAAGTTGTTTTTTAGTTACTTGACTACGTTTTTAACTGTAAAATATTTTTCCTGACATTATTTTTTTCTTGTAGCCGGAAGAGCCTTCCACACCTGGCACAGTGGTCAGTTCGCCCAGCATCTCCACTCCTCCAATTGTTCCTGATATACAAAAGAATCTTACCCAGGAACAACTAATAAGACAGCAGTTACTGGCAAAACAAAAACAGTTGTTAGAACTTCAGCAGAAAAAGCTGGAGCTCGAACTAGAACAAGCTAAGGCACAATTGGTAAGTGGTAAGATTGAGTGTTTTACCTATTTTAAACCTGTTTACAACAGGAAGTAGTTTGTGTATGAGTTGTGGTAACATTACCTTAGTTGTCTTTTCCTATTTTTATGTGTTAACTTATATATTAATGTGACCATGTTTTTATATTTTTATTGTAAGACTCACTTGATTATAAGCTAAATTATTTCTTGCAAACTGTTTTATTTTCCATGTATATATTTTATGAAGTATTTGTGATGTTTCAATATGAACAGAGAATGTACTGATAAGGAAAATTAGCATTTCTAACTTTGGAGACTTAGCTTCTCCTTTTTATATTTACAAAATGTCATTTCTTTATTGATTTGTTTTAGGGGATGATTTTTCACAGTATTTGTTTTATGAACAAAAATCAGGCTTGAGTCTACAAAAGGAAAATTGTCACAGTTAAGGAGACTGGGAAAATTATATATTTTTTTTAAAAAAAATTGTTTCATTTTATTTGGAAAGTTAGATACACAGAGAGAAAGATCTTCTTGGTGATTCAGTGCACAAGTGGTTGCAACGGCTGGAGCTGAGCTGATCTGAAGCCAGGAGCCAGGAGCTTCTTTCCTGTCTCCTGTGTGGATGCAGGGTTCCAAGGCTTTGGGCCATCCTCTACTGCTTTCCCAGGCCACAAGCAGGGAGCTGGATGGGAAGTGGAGCTGCAAGGCTTAGAACTAGCACCCATTTGAGTTCCCAGCATGTGCAAGGCGAGGACTTCAGCCATTAGGCTACCATGTGGGGCCCCAAAATTACATATTATTTTGCATGATTTGCTTACTTAGCCTGTGATTTTGAGAGTGAAAAGGCATAGGAAGGTGAAAATTTTTTTTAGGTTCCATTATGTTAAAGGAAAAGTGACAAGGAGTTCTTGCAGCAGCTGATTTGTTCAAAAAACCTGCAGGCAGGGTCATGGCCAAACTGAGTCATGAGCCAAAAAACCCTACCTGTGTCTCCCACATAGGTGACAGGGACTCATGTGCTTAGCTGTGATCTGCTGCGTCCCAGGTGCATTAGCAGGAAGCTGACTTAAAGCAGAGGTAGAGCCCTGGCTTGATTCCAGGCACTCTGATACAACTTGGGGGTGAGTCAAGTGGTCCCGCAGTGTTATTGCCGTAGAGTCCATTCCAAGGCAGAATTTTTAAGTTTATTAGATGCCACTTTGGGAGGAACCAGATTTTAGGGTATGACCGACTCCTGGAGTTTGCATTATCTTTCCTACTTTGGAGTCCTCATTAGGTAAAGGGAAGATTGTAGTATAAAACCCTAAAGAAAAGGAGTATAGAGAAGTAACAGACCTGTGTGTTCTTTTTTTCATTGTGATCTCTACTTAAAAAAAATTTATTTGGAAGGCAGAGTTAAAAAAGAGAGGGAGAGAGAGTTTGTAGAAGTCAGCAACCTGAAATTTCATCTTGGTCTCCCACATGAGTGCCCAGGTCCCAACTTGCAGAGACATTTTTTGCTGTTTTCTCATACACATTAGCTGGAAACTGGATTGGAAGAAGAGAATTTGGGACTCAAACAGGTGCTAGTATTGTAGTCGGTGGCCTAACCAGCTATGATCGCCATATAAACTGTAGAAATAGGCAACGTAGATACAGTATTTAATAAATTTATTACCTGATTAAAGCATTTTTTAGTTTTAAATTTCTTGATAATCTGCATGTTTTATATTTTAACTTTTTTTTTTTTAAATTTTAGGCAGTTTCTCTTAGTGTTCAGCAGGAGACATCCAATTTAGGTCCTGGACCTGCACCATCCAAATTACACGTCTCACAAATTGCCCCTATGGCAGTGAAAGTTCCTCATCAAGTTCCTGTGCAACCTGAGAAAAGCCGCCCGGGTCCGTCCCAAGTTCAGGATTTGAAAGGCACTAACCGGGATCCCCGCCTTAACAGGATGAGTCAGCATTCCTCTCATGGAAAAGATCAAAGTCACAGGAAAGAATTTCTAATGAGCACGTTGAACCAGTCTGATATTAAGACAAGTAAAACTGTACCCTCTGAGAAACTAAACTCATCTAAGCAAGAGAAAAGTAAATCAAGTGAAAAAGTAACTAAGAAAGAACTTGACCAAATAGATTCTAAATCCAAATCTAAATCTAAATCACCATCACCTTTGAAAAACAAATTTTCACACACAAAAGACTTGAAAAATCAAGAATCAGAAAGTGCAAGGTTGTCTGATATGAATAAGAGGGATCCGCGGTTAAAAAAACATCTTCAGGATAAGACTGATGGCAAAGATGATGATGGAAAAGATAAAAGAAAAACTGCAGAGAAAAAGGATAAAGATGAGCACATGAAATCTGAACACAGAATGGTTGGAAGTAGAAATAAAATCATAAATGGTATTGTACAAAAACAGGACGTAATAACAGAAGAATCAGAAAAACAGGGGACAAAACCAGGGAGATCGAGTACTAGAAAGCGATCAAGGTCACGATCACCCAAGTCTCGGTCACCAATTATACATTCACCGAAGAGAAGAGATAGGCGGTCACCCAAACGAAGGCAAAGGAGTATGTCTCCAACTTCAACACCTAAAACTGGAAAAATTCGCCAGTCAGGAGTTAAGCAGTCACATATGGAAGAGTTTACGCCAACTTCCAGGGAAGAAAGAAACACAAAAAGAAGCACTAAGCAGGATATTCGTGATCCAAGACGAATGAAAAAGGCTGAAGAGGAACGACCACAAGAATCTGCAAATCAGCATTCTACAAAGTCGGGCACTGAACCAAAAGAAAATGTAGAAAATTGGCAAAGTTCTAAGTCTACCAAAAGATGGAAATCTGGTTGGGAAGAAAATAAAAGGTATGATAACATTTTAATCAAGTAGAACATTTATGAGTATGTTTTAAAAGATAGCATTCATTTAAAAACCAAAAATAATTTATTGTGTGCCATACTTAGTACTTTTTTTAATTAAAATCCCGTTAGTACTTTTTTTTATTACAATCCCGAAATAAGCATTATTATTCCTATTTAGCAGATAAAGAAATTGAAGTGTAAAAAGTTTGACTCATTTGCAACGACTGCAAGAATCAATTTGTTTTAAGTATTCTGACATCCTATCATCTGCTCTTATTTGGATTATTCATGGTTACCTTATCCATTTTAACCAGATGCTTGAGAAGGATCTTTAAAGATGGCCCTGCATAGAACTTTTTAAAAAAACATATTGATGTAACTTTGCTTTTGTGATTTCAGCTTGCAACAGAGTGATGAACATGGTAAATCTCCTCATCTAAGGCATAGGGACAGCTGGTCGAGCACTAAAGGAATCTTGTCACCTCGAGCCCCAAAGCAGCAGCATCGACTAAGTGTAGATGCTAACCTTCAGATTCCTAAAGAGTTAACTGTGGCAAGCAAAAGAGAGTTGCTTCAAAAGGTAGTTACAATGATTCATCCTATATAGTCATTCTATTTTGGTTAATTTTTTTCTAATTCTTATATTTAAAATACTTAATTTTTCTTTATCACCTTTGTGCAGACGAGTGAACGTTTAGCATCAGGTGAAATTACCCAAGATGAGTTCCTTGTTGTTGTGCATCAAATTCGACAGCTATTTCAGTATCAAGAAGGTAAACATAGATGCAATGTACGGGATAGTCCTACAGAAGAAAATAAAGGTGGATTAAAAAAGAAACCTCTCTTATCTGATGCTGAATTAACCTACTATGAACATAAAGCAAAACTGAAAAGGACACAGGTTCAGCATTCATTTCCAAGACTTGATCTCTTAGATCCTGATATTTTTGACTACCCTTTGACTGATGCCTTGTTGTCTGGAATAGAATGTGAGCCATCCAAAAGTAAACATGCAAGTAGAAATAGTGGAGCACAGTTTGACAGAAAAGAACAATTTAGTGAAAGAGCAAGACGTCTTTCTCCTATATCTGGGAGTCGTACTTATGCTGAGAATCTTTCACCCCATGAGGGCCGGAGAAGACATGACGAGCAAGTCTCTGCTAAAGGTAGAAAAAGTTAAATCAGATTATGCTTATTGAATCACACAGCAGTGAAGGGAAAATGAAACAGCTAAGTGGGGATGGATTTTTATGCCTGTTCAGACTACCTGTTTTCTGTTTATTTTGTTTTTCCCTCTTAGGAATGGGAAGGGAAGGGAGCTAATGTGTGTATGAGGCTATTTGTGTGTCAGGTAGTTCACTGTGTTCTCATTATATGTAATTTAATCCTTAAAAAGCAATAAAATATACCTTATTCATATTTACAGTTAGGAAACCAAACCAGAAAGGTTGAATAACTTGCTCTTAAAGTCAGTTGGTAAATCGACAGGTGGGGAGTTTTTTTTAAACTCAGGTTTGTCTGACTCTACAGGGCATTCCTGTATTTCATACTTGATGTGGTCTTTCCAGTCACCTCTAGTATAGTAAAGTTGTATATAGTTTAGGATGAACATTAACATGACTGTTGAAAGATTTTAAGACAATTTGATACAAATTCAAGTTGTGTAAAAATGACCTTTTTGCTTTTTTTCCTCTTAAAAGGTGTACGAGAAGAGCAGAGATCTCCATTCAATGATCGTTTTCCACTTAAACGACCTAGATATGAAGATGCAGATAAACCATTTGTAGATAGCCCAGGATCAAGATTTGCCGGCCTTGATACAAATCAGCGACTTACAGCTTTAGCTGAAGACAGACCGTTATTTGATGGACCTAGCAGGCCATCGGTAGCCAGAGATGGTCCAACCAAGATGATTTTTGAAGGACCTAATAAATTAAGCCCTAGAATTGATGGACCTCCGACACCAGGTTCTCTTCGCTTTGATGGGTCACCAGGACAAATGGGGGGAGGAGGCCCTTTGAGATTTGAAGGGCCACAGGGTCAGCTAGGAGGTGGCTGTCCTTTGAGATTCGAAGGTCCTCCAGGGCCAGTAGGGGCTCCTTTGCGGTTTGAGGGGCCAATTGGCCAAGCAGGAGGAGGTGGTTTTCGGTTTGAGGGATCCCCAGGTATGAGATTTGAGGGATCTGCAGGTGGTTTGCGATTTGAAGGACCAGGAGGCCAGCCTGTGGGCCCCCTCAGATTTGAGGGGCATCGTGGTCAACCTGTGGGAGGGCTAAGGTTTGAGGGACCACATGGTCAGCCTGTGGGCGGACATAGATTTGATAGTCCTCGAGGTCAGCCTGTAGGTGGACTAAGATTTGAGGGGGGTCATGGTCCAGCAGGGGCTGGGATCAGGTTTGATGGACCTCATGGTCAACCAGGAGGTGTAATCAGATTTGAAGGCCCTTTGTTACAGCAAGGAGTTGGAATGAGGTTTGAAGGCCCCCATGGTCAGTCAGTGGCTGGTCTGAGGTTTGAGGGACAACATAGTCAACTTGGTGGGAACCTGAGGTTTGAGGGTCCACATGGTCAACCAGGGGTCGGCGTGAGATTTGAAGGACCTTTAGTTCAACAAGGAGGCGGAATGAGGTTTGATGGTCCTAATGTACCGGGAGGTGGCCTAAGAATTGAAGGTCCTCTTGGTCAGGGTGGTCCAAGATTTGAAGGTTGTCATACTTTGAGATATGATGGACAGCCAGGTCAGCCATCACTTTTGCCACGAATTGATGGATTACACGGTCAGCCGGGTCCTAGGTTTGAAAGAACTGGTCAGCCAGGCCCACAGAGGTTTGATGGACCACCTGGACAACAAATACAACCAAGATTTGATGGTGTACCTCAAAGATTTGATGGTCCACAACACCAGCAAGCCTCAAGGTTTGATATGCCTCTTGGTCTCCAAGGCACAAGATTTGACAATCACCCGTCACAAAGGCTTGAATCAGCAGTGCCTTTTGGTCAGCCTGGGCCATTTAGTGACCCACCGGGTGGTGCTTTCAATGCTCCGTCACAAGGACTGCAGTTCCAGAGACATGAACAAATGTTTGACTCACCTCAAGGACCAAATTTTAATGGACCGCATGGCCCTGGAAATCAGAATTTCTCAAATCCCCTTAACAGAGCTGGACACTATTTTGATGAAAAGAATCTCCCTAATTCTCAGTTTGGAAACTTTGGCAATTTACCAGTAACTGTAGGAAATATTCAGGCCTCTCAACAGGTAAGTTTGTTTTGGTTGCCTTAAGATCATGTGGCATTCTGATGAGTTAACTTTTAGAGGTAGATTTTCAGGACATAATTTGTAGTATATATACATTGAAGCTCACAAACTAGGAAAGTGGGGTAACCATTTTCTGAGGTTGAAATTTACAATTTAAAATTGCTTTCTCTTTGTCACACATGTTCTCCTTTTTGTTTATTTTTGTTGTTTCTGTTTTATGGCTTTAAAGCCGCTAAAGCATGAATAACCAAAAATGTTTGATTCTGGTCTTGTAGTGTGTAGCAGTAACCCAAGAATCTAACACATCATGAGCTGCCTCTCGAGCACTAATAGCAGGGTGAATTGGAGGTGCAGGTTGTCCAAATTCGCATTGGCTCTCTGATATGGGATATAGGCATTCCAGGAGGTATTCCAACCTACTGTGCCGTAGTGCTTGTGCCAGTGATGTTACTAACAGATAACTCTGTTGTAGTGTTTTTTGATGTATTTAGGCTTGTTCTGTTGGTGGGATTTTTATTAGTTATACATGCAGTTGGAAATTCACGTGGAGTTAATAAACTTAGCTTAGAAATGGGTATTTACATAGCTTCCCTTTAGGCTACAGAGATCATATTTATATGCCAGTACAGTGTTTTTTTTTTTTTAAATTTTCTCTGACATCTTTTACAATGTTGCCTTGCTATTTATAATTATAGCCAGATGATAAAGAGGATATGGCCTAGTGGGATGATCGCCTGCTGTTCAGATTGCTAATTATTGCAGATTTTGACATCTGTGGAACAAGGTCAATGGTTTGAAGTTTTGGCTAACTGGCTGCCATGATTGTGTGAGCAGGTCACATTGTTGCTTGTCAGTTCTTCAGGTTTAACAAAGGGAAGGTACTAGTAAGGTAGTTACCTATTTAAGGTCACACAACTAGTTGTGGCTACCTTCTGTTTACGTGATATATTAAACTTTTCAAAAAAAAGTTTCATCTTGGTTCGTTATTAACTCTGAAACATAAGGGAAGGTATCATTGTAAAAGTTCTATAAGTAAAGTAACATAGAAGCTATCGTTCCAAATCATTATTACGGTAGAAGCCAGGTTTTATGACATTAGTGAATATTTTTATGAGGTTAAAAAAAGTTTTATTTAAAATATAGAAAGGATAGTCTTAAAATGAATTTTTTTTTTTAAAGGTTCTACCTGGTGTTGCTCAGCCAATACCATTTGGCCAAGGACAACAGTTTTTACCAGTCCATCCACAAAATCCTGGATCATTTGTTCAGAATCCCTCAGGTATATATTTTTTGAATGTTAATGTTTTTCAAAAGACAACTGTCATTTCGTTTTGTAGCTGTTTGTAAAATATCAATTGTGAAAGGGCAGATTCAGTTTAGAGAAATTTAGTCTGGCTGAAAATGTTTTTGTCCTTTTCTAGAATTTGTTGACATTATTGATTATAATAATACCTACCTTGTTTGCAGGTACAGATGGTTTAATCAGGACTTGTAGTTCATAAACAGAGGCAGGGAAATGTGTTGCTATAAACTGGGCAGTGAGAACTAGGTGTGATATTTGTGGTGATAGGATAAACTACTTGCCAAATCTTAGAAATCTGTTTGATATTTTGAATTTTTGTGTGTGTTGTGATCCAGTAAACATTAAAAGGATATTGGGAACACCACTTCATACAGTTGATTAATTCTTGCTCACTTTGGCAGCACATATATTAAAACTGAAATAATAAAGTTTATTCAGGAAAATATTGGATTTTTTGTGACACTGAGATGAGAAGTAACTAATACTGGATACAAGGACTGTAAAAATGACTTAGTCTCAGTATGTGGCAAATGGGAAATATTTAAGTTATGATAATTTGTCACATAACTGCAAAGCTAATGTATTGACCCAAATAGTAATGAGATTTCATTGCGTTTAAAGTTTTTATTTGTTTAAAAGCCAGAGAAGGGGAGAGAGAGAGAGAAATACTTGGGTCATCTTCCACTACTTTTTCTGGGCCATCTGCAGGGAGCTGGATGGAACTGGAGCAGCTGGGATACAAACCTGCATCCATATGAGATGCCAGTGTTGCAGTTGACAGCTTTACCTGCCACACTACAGTGCTGGCTCCTAATACTCATGTTAATTCATGAAGCATTAAAACAATTTTTGGAAATGTAAATTACTATAGCATTGTGTTGCGTACAGATTTAGAGTTTCCCAAACCTTCAAGTAATTAGGAAAGGAGGAATTCCTATCCTCAATCCATTTTATGATTAATTCTTTATTTCCACTTGACAAATTTATTTGAAAAAAATTACATTTTTTAAGTGAATGGGATCCATGCTTACCTCTTTTTAAATGTTTTTGTTATTTTAATGAAAAGGAAAAGAAAACTTGAATTCTAAAGTCAGGAAACTCTAGTTGTCATCTCGTCTTCCACTTAGTCGCTGAGTAGGGTACATAAACAAGGATCCTATTTCTTTATAGGCCATGTCAATAGTTTCCCTGAAATTTTTCTTTAAAAGAGAATCGAATGAGATGATACATGCAAAAATATTCTGTGAAGTGCTACAATGGTGTGTTTCCCCTTAGAATCCAGTTTTTCTTGCTGTGTGGAGGATTTGTTATATTTTCCATCAGCATGAAATAATGTGTAAAAACTGCCCATTTCCTTTTTGCTTTTAGAACCTTGAGAGGTGTGTGTGTGTGTGTGTTTAGGGAACGCTGGCATTGGGTGTTTTGAATTTTTTTCCTTAGAAATCTGAGTTAATATATTATTAGAAGATGCTGAATAGATAATTAGATTGAAAAGTTGGGTGCAGAGTGATTCACGGACAGGAACATGAAGATGTTCTCTTCTGTATCCTGCTTTTCTATTTATTTGAAAGGCACAGAGTTACAGAGAAAAAAGAAAGGAGATAGAGATCTTTCATCCTTGTTTACTCTCCAGATGGCTATAGAAGCTGGGGCTGGACCACACCAAAGCCTGGGCCTAGAAGTCCATCCAGCTTTCTCACATTTGTGAGAGGGCCCAAGTACTGGCCATCTTACACTGCCCTCCTAGACATGTAGTAAGGAATTGGATTGACATGGAGCACTAGGGGACTCTTGGGTTACTGGTATCATAGACGGTGGATTAACCAGCTGAGCCACAGTACCAGATTCTATCCTGCTCTTCTTTGTCATGAATGTGGTTAGGTAAAAATGGGCAACACTGGTTTTTTATAGACAGTACATGTGAAGTTTCACTGTTTTTGGTGGTCTCAGTGATAGTCTAAGATGTCTTTTTTTGAGATGTCTTTTCAAATGGTGAAAATTTGTTGACCTAAATGAACAGTACGTTTTATGAACTTTTGCAGTAATTAAACTTGTCATTATTAAGAGTTTAGTGCATTTATTATTGGTGAGAAACTTTGAAAAATGCTTACATAATTTGATATTTTAATTTCACTTTTTTTTTTTAAGGAGCTCTTCCTAAGGCATATCCTGATAATCATCTCAGTCAGGTGGATGTAAATGAATTATTTTCAAAACTGCTAAAAACAGGAATTCTCAAATTGTCCCAACCTGACTCTGCTACAACACGTAAGTGTGGTTGTATACTTCCATGTACACAAAGCTTCATATAGATACAGAATTGTATGATGTGATATAAGTTATGATAATTATACTTAATAATATTTGAATTCTTAAGCATGCCCTTTATTTTATTTTTTTTTATTATTTTTTTAAATTTTATTTTGACATTCTTTACATAGTTAATTAGATTAAGTAGGTTCAAGGGCTACAGGAAAGTGGATAATACTAGTATGTTTTCCATATTGTTACCTTCATATTTAAAGGGGGTTACTTAAGGGAGAAGCCCACCCAATTTCCCACCCTTCCCAGGTCCCGGATGTAGGGTATGCTCTGAGGTTCTTGCTCAAGTGGTTTTGATATTGCCACAGTTATGAATCGCTGTCAATCTTGCCACTCCAAGCCTTATGAGATCTTTGAAAAATCCAGTGATTGATTGACTTCGTTCATAATGAAATTCTGATTAATTACTTTTATAGTGACCATATATTTCAATTGACTGACATTCCTGTAAATGTTATATGCAGATTTTATTACTATTTGTTAATTTAGCTTTTGAAAATAAATTGAATGTTGATATGCCAAGATTTCATGATGTTGACTTGTAAGAAATCAAAGTGTTGTGAGCAAACATCACATCAAATGCAGAGAATAGATTATGTAGGTTTCTGTCTGCTTATAACTGTATAGTGCTCCTATATAAAGAATACATGGAAAATGATATTGAGAAATTTTGTGTATTTTCTCAATTGAAGAAACAAATGAAGCGGCTGCTCAACCTTCCACTGAAGAGGAGGAAGATCAAAATGAAGATCAGGATGTTCCGGATCTTACTAATTTTACAATTGAAGAATTAAAACAGTATGTATCTAATTTTCATTAAGATAAAATGAATACTGTTACTGTTTTTAATGCTATTTCATTTTATTCCTTTATTCTAACACTAATAAGCCCATTTAAAAAATATTTTCTATTTATGAGATAAAATCCATTACATAATATCTTAAAATTTTTCCTTAAAGATTATTTGAAGGGCTAAGTGATGAAGAGAGATAGAGACAGAGAATTTTTATTTGCTGGTTTGTTCTCCAGTTGGCTGCAATAGTCTGGTCTTGGCCTAGCCAAAGCCAGAAGTCGCAGCTCCATTTGGCCTCCCATATGAGTAATAGGGGCCCAAGAACTTGCATGAGCACAAACTGGACCAGAAGCAGAAGAGTTGGATCAGAACATTCCAATATGTGATGTCAGAGCTGTAAACAATAGCTCGGTCCCTTGAGCCACAGTGCTGGCACAGGAAACCAAGATTAAATCCCCTTGAAAAACATGTCTGTTGGGGTCCTGCGCAGTAGCCTACTGAGTAAATCCTCGCCTTGCACACACCAGGATCGCATATAGGCGCTGGTTAGTGTTCCGGCTGCTCCACTTCCCTTGCAGCTCCCTGCTTGTACCCTGGGAAAACAGTCGAGGACAGCCCAAAGTCTTGAGACCCTGCACCCATGTGAGAGGCTAGCAAGAAGCTCCTGGCTTCCATCCGATGATTCACTCCCCAAGTGAGCGCAACGGCGATCTGAAGCCAGGATCCAGTAACTTCTTCAGGGCTGCCACACAGGTGCAGGGTCCCAAGGCTTTGGGCTGTCTTCAACTGCTTTCCCAGGCCACAAGCAGGGAGCTGGATGGGAAGCGGGGCCATATGGGATCCCGATGCGTTCAAGGAGAGGATTTTAGCCTCTAGGCCACGGTGCCGGGCCTATTATCTTTTAATCTTTTCTCCATATTGTAGCATTAAAAAAGATTTTTTAAAAGCTATTTTTATTTTCTAACATTTTCATTGGGGAAAATCAGAAAACACAAGTACAATTAGCTCTCTGTATCTGTAGGTTCTGATCTGCAGATTCAGTCAACAATGTATCTTTTTAAGTTTTATCATAATTTCTCAAACAATATAATGTAATAACTATCTTTATAGCATTTACATTATGTTAGGTATTTCAAGTCATAAGAGGTGATTAAAATGTATGGGATCATGGGGGTAGTTTATTCAAATATAGCATCATTTAAAAGATTGATTTATTTGTGTGAGAGTTACAGAACTAGAGGGACAGATAGAGACTTTTTATCGCCTGGTTTTTCCCCGAATAGTTAGGTCATTTGGGACTGGGTCAGGGCAAAAGCAGGGGCCTTGAATTCCATCTGGGTTCCTCATGTGGACAGTAGAGGTCCAATACCTGGGCCATCTGTTTCTCAAGTGTACTAGTTGGGAACTGGATTAGAAGGGGACATGAACCTGTATTCCTAAAATGATATTGGCACTGCAGGGGATGACTTAAGTCACTGCACTGCAGTGCTGACCTCAGCTACGCTGCTTTGTGGGCTTTGGTGTCTTAAGGGTCCAGAAGCCATTTCAGCATGGATAATGAGGAACAAGTATAAGTAACATCATGAAAATTAGAATTTTTACCTAGTAACTTTTGCATACTTTTTGTAATTTTCTATTTGCTATTATATAAAAACCATTTAAAGCTATTATGCAAGAATATAGATTAATTATGCATTTTGTATAAAAAACAGCTATTGTGTTTTAGTCTTAATACTTTTTTCATACTTTGATATAAACTGTTGCATAATAAAAGATGGCATTCTTTCTGCTGTTGTTGTTTAACCAGCTGTTTCTTAGAGGAAGAGTGTTTTGTTTAAACTATTTTTCCTGGCATTCACTTTTTATTTTTTAAGATTTATTCTATGTATTTGAAAGGCAGAGTGACAGAAAAGGAGAGAATTCTATCTGCTTGTTCACTGCCCATAAATGGCTGCAATGGCCAGGGCTGGGCCAGTCTGAAGCCAGGGTCTGCTGCTCCAGCCATGTCTCCCGTTTGGGTAGCTAGAGCCCAAGCACTGGGCTGAGCTGCTGCTGCCTTCCTGGGCACATCAACAACAGAGTTGAATCCAAAGTCCAGCAGCTGCGATTTGTATAGATACTCTGATAGCTTCTCTCTCTATATATCTTTTTAAAAATGATTTTATTTTTACTGGAAAGTCAGTTTTATAGAGACGGAGAGGCAGAGAAAAAGATTTTCCATCTGCTGTTTCACTCCCCACGTAGCTGCAATGGTTGGAGCTGAGCCAATCCAAAGCCAGGAGCCAGAAGCTTCTTCCCATTCTCTCAAGATCCAGTGTCTCAAGGCTTTGGACCACCCTCCACTGCTTTCTTAGATCACAAGCAGGGAGCTGGATGGGAAGTAGAGTAGTAACCTGTGCCCTTCTGGGATCCTGGTGCATGCAAGGCAAGGACTTCAGCCACTAGGCTACCGTGCTGGGCCCAGGAAATTCTTGATGGCACAGTGGGGCCACCCCACTTTAAAAGATTTGTTTTTATAACATTCATATTTTTGTTTTCTGTATTGCATGTTTAATTTCTTGACTTTTTTTTTTACAGTTTATACTGTTTTACTGTCCTACCCATCCCTCATTATGTACAGCTATTCTCATTGTTTTACATTAATATTAATGGCTAAATACTCATTGTATTGGAATACTTTGAACCATTGTTTGTACTTTATTTTATTCAAGTATATCATTTGTTGTTTTTTTGGAGTTTGGAACTACCCTGCTTGTTCCCTCATTTGTATACATAATCCCAAATAGGGATCCTAGATTTTTTAAGATTTACCTCTGGGTACATTTTCTCATTGGTCTTGTAATGATTTTTCAGTTGTCTAAACTTATTATTTTTTGCATGCCTTTTATTATTTTTTTTAAGAACAAAGTACAGCAGTGAACTCTGAAGATCTAAAAGAGATTATAACTTTTGTGTTCTGACTCTAGGCCAGCTGTTCCCTTGTTCACTAACATAGGGTCATTGCATTTTAAAGAAAATGATTAAGCCACATCTGTCAATATGAAGATGGGTTCATGTTCTAAAGTTCACTAGTTCTAAAATTCACCAAAGGCATGATGATCAGTGTTGCTGTTAGAATAATATTTATTTTTGTGTAGTAACTGTAGTCAGCTGCTGGTTTCATTGTGGTTTAAAAACCATTAACCTCAAGATTTTGTTTCCCTCAAATTAGACGTTACGACAGTGTTATAAATCGGCTGTACACTGGTATTCAGTGTTACTCCTGTGGAATGAGGTTTACAACATCACAAACAGATGTGTATGCAGATCACTTGGACTGGCATTACCGGCAAAATAGAACTGAGAAAGATGTTAGCAGAAAAGTCACTCATAGGCGTTGGTACTACAGTTTAACAGTAAGTAATCTATGTGCCTTTGAACTGTCTTAAATTAGGACATTGAGTAACTGCTAGAAGCTAATGTAAATTTTCTGAATAAAATTTGACCCTGGAATAGTTTTTTAAAATAAATGAGTTTTGAAGAGTATTTGCTTTTCATTGAAACTAGACTAATACACTTGTGTTTTGTAGGTCTAAAATTCCAAGGCTCTATAACTGATTTTCTTTTGCAAAAAAAATTACACTTTTTAAGTAGTGGAAATTTAATACCTTAGTTCATTAGTTGCTGTATGTTGTCTGTTGTGTTATGGTGTTCAAAAATAAAGTATAATTTTAAATACTATCAGAGCCTATCATTTAAGAATATACCCTTACCTGTAAGTAGCATTTTATTGAATATATGTAGTAAAATTTAGAAACAAAACATTAAAAAAGTCAAATTTTTTCTTTTAAGGACTGGATAGAATTTGAGGAAATAGCTGATCTAGAAGAACGTGCAAAGAGCCAGTTTTTTGAAAAGGTCCATGAAGAAGTTGTGCTTAAAACTCAGGAGGCTGCTAAAGAAAAAGAGTTTCAAAGTGTACCTGCTGGACCGGCTGGAGCCGTTGAGGTTAGGAAACAATGCTTACGCTTTCTGAGTGTGTCTGTCACTTTCCTCAGTAAATAATCATAAAAATATACCAATTTATATGCCTCTTAAATATCTAAAAATTTCCTGTAAGCACTACTTATTTGGTTTTTGACGTTCATAATCATCATAGTTAAATATCGCAGACCAACAGTAGTGAAGTGTTGGCAGATCCTTAGAATTTCTTGGTATCTGTAAGACACTGTCATTAGAATGTTTATGCTTACTTAATGGGGTTATGTCTGTCTTTTAAATTTGTGCGATTCTGTTTTATTAGAGTTGTGAAATTTGTCAAGAACAATTTGAACAATACTGGGATGAAGAAGAAGAGGAATGGCATTTAAAAAATGCTATCAGAGTAGATGGAAAGGTAATTGTCAATATTTCTCTGTATAAAGTGTTGATTGTAATTTTTGTTGAGGAAGCTTGCTACTTTGGCAAGTTCATAATTGTTTTTGGTGTTTGCTCCTGGTAAAAAGGGTATTCGACTTCAGAGTTGAGGAATGTTAGAGTTGGAAAAGATCTTCACAATACATATACATGAGGTTGCATAAATAATGAGATGTGTCCTCTGATTCCGTCTACTTAGGTGTCTTACCAAACTATTTTGATTCTCAATTTGTATTTTATCATCAAAATTAAAAACAAACTATGTTAGGCTAGATATTTACCTGTACAAAACAAGTTTAAAGGAAAGTCAGATTTTCAAGCTCATTTTACATATAAAGATGAAAATTTTATCCATTATGTTGAGCAAGAGTTTTAAAACCTTTTCAAAGAACTTGTCATATGAATTTAGAAATAACAGAATGGGACATTACATATGAATATATTTTAATAGTTATTTGCTCCTTTTCAGATTTATCATCCATCATGTTATGAAGATTATCAAAATGTAAGTTGTTTACTGTATTCTCATTTACACTAAAAACTTTTTTTGCATCGGAGATAGTTTTAGTATTTTTAATACTGAGCCAGTTTGGTTTAGTTGTGGCAAATTGTTCAGTAAATATTGATGGTACATAGGACTGATAGTCTTTTTCTGTGTGATGCAAACAATTTAAATTTTAATGTCTATATATCATTCCTTGCATTGTAGGCACTTTACTAGACTAATAGACCTAGAAAAATGTTAGAAAAATTGCAGATGAGAAGGCTCCTGATGGGAATAGGTTTCTAGAGTTATGGGAAATATTTATTGGTTTATTTGTATATATACTCTATCCAGACATGTAATACAGGAATGAGTTTTCAGTGACCATATATGAAATCTATTTCTTGGCATCAAAAAGCCAAATTGTCCAATTTGTAGTGTGGCATTTTTAAATGAAACACAGACTTTTAAAGAGGCAGTTTGGAAGATAGGAAGACTAGGATGTTTTGGTGGTTTGTGGGCGTTTAAGACCATTTTGATTTTTGCCTCCTGGTTAAGATGCCCGTGTTTCCTATTGGAGCACCTGAATTCCATTCTCAGCTCTGGCTCCTGATGCCAGCTGTCCATTAGTGCAAATGAGGCAGCATGGGTTAGCTCTGTGGGTTGGGTTCCTACAACACAGGGGAGCCTAGGACTGCATTCCCATCTCTTGGCTCCAAACTGGGGTCACTGCTAAGGATCTGGGGATTGTACCAGTGAGTGGGAGCTTTCTGTTAATGTGTCTATCATTAGGATAGTCACAAAAACTTGAGGGTTACCGTCTGAGTTCATTGCTGAATTTGGCTGCTTTTATGGCAAGTTTAGTAGGGATGAATTTTGTTTGCATCTGAAATGTGTGTTCTTTTATCCCCTACATGGGTCCTATACAACTTTATGCCATTTAATGTGATAAATTTTTACTCCGATTAGTACTTATAGGGCTTTTCCTTTTGTAGACATCTTCATTTGATTGTACACCATCTCCCAGCAAGACACCAGCTGAAAACCCATTGAACATTATGTTGAACATTGTCAAAAACGAATTACAGGAACCCTGTGAAAGTCCAAAAGTTAAGGAAGAGCAAATTGACACCCCACCAGCTTGTACAGAGGAAAACCTTGCAACACCCACTGAAATTAAAACAGAAAATGATACAGTTGAGTCCGTTTAAATAAAATGAGAAAGGTATGTTTTTCTTTTTTAAAAAAAGCTGCTGTTGAATCTAGAAGGTGAAGAATTTTTTTATGTATATATAGACATAAATCTATATAAATTGTCCAGCTGAAGCAGGGCCTTCAGCTATCATTTGGTTAATAAATACATTTTAGTATTTGCATTTCCTACTGCCTGCACAGTTTCAGGTGCTTGTTGTGTGAAACTTCTGTAGATGTGTGCAAATTTAAAAAAATGAAATTGTATGTGTAAAAATGTACGATTTTTCACTTGTGAAACTGTAAATTATAAATAAAAATATTTTTGCTATTCATGGAGTGTAATATTTATGCACACCATCAAATAAAGACAGTGTTCTGTACTTTTTATTGGGTGAAAATGGAATTGAACAGCAACCTCAACATAGCAGCTCCCCATGATTAAAGAAGCAAAGTCTGAAGTTTTATTATTCAAAAGGGGGTTGTGAGAGCTTTGAATGACTTTGCTTATAGAAATCCAGATTTGAAAATTTTACATATTTGTATATATACATATTTGTGTATATATATATATATATATATACATATCCAGCTTAGAGAACCATCCACATGTCCATTTTTGGAAATATCTAAGGAAGCATCTTTTATTCTTGAACATGGACATGGATGCCATCAAACAGTTAACCTATTTAAGTACTAAGGGTGATTTTTTAAAAAAGATGTTTTTCAAATGTCAAATGATTTAATGCAGATGAACATATTTCTATTTTAAGTTACAGGGAAATCTGTAAGAATGCTCCTTTGAAACATGGTTAACATTTTCCTTTGTTGGTTTTGACTGAATTAGATGAATACCATGAGATGTTAGTATTCATACATGTAATAAATAGAATGATAAAGAAACTGCCTGTTTGTCTTTATTTTTTAAATGGATTTAGAATGTGATGTTTTCTTGTTTTCTACTCCTTGAAGCATGTGTGGTACCTGCCAGGAATAGTTTAGAGAACAACTGTGCCCACTAGATGATTTTTCAAATGTCTTTTCTTTACCACAACCAATTTGTAATATTCCTCACTACAGATGAAAGTTTTATAAGTGTAAAACTGGCTTATCATTCCACAAGAGGACAGGAAGGGTGCCTTTGAAAAAGTAATATAAAAGTTGATTTATATTCAAAAACTTGATAATTTTGAATAGATTACGAAAAGTCTTCTTGTACCCTGATAAACACACCAGCCACTTGCCACTTTGAATATATGACGTATAAACCTAAGAGGTTTTTGAAAGAGATTATCACAATTTGCAGAGAAGCCTTGTGGATTGGATTTTAAGCACATTATGTAATAGCTGAACTTAATATAGATGACCACTGCCATACAATAATTGTTGGCATCTGTGAACCCAAAAATGTACCTTATGGAATGTTTTAAAGGACAATGACAGTTAAACATACAAGCTTAAAAGTATCCATACATTGGGAGTGGAGTGCCAAGGCCAGGTCCTTAGAAACAAATATTTGAAGACTAGTGGGTGGGAAGGTGAGAAGTAAAATGAACAGATAATGGTAAATACAGATAATTTAAAAATTTTCAAGGAATGTCTAGTCAACAAAATAAAGTACAGTACGATTGAGAAATACTCCCTTTTCCTAACAGCTGAATATTTGTGTCACGAAGAGGTGTAACGAGTGATGTGGATGGGGATTAAAAAACGTACTCATGAAATTTACCTGTAAAGATAAAAAAAGTAGTTAGAATGAGACAATTACACAATAGCATTATTAGTTAGAATGAGACAATTACACAATAGCATTATATGAAGATATTTCAAAAAGGCAAAAAAAAAAAGATTTTTGGTACCAAAATTTTGACATCTACATAGTTTTAAAAAAATATGCATTTTTTCATTAACTTTTCTGAAGATTGTTTGCAAGGATTTCAAAATATTTGGCACCGAAAATTTTTTTTCTTATGAGATTTATTTTTATTGGAAAGACAGAAGGTTCTTCTGTCTGCTGTTTCACTTTCCAAATGGCTGCAACGACCAGAGCTGGGCTGATGATCTGAAGTCAGAGCTGCTTCAGGTCTCCCACACGGGTGCAGGGTCCCAAGGCTTTGGGCCGTCCTCTGTATCTTTCCCAGGCTTTAAGCAGGGCATTGGATGGGAATGGAACAGCTGGGACACAAACCAGCATGCTTAAGGGGTTACTGTTGTGTTTGCAGATAGAAGATTAACCAGTTGAGCCAATGTACTGGCCCCCAACATTTTATTTCTACAACATGACTGAAGTACTCAGTTCAGAAACATGGAATGGAGGAAGAGATAACAATAAAACATTCTCAGAGTTGCATTAAGTGGTATTGAAATAAGCATAGGAAAGATTAGCTCTCTGAGTTGATCACCGTTAGGGTTGGGAATTCAAATCTTTGAGGTAGGATGCCAAAATGTAAATTAGTGTACTGGGTTTGCCTCAAATTTGGCTGTGAGTTAGATTCACTTAGAATGTTAAGAGCTTGCTTATTTCTGAAGAGTGCCACTGAGTTGCATTCAAAGGCACTAATAATAGTGACCTTCAAAAAGGTCATGGAAAATGGCAAGAAACAACTAAGGCTTTCAGAATGCCTTTGTACTACAACGAATCAAATTCCATTTTTCTATGAATTTTAAGAAGCTCTAGAGGGTTGATTCTAACTAATAGCCAGATCTGGTATCTAATCTTGAAATCAAGGTTTTAGCCCCCAAAAGATGGACTGCCCTGGAAGTGACAGCCGGTAACCTGTAACAGAATGGCAGTAAAAGGAAAAGCTGAAGGAAGCCACAAGGAAGATTAAGACACTACCTTCAATTAAGAGTTGAAGTTTATGGGCAAAAGTATTACTGTGTTTTTCCTAAAATCTGGAGGTTTTGACCCATCACCTTTACAACAGTCTAATTTCAGTCTGTCATACTTAAAGCTTTTCAACCTTGCTGCCTGGAATGTTACTTAACAACTAAAAATAAGCTTTGAGAAATGAATTACATGGTAAAAATTAAATACTCTTTTAACCATAAACTAAAATAGAGAATTCTATATGCTTTTCTGGTGGCCTTACAAATTATTTTGCATCTAACAAGTGTCCTAGAATAGGTTTCTATAACATTCAGGAAGATGTAAGGACTTTCTAAGCATGCCTGCAAATACAGATATTGCTTACTAAAGAGGTAAACTGGAGGTAGAAAAGCAAAATCACAAAGAGCAGTGTCAATAAAGGGCCTGTACGTCTACTCAAGTGGGATGTTCTCTCCTAATCTAAACAGGGCCAACTCAGATAATGGGGACTTTATTAACTACATAGACAGAAGGTATCCCTGGAACTAACTTACAGAGGATTTACAGGGAGAGCTTACTTACCCACTACTTTTAAAAAATTAAGAGGTGGAAGACTAGATGTTTGTATTAACTGGAACCATAGCCTGCTAGTCCACAGAGATTTCTCTGAAATGCTGAGATGTCCATTAGAAAAATTTCCTTGAGTCACTTAACTTGAAAACCTCTGCAATTTTGTTTTAACATTTAGCAACATTACCAAAACTTGTTTGTAGTGTTATCAATACATTTTTTGATGCAGTTCATCTGCTTTTAGTTCCTACCTGTATTCTGGACTACTTGTCCTAAGAACTATCTTTTGGGGCCAGCATGATGGTGCACTGGGAAGAGCCACTGTTTGGTATATGAACATTTTGTTAAGTGCTGCTCTGCTTCTGATCTAGCTGCCTGCTGACAGACCTGGGAAGGCAGTGGGAGATGAACCAGTGCTTGCACTCTTGCCACCCACGGGCAAGACCTGCAGGGAGGAGAGGCTCCTAGCAAATGCCTGGCCTAAGAAGCATGAATGGAAACAGCCCAGAGCAGGCCACAAGAAGTTTCCCACTGGCATACCTTAGGCATGGATTGGGGGCAGACCAGGCTAATCGGTTAACATCATCACTGGCATATCTGAGCACCAGAACAGAGTAAGGGTCGAGCCAGGTTTGGTTGTGATAAAAACCAGTCCACACTACAGAATGCCAGGAGGAGTTTGACTGTGCCGGATGTGACTGCAGTGCCCATCCAGCACATGTGAGAAACAGGAGGGGAGTGGACAGAGCCAGCGGGGGAATAGGGAGGTTCCCCTGCTGGACAGCTACTCCCACTGGAGAGCATAAACTGGGATGGGGGCAGACCAGACTAAGCAGGGCTACAACACCTGTGCACCTCATGTGGACTAGACCAGGGAAAAGCCAGGATGGGTTGATTGTTCCTATGGGTGCAACCTACAATTAGAATGGGAGAGGGCTGTTTGGGCATAGCCGTAGCATCAGCTGGCAGAAACTGGCACTGGGGGCTAGTCCTGTCAAGTTAAACTGCAGAACCACCTGGAATGTGCACAATCCGGGAGTGAGAGACCTGGGAGGGAAATAGTGGGTTCCCCCCTCTTGGGTTACCACTGCCACGGGAAGGCACGGGAACTAGGACAGGGGCTGGGGTAGCTAGACAGAGAGGCACTCAACCACACCCGTGAAGGCTTGACTGTTGAGCTGGGTAGATGGATCCAAGCTTCAATGCCATTTGCCATGTACGAGAATCAAGGGGGATGTGGGACAGATTGGACTGGTCTGTCACACATACTGGCATACCAGGGTAGGGGGTTGGCCTAGTGGGGGTTATTGTGGGCCGCTCTCATCAGGATGCAGCTCCCACTGGTTTAGGTGAAGACCAAGTATGTGCTGTGCAGAACCAGGCTGGACTGCAACACCCATTGGTTCCAGTAGAAGGCGGGGCTGAAAACAGAACCAACCCAGCAATTGCAACTACCAGCTGATTGGGCGATGGACTGTGCTGGGCCCTGTGCTTGCTGGTGCATACGAGTATCTGGCCTGGGAACTCCTCAGACGAAGTTTCTTTGGTGATCTCCCCAATTGAAATGCCAGACTCAGAACACAAACCATGAAGGGACAGAAGATGGAACAAGTTAATCAACCACCTCAGCTATAGGTTGGCAACAAAATACCGGGCAAATAGAGACGCTATGATGGACAAGGTCAATTAATGGATTTTTTCAACAACCTCATCGTGTTTGGAGAGGCAAGATTAGCAGCAATTTCAAAACTGGTGACCTATTGAAACCACTTCAACGAGTATCTCGGAGCATGCCCCACATGTGGGACTTGGGGTGGGTGGGAAATCAGGTGGGGCTTCTCCCTCTACCTCAGATACATGACGGAAACAATATGGAAATAATAGTCTTACCCACTTTCCTATAGCCCTTGACCCTTTATGCACTAATTAACCATGTAAAGATTGTTAAAAAATATTAAAAAAAAAATTAAAAAAAAAAAATGCCTGGCCTAGACCTTGTTACTGTGGCTGTGGGGTGCAGAGTGGGGGAAGGATGGGGCATACCAGTGGTTGGAACATCTCTGCCTCTCTCTTTCAAATCAGTCTTTTTTTTTTTTTTTTTAAGATCTATTTATTTATTGGAAAGTCAGATATACAGAGGAGGAGAGACAGAGAGGAAGATCTTCTGTCCGATGATTCATTCCCCAAGTGAGCGCAATGGGTGCAGGGTCCCAAAACTTTGGGCCGTCCTCGAGTGCTTTCCCAGGCCACAAGCAGGGAGCTAGATGGAAAGTGGAGCTGCTAGGATTAGAACCAGCGCCCATATGGGATCCCAGCGCATTCAAGGCAAGGACTTTAGCCGCTAGGCCACGCCACCGGGCCCTTTCAAATCAATCTTAAAAACTTACTTTACATGATTGTTTTTCTGTGCTCTTATGTTTTTATTTAAGATGGATGAAAATTTTACATCCTCTTGTTCTACAAAGTAGACAGAATTTTTTATTTTATAATTATTTTTAGAAGTATCGATAGATCTACTGTTTGCTGGTTTACTCCTCCAAAATGGACTAGTCTGAAGCCAGGAGCTTTCTCCAGGTCTCCCACATAGGTGCAGGGGCCCAGGCACCTGGCCCATCCTCTGGTGCTTTCCTAGGTGCAGTAGTAGGGAGCTGTATTGGAAGTGGAGCAGCTGGGACTAGAAGTAATGCTCATATGGGATCTGGTGCTGCAGGCTGAGGATTAGTGTGTTGAGCCATCATGTCAGCCCCTATGCCATTCTTCATCATCTAGATCTTAAAATTTTTTTCATGCTGATTACTGCATTGATCTGCATTTCTTTTTCTTAAATATTTTTATTGGAAAGTCATATGCACAGAGAGGAGAGACAGAGAGGAAGATCCTCCGTCCGTTGGTTCACTCTCCAAGTGGCCACAATGGCTGGAGCTGAGCTGATGATAAGCCAGGAGACAAGTTTCCTCTGGGTCTCCCACAAGCCTGCAGGGTGCTAAGGCTTTGGGCTGTCCTGGACTGTTTTCCCAGGACACAAGCAGCACTGGATGGGAGGTGGGGTTGCTGGGATATGAACTGGTACCCATATGGGATCCTGGCGTGTTCAAGGCAAGGACTCTAGCAGCTAGGCTATGTGCTGGATATATCTGCATTTCTACTAGGATATATTTTCTATTATAAATGTGGCTTATTTAGCTATTCTTTCATTTATGACTATTATAAAATATTGCAGTGGCTATCATGGAACATACAGATGATCAAGTTATTTTGAAGACAATGCCTGAGTCATAGGTATTATACATTCAAATTTTAAAAGGGTTAGGCTGTGCCAGTTTCATCATTAAGAAGCACACTACCCTTATTTTTGTTTGTGGTACCTTTTGTTGCGGCCAGACTACCATGGGACAGTTTTAGCATCACTAATATGAAAAGTTCACTTGAATTTTGAAGTTTTCTTCATTTCTTTAATATGTTCCTTTTTTGCCCCCAGTATCTTTTTCTCTCAGATTTGCCTAGAGTATCTATTTGTTGTTCTTTTCAAATACTGTCTAATTATGATCAGTTCTGGTTTTATGTCACTCACTCTTTTCTGCTTTTTTATAGTTCCTTTTATTTTGGGATAGGTTGGCTTTTCCATTTTTTGATCCTTCCTGTCATATTGTATCCTTTAAGAACATGCTGCCTTTTCATTTAGTCATTCCATAGAGCATAGCCAAAAAAATTTAAAGCCTTTACCATTGTTATGTGACTATAGCACTACTACTTCAGAGTTAGTCATAGTGGCTTCCAATTCCTTATCTCGCACTTAGGTGATCTTGTCTTGGTCAACCCTGAGTTGTTTGTCTGTAAAAATAGAAATAACAATACAGATTAAGTTCAAAATGATAAATCACTTACCGCAGAAACTGGCTCATCTTGCTCATAAATGTGTGAAAGACAAAATGCTTCAGGTGCTCTATTTCTGAGAGTGAAATTGGGATGACTAATTACGTCCAATGGAACTTGTTTTCAGTCTGCTGTTTTCATCTGTCTGACTACATCAGCCCATCCACTGAAGCACAGGACAGTTCATAATCCCCTTCTTTTAACTGAATTATCTAGCAGTTAGAAATGTCAGAATACAGTCCCTCTCTCTCAGGAGCTCAGAGTCCCTGTGGAAGGAATGCGAATTAACTGCTAAACAGGTATACATGAAATGATGTAGTAAATGATGACAAAGGCTCTGGAAATTGAGATGCTGAGGATGCAATAAAACCCCAAGACCTGCCTTGGAATCCTAATTCAATTATTTACAACGAATTATCTGTGTAGCTTGCAGCATTTGTCCCAATCTTTCTGCCTTTAAGAAATGTCTATTCTGGCTGGTTATAAAAGAAAATTAAGACATTAATAAACAGTATTTAGGGCAGTGCTATACTGAGCATAGGAACTAAACAATAGTTATTCGTATTATAAGATGCTGTGTTAGTTGTTAGGCAATTTACTGTACCCCCACGAAAGGTAGGATCATGGGATTTGTCCCAAACGTGTTCATGGAATTGGGGTGAGGCTGGGTAGCCATCTGATAGGAGAAGCCACACACACCAAGGCACAGAGAGGAGTAAGTTGAGGCATGTTCCAAGGACCCCAGCTCATCTTTTCTGGAGGCAGAGAGAGTGGCCAGTCAATAAGGGTAAAAACCTGAGCTGAAGTCTAGGTGAAGGCGACGCCTCTGGAAGGTGGACGGCTTTTTATTTCTGCATTCTCAGGTGCTACCACAAAACCTGATCCACGTTTGCCACAGTGAATGGAAGAATGCATGCCGAGCAAGCAAAGATGTCAGAAGGAAAGATCTGGACAAGCCGTAGAATGTAAACGCTGCGAGTCTAATGGCAGGCGTCCTGCAGCGATGTTTGGACTCACGTCCTGGTGTTTTTACAACTTACCTGTAGCTTGGCGTTAGCCAGTTACTGATACCTGCAGCCTCCTGACCTTTAAAATGGGGACAACACCTCCCAAACGATGATCCAAGAGCCCTGGTACTGGAAGGGCTCAAAAAACAGCGGCTGCAAAGGTGAACTTCCCCAGCAGAGCCTTTCCCGTCAGCGTGGAAGGAACACAGCACTGGTTAGCAGGTTCGCCAAGGACGAAAAGGGCCCCGCCCGGCACGGGCCACAAAGCTCCCCGACGCACCCTGCATTCGTGCAGCCTCCACCTGTTAGGGTCGCGAGCAATGACAGCCCGGGCCAGAGCAATGGCAAGACAGGCCTCCGCGGAACGAAGCGAAATCTTACCAAAAAAACGCGGCCGCACTAGCCTCGGATTCCTTCAGGCGCAAAGCTTAGGGAGGAAAAGCGGGGAGGGGAAAGGAAAAAAAGGAAAAAAAAAAAAAGTGAAAGGAATCCGGAGGTGACGTTCGGCTGTGAGGAACTGGAAATGACCGCAGCACGCCGGAAGTTTACTCGTTTCCCAGGCGACGGTTCCAGGTGGCCCGGAGCTGGGACGCTGGAAAGCGACTCGGAGGAGCGAGGCCCCTCGGACGGCGGCCGCCGCCTCAGGGACTCGCGGGGAGCGGCGTGCGACGATGGCGGCCGCCGCACCAGCCGCCGCGTCGGGAAGAAAAGCCATGGCGACGCCGAGTCGAGGCCAAGTGTGAGCTCAGACCACGGGGAAAGAAGTCGTGAAGGCCAGGCCCGCCGCTCCCGGGGCTCTCCGGGCAGAGCCAGCGAAGACGTGGGCTTCTCCCGCAGGGACTCGAGAAGGGTCAGCGAAGAGCTCGGTCACCGCCACAGCGACCCCCGGGCGGGGCTGAGGGGGCACCGCGACTCCCTCAGCGGCGACCCGAGCTCCTCCGAAGCTGGCGGCCACTCGGCCAGCGACTCCGGGGCGGCAGGCGTCCGAGGGGAGCGCGGCCTCCGCCGCAGTGGAGCGTGGGACGGGGCTCCCCGGGCCAGGGGCAGCGGGCAGCGGCCCCACGGCCTCGGCGGCTCCTGGGAGCGCGGCAGCGCCGACGGCAGCCCCAGCCTCAGCAGCTCCTGGGACGGAGTGAGTGAGGACCGCGGCTACGCGGCCAGCGACTCCTCCTGGGGCACCGGCAGCGAAGACGCCGGCCGCCGCCTCACAGGCTCCTGGGAGAGACGGAGGGAAGAGGAAGGCTCCCGCAGCGGGGCGGATTGCGAGCGCCCGGCGTCCTGGGGCAGGGCCAGCGAGGACCGCCGCAGCAGCCGGGGCCTGGACTCCACGCCGCCCCCGAGTCCCAGGAGTTGCAGCATGCCGGCCGAGGCCAGCTCCGGCCCCTCTGCTGCATCCAGGGAGACTGCAAGCTCGTGTAAGTCACACGGCGTTGTCGCACTGCTTCTGTGACTTCAGTTCCAGTAGCCACACTCCTGTCTGAACTAGCTTATCCTCAGCTGTCACTCCTCCAACCTTCCTTCCTTATTTCAGCTTTCCTCCCTTTTTCTTTTGCGTTTAACCCTCCCCCCTCCCCCAGCTTCTTAACCTGATGCATACCAGCTCTAGTCAACTATTTCGGATCCCTTAGACCCTTTGGAGGTGACAGGAAGTCTTTTTTTCTTTTCTTTCTCCCATCCTCCCCTTAAATGGTGCTTTTCCCCTTGATGGGGCCTTTCCTAGATCTGTGTTATTCCACCTTCCAGTAAATGTTTATTGATTGCCTATTGCGTGCTGTTTTAAGGACATACCTTCTGGTGGAGAAGATAAAATACCGAGGAACTAATGAGTGATGTGATGAGTGTTATAAAAAGATCTTAGACTGCCATTGGTACCCGTACAGACTGAAGATGGGATCAGAAGGAACTTTGTGGAGTGGGCATTTATCCTAGTGTTCACATCTGGGCTATGATGTCTACAGCACACATTGGAATACCTGGATTAGATGACACTCCAGTTGCTGACTGTGGTTTCCTGCTGATGCAGAGGGTGGCAGGCACAGAGTTGGCTCAAGTGCTTGCCACCGCATGGATTGAGCTCTGACTCCTGGCTTGGGTTCAGGGGACTTGGGAAATAAACCAGAAGATGGGAGTGTTCAGTGTGTGTGTCTCAGATAAATAAGTGAATAATAGTAAGGATAATAAAGAATAAAGCTTTCTGACGTTGAGATAGAGGGAACACTGAGGTCTGAATCCCTTTTGGATGGCAGACTTGTATATACAACTACTTCCTCCCCCCAACTGCTTTGGGCACTTTAAGATTAGTGTGGCTACAGTGTGATTTTGTATCCATTCGTCTCTTCTGTGTTGTCCCAGTTAATTGAACCGTATCTGTCTAAAGCCAGATGCAATAGACCCCAATCCTAACCTTAGAGTTATCTTGGTACTCTTTCCTTATTTCCTGCTTAAGCTCACTTTATCTGGTTTCCATTAGTCTTTGTTGAGTCTGTCTCCTTTTTTCTCCTCTTTCCTGTCTTAGCAGAGGGCCTCAAACTTTGGTTTCCAGTCTGTGTTAGATACCCTCTTCACATAGTCTCCCTGATACTCTAGTCTTATGTTTGCTCCTCTGTCAGCAGATTCTCACTATAACCAGCCATGTAAACTCAGCATCACAAATCTGCACTGTAATTCTGTGCTTAACATTTCTCAGTTATTTTCTGCTGTCTGCTCAAGGTCAGATTTATTGAAGTTCTTTCATAGTCTGTCTCTTGTTCTTTTTCCCAGCTTGTTCTTTGAGCTCTATGTTTTACGCGTCAGCTATAAGATTTTTGTGTGTGTGCTCGCTTGCCATACTATGTGCCTGCTGCCGAGGTCGCCTTTGGCTGCTCCCACTTTACCTTAAAGACTGCTGATCTTTGCAGACTGATCTGAGATGTTACCTTTTCCAGCCCTGTGTTTCATCCCTTTCACACCTATCGTGAGATAGAAGTCATTGTGCTTCTATAAGATCTTATATTTCTGTCTTTGTTTTTACAATATTATTTTATAACCTGTATTTTCCACTAAAATAAATTTAAAAATCATTTGTTTAAAGTTTAGTTTATTCATTTGAAATAGAAAAACTCTCCAAATGGCCACAACAGCTGGGGCCAGGCCAGGCCAGATGGAACAGGAGCTTAGGAGTGTTGTTCAAGTCTCCCACATGGATGCAGGGGTCCAAGCACTTGGGTCATCTGCTTTCCAAAATTCATTAGCAGGGAGGTGGATTGGAAGTGCAGTAGCTGGAGCTGCTGGTTCTACAGGTAGCTGCTTAACCTACTTGGCTGCAACACTGGCCCTGGAGATATGTTTTCATCCTTTTTTTTCTTAGAGTAGACACTAAATTAATGCTTAGTGATGGAGAGGTTGATGAATAAGTGGAGATGGAATGTGGCAAGAGAAAAAGCCATAAAATTATATGGAGTCAAATTATGGGAGGGCATAGAGTGTCATAGTGAGAGCATGAATTATATTCTGACGACAGGCAGTGCCCAGTCAGAAGCGGTTTAGAATGGGAACTTAACTCAGGAAAGACAGCATGGTTTCAGAAGGTTGGTTAGTGTGGATAGTATACCATTTGTCATTCTTGCTGTGCTAAAGGAGAATATGGAGGTCTGATCTCTGGTATTAACATAACATTGTGTGTGTGTGTGTGAGAGCTCCTGCATGTGAGCCTTTCTTGCTGTCTTCCTTGTGGATAAATTTTAGTTTTTTTTTCAGTAAGGAATTTTTTTTTTTTTTAAAGATTTATTTTTATTATTTTTTTATTGGAAAGGCAGATATACAGAGAAGAGAGACAGAGAGGAAGATCTTCCGTCCGATGATTCACTCCCCAAGTGAGCGCAACGGCTGATGTTATGCCGATCCGAAGCCAGGAGCCTCTTCTGGGTCTCCCATGTGGGTGCAGGGTCCCAAAGCTTTGGGCCTTCCTTGACTGCTTTCCCAGGCCACAGGCAGGGAGCTGGAAGGGAAGCGGGGCCGCTGGGATAGAACTGGTGCCCATATGGGATCCCAGGCGTGCAAGGCGAGGACCTTAACCACTTGCGCCACCGCGCCGGGCCCCAGTAAGGAATTTCTTAATACATTAGATTCTCAAGGTCACAGCAAGTGCACGATAATTAACAATTCAATTCTTGAGTTAATGTGATTTAATACAAAGAGAACAATGTAGTTTGCAGATGAAATTAGAAGAAGATAATGATTCTGCTTCCTCTGCATGAACCTTAATTGTTCTTCAAGATTTCACTGAAATGTTTCCTTCTCTGTTAGATCTTAATTTTACCTATATATTTATGGGGATTTTGCTGTCAGGTTTTTGTTTTTATTGTGTTTATCTAAATATATTTAAAGTGTTAGGCAAGGAAAAAATATTTTTTTGAAGATTTATTTATTTTTATTGGAAAGGCAGATATACAAAGAAGAGGAGAGACAGGAAGATCTTCCGTCCAGTGGTTCACTCCCCAAGAGAGTGCAATGGCTGGTGCTGAGCCAATCCAAAGTTAGGAGCCAGGAGCTCTTCCAGGTCTCCCATGTGGGTGGAGGGTCCTAAGGCTTTGGGACGTCCTCGACTGCTTTCCCAGACCACAAGCAGGGATCTGGATGGGAAGCGGGGCTGCTGGGACTAGAACCAGTACCCATATCGGATCCCGGGCATGCAAGGTGAGGGCTTTAACCACTATGCTGTTGTGCTGGGCCCATGGAAAAAAATATTAAATTCATGTTTATTTTTCATTCCTTTCATAATGCCCAGTACACAGTGGATGCTAAGGAAGGAGCCTGTTGCTAAGGGCTGGGGCAAGATAGGATCCCAGTGTGTTAGGCATGATTTTTTAATGCTTAGATAACTGGAGTTCTAATAATGGCTAAGGACAGCAACACAGATTTGTTAAGTTGTTTTCAAAATGTGTTAGGAATCCTGTCTTTTTATTTTATTTCAAGAATGCTTTGATTAAACTATTTTGTCCTTTCTCCAATAAGTGGTCATGCTCAAATACCTTTATTGCCTATGAGTCATAATGCATTATCAAGAATCACAGTGTATTCTTGATGCTTGGAAAGTTAGATTTAAAATCTAAAACACTTGAGAGAAGCAACTAAAATTTGTGATCTGTTAAAGTCTTCACTGAGGAGTAGGCCGTTTTTTAAGGAGGATATAATGGGTGTATTTCAAAAGAGTTACTCTCCCCTCTAGTTTATCAAAGAAGTGAAGTAATTTTTCTTGTTTTTTTTTTTTTTAATTTTAATTTTTTTCCTCACAGTGATTACCTTTCCGGAGTTTCTGAAGGTAAAATCTATGAAAGCATAGGGCTATGTGACACTGGCCATGAGTAGCTTCCTATTGTAGACTGCTGTATTCTCAGTCCCAATCAAGTATTCTACACAACTGTGTGAGTGCTTTTAATCATGTTTGGTTCTTGGGACCAAGTGAACTGAACTCCACTCTTTATGTGAGGTGGCAGTGTGTCCAAGACTTCAGTTCTCTGGTGAGTGCAAAGAGTTGTTGATTTTCTGTTGCATGTAAGGGAGTAGTATCCACTTCAGTGCATCTACTTGACAGAATGGAAGCTGGGTACCTGAATAGGATGTTAATCACAAATATCTTTGTAGTAAAGCATTTGGGACCGTAACAGGATTTTTATACTTTTTTGTTGAATTATTGTTTGTTTGTTTTTTTTTTTCTTTTTCTCTCAGTTTCTCATTACAGTTCAGAAATATATTTTGAATAATTTGATTTTTCAGCAGGTGCGAGGAAGAAGGTACATTTTGATAGTATACATGATGCAGTACGAGCCGGAGACGTGAAGCAGCTTTCAGAAATAGTGGAACGTGGAACCAACATTAATGAAGTTGATGTTCTCCATAAATTTACCCCTTTACACTGGGCAGCACATTCTGGAAGTTTGGAGGTAAGATGTATGTTTTATGAAGCTGAGGCAAATTGACAGCTATTGTGTTTTTCAAATTTAGTAAACAGATGAATCTTATATTAAATGCTATAGATATTTTTCTTTTCAGTAAATTTATATTTCAATTTCACTTTGCTATGTATCCATGTTTGAATCAGTAATTTGGATCTCAGCCACAATGTATCTCTGGTACAATTTCTTTTTTCTTTTTTTCTTTTTTTAAAGACTGATTTATTTGAAAGAATTAAACAGAAGGGCCTGGCCCTGTAACATAGTGGCTAAAATCTTTGCCTTGCATTCTTTGGGATCCCATATGGGTGCCAGTTCATGTCCTGGCCTGCCCTGCTTCCCAACCAGCGCCCTGCTTGTGACCTGGGAAAGCAGTAGAGGATGGCTCAAAGCCTTGGGATCCTGCATCTGTGTGGGAAACCTGGAAGAAACTCCTGGCTCCTGGCTTTGGATTGACTCAGCTCTGGCTGTTGTTGCCAGTTGGGGAGTGAACCAGTGGGCGAAGATCTTTCTCGCTGTATTTCTTTCTCTCTGTAGATCCTCTTTTCCAATAAAAATACATTATTTAAAAATTTAGAAAGAGGTAAAGAGGGAGAGGGGAGGAAAAGAGAGAGAGAAGCTGAGAAATCCTCTATTTGGTACTTCACTCCCCAGATGGCCACAGTGGCTAAAGCTGTGCTAGTGTGAAGTCAGGAGCTGCTTCTGCCTCTTACGTGGGTGCAAGGGCTGTCTTGCGTTGTTTTCCCAGGTGCATTAGTTAGGAGCTGGATCAGAGGTGGAGTAACTGGCATCAAACTGGTGCACATATTGGATGCAGGTGTCACAGGCAGGAGCTTTACCTGCTGTCTCACTATGCTGGCCACCTCTAGTCCATAATTTCTAGGACTTCAGCTGGCAGATTTGAAAGATGGAGCTGTCGTCTTTGAAAGGATTGTGTGGTGGTTAATGCTAACTGAAATGACACCTTAATTCATCTCCATGTGGGCCTTTTTGTGCAAGGTCTCTTCACATGCACTGGTTTGTACTGCCTCGCATTATTATTATGGCTGGGTTCCATAGAAAGGCAGCGGGTATAGCTTATAGAGGATTGCATTAAGAATATCTTTACTAACAGTTTACAATAGTTTCAGATTTTTAGAAAGTAATTGATACTACAGATATCTTTAAAATACTTGAGCATCCCAGGTGCTGCTTTACTTTCAAACTCCAAAGGTAATGATTGTACAAACTTTGGGATGGTTTATTCCTGTCTATGTTTTATGCTATTATTGTATATGATTATGTAATTATTTTGCATGACATTCTTTATATAAATGGCATCACATTATGTGTGTCATTTTGCACCCTGCTTTTTTTTTCTGTTGCAATTTGGAATTTTAACTGTGGTTATATATGTGCTCTAGTTAATTTCTTTCAGTCATTTTTAAAAAAGGTTTATTTTTATTGGAAAGTCAGATTTACAGAGAGACAGAGATTTCTATCTGCTGGTTCACTTTCCAAGGAGCCACAATGGCCAGAGCTGAGCGCCAGTCTGAAGACAGGAGTCAGGAACTTCTTCTAGGTCTCCCTCACAGCTACAGAGTCTGAAGGCTTTGGCCCATCCTCTACTGCTTTCCCAGGCCACAGGTAGGGAACTGGAAGGGAAGTGGAACAGCTGGGACATGAACAGGTGCCGATATGGATGCTGGTGTTTGGAGGTGGAGAATTACCCAGTTGAGCCATGGTGATGGGCCCTAGAACCTGTTGTTTCTATCTAACAGTGTTTTTTTTAGCCCTTATTTGACCTGCTTTTGTCCTCCCTTCCCCAGATTTTCCCAGACTCTAGTAAGACCAGTATCTTTTTTTTTTTTGAAGATTTATTTATTTATTGGAAAGTCAGATATACAGAGAGGAGGAGAGAGAGAGAGGAAGATCTTCTGACTGAGCACAACGGCCGATGCTATGCCAATCTGAAGCCAGGATCCAGGAAGCTCTTCCGGGTATCCCACATAGGTGCAGGGTCCCAAGGCTTTGGGCCGTCCTCGACTGCTTTCCCAAGTCACAAGCAGGGAGCTGGATGGGAAGTGGAGCTGCCGGGATTAGAACCGGCGACCATATGGGATCCTTGCGTGTTCAAGGTGAAGACTTTAGCCGATAGGCCACTGTGCCGGGCCCAGATCAGTATCTTTTAAATTAAGCAGATTTTATGTCCTGTCAATCTTACATTTATCTAAGAGAAATGCAAAAGCAGTTTAGAAATGTTTATAATGGTTTTATTCTGCTGTCTCAGAATAGTGCTAGCACATTATTTTTGTTGAATTTGCCGACTTACTGTGATTGGTAGTAAGACTGCATTTTTACAAATGTGTTTTGGTTACTAATCTCTATGACAAGCAAATGGTACCAAAATAAGCCTTTTAAACAAATGGTATGGCTTTGATTGATGTGACATTGTGTTTCAGTGAGCCAAGAGTTTCATCCAGGTCTCCCAAATGGGTACAGGAGCCCAGGTGCTTGGGCCATCCTCTGCTGCAACCCCAGGCAAATTAGCAGAGAGCTGAATGAGAGATGGAACAGCAGGGACTTAAACTGGTAACTGTAGGAATCGTGCATTACAGGTGCTGGCTTAACGTGCTGTGCCACAATATTGGTCTCTGTTTACCATCTTTGGTTTTGATATTTTGTTCATAGTAACACTTGGCTATAATTAAGTAGCGTCTACACCTTACAAAGAAGAAAGGTTGATTTCAGTTTGCCTCAATTCTTACTATCCTTTATTATTTACCCTAGAGTAAGGCCAAGTTGGTTGCCATATCACTGCAGTTGTAACTTTTTAATTTGTAGTTAAATCTGGTATCCTAATTCATTTAAGGTGCTTCTCAAGTTACAGTGGGAATTTTGTGAGAATTGATTCAATTTAAAGCATATGGGAAGTTTAAAAGATCTCCTTTTTTCACTTTGTAACATTTTCTTAGTGTCTTCATTGGCTACTGTGGCATGGAGCTGATATCATGCAAGTAACTTCAAAAGGTTGGACAGCAGCTCACATAGCTGCAATCAGAGGTCAAGATGCTTGCATGCAGGTAATAATCACTTGGGATACTTTTTAAAATTCATTAAGTTGAATTACTTTAACATTGTTATGTTGGCTTTGCAATAGTTCTAATTATTTGATCCAGTAGAGTTATGTTTTAAACAAGAACTTGCTGGATCGTATGACTCAGATGTTTTTGTATCTCGTGCCTACTAATATGGTATGAGCCCAGTCAGTGATCCTTTTATGTCTGATGTAGTGGCTCTGTGAGTTGTTTTGAGAGATGTCGCAGTCATGCCCAGATGATCTCTTTTTTAGTTTGCTGTTATGATCTTACTGTTTGTGTCTTCCCCAAATAAATACAAATGTCAGTTTGTATGTGTGTGTGATTAGCTATAGGATTCCCCATGATTACCAAAAAACGAGAATGTTCAAGTCTCTTGTATTAAGTGGTATGGCATATGTATATAACCCTTGAATATCCTTCCATAGGTTTTAGTTCTAGGTTATTGACAAATTATGTAATTGCTGCATAAATAGTGGTTATAGGATAGGATGAAAGGAATCATGTCAAGGAACAAAGTGTTTCTGCGTCCAGCATGTTTTTTCCTAATATGTCTAAATTTGTGTATGTGCAATCTCTGGATATGGAAGTCTTGAATCTTGAAATCTTTACCTCGAAGATGATAGTATTAGGAGGCAGGGCTTTTGGGGAGGTTGTTAGGTTATGAAGACTGTTGTCACGAGTAGAATTAGTACCATTGGAATAGGCATTTTGTCCATGGAGAGCTAGCTCATCCCTTACCTTATATGTGAGGACGCAGGGAGAAAGTGTGGCTATGCAGAAAAGGCCGCCACCAGACAACAGTCTTAGCCTTTTCATTTTGGGTTTCTAACTCTTCAGAATTGTGAGAAATAAATTTTTATTATTTATAAGCTATCCAGCTCATATAGTTTTGTTATTCCTGCTTGAAAAGACTGAAGTGCTTGCCATGCCTGAAATTCTTTACTTAATGTATTGCCTAGGAAAGGAACACATTAACATTTGGCAAGATATAGTTTGTTGTAGAGTCTGCATTTAATCAATGTGTGAGGTGGACTGGAATTTAGCAGAATGTGAAGTTGTGTAAACAAACAATCCCTGCTGTTAAGAAGTCTGGGAATTTGAAGTGACAGAAATTCTACTCAGTGAAAGAAAACACAAAGAAAAACGTATGATTGAGGTTTTTTTTTTTAAATGAGAATGTCATCTTTTTTTTAAAGATTTATTTATTTTTATTGGAAAGGCAGATATACAGAGAGAAGGAGAGACAGAGGAAGATCTTCCATCTGATGAGTCACTCCCCAAGTGAGCACAATGGCTGGTGCTGTGCCAATCCAAAGTTAGGAGCCAGGAACTTCCTCCAGGTCTCCCATGTGGGTGCAGGGTTCCAAGGCTTTGGGCTGTCCTCGACTGCTATCCCAGACCACAAGCAGGGAGCTGGATGGGAAGTGTGGCACCAGGATTAGAACCAGCACCCATATGGGATCCCAGGGCTCGTGCATGGCAAAGACTTTAGCTTCTACGGTACCCTGCTGGGCCCGTAGCTTCACTCCTGATCCAGCACTCTGCTAATGACCTGGGAAAGCAATGGAGGAGGGTGAAATCCTTGGACCTCTGCATGTATGTGGAGACTGGAGGAGGCTCCTCACTCCTGGTTTTAGACTGACGGGGTTCTGGCAGTTGTGGCCATCTAGGAAATGAACCAGTGGATGGAAAATCTCTGTCTCTCCTCTCTGTAAAATCTGCCTTTCATTATGGACAAGGAGAATTGTAGAATTTAGGAAAAAGTTGAGGTTTTATAATGGATGAAATAAAATATCAGCTAAACTTAAAAACTGGTTTGATTTTTGAGGTAAGAAGTGTTGTTGGCATGAAATATGTTCAAATCCAATAGGAGTGTATCACTTATTCAGTATTCTTATGTGACAGTCACAGTGTTTGATTTGACATAGAGATTCTGTGAGTTCCTCTTTTTGTAGATCAGGAAACAGATTTCAGAGTAAGTTCTTTGCTTATGTCAGTGACAGAGTCAGAATTTGAACCTAGATTTGTCCTATTAATCTGTATAATGTATAATGTAACTTTGACTGAGTGTAGGTGATTTGTCATGTGGCCTGTTATGAACTGTGGATAGATCAGATTTATAAAGTGTGTTAGAAGTAAAGTATTTTGGATTCTTTGTAGAGAAAAAGGGGTCTTATACCCAGTTGTTTGTATATGACAACACTTAAGAACGTGGGAAACAGGATTGAAAGTAAGTTTATTTTGGTGTAAAAAAATTACAGTCTTGGAGTGTTCACTTTCTATGAACTATTTGAAGATTTCTCATTATTTTATATATCCATATATAGAGACATACATATGTACATATACATGCATCCCGGCTCATGCAAGGCGAGGACTTTAGCCGTTAGGCTAATGCGCCAGGGCTAGGTCTTTGATCTATTTTAAATTGGACTGTTTTATTGTTTTTGAATTTTAAGAATTTTATATATATATTGGGGAACAATGCTTTACTGACTTTACCTGTCGCAAATATTTTCTCCAGTCTGTAAATTGTCTTTGGGTCTCTTGAGACTGTTTTTTGCAAAACAGCAATCTTTACTTTATTAAAGTCCAGTTTATCAACTCTTCTCATGGATTGCATCTTTGATGTATGTAAATCTTATTGCCAACCCTGGGTTACTTAGACTTTATCATGTGATATCTCCTATGAGTTTTATGGTTTTGCATCTTATGGTTACGTAGATCTGTAATATATTTAGAATTAATGTTTTTGAAGGGTATAAGGTCTGTTTCTCCTTCTGTCTGTAAATCTGACTTTCCAATAAAAATAAATAATAAATGTTAAAGAAATGATTAGCCAAGAATTTCCTAATTTGGTTGTTGTACATGTTTAGCAACATAAATGATAATTTAGCTGTAGGCTAATAAATTACTTGCCTGCAAATATTCTGCACCTTCATCATTTATGCTTGTGTAAGCTCCTGTGCATTTCTCTGTTTTAGGCTCTAATAATCAATGGAGCAAATCTGAGCGCTCAAGATGATCGTGGATGCACCCCTTTACATCTTGCTGCAACTCATGGACACTCGTTTACTTTACAAATAATGCTCCGAAGTGGAGTGGTGAGGGACTCCTGTCAACTAGTGATTGTATACTATCATAGATGGGGTAGTATTTGGTAGTTTGATTACTTCTTTTCACCTTTAAAAATCTCTTATATGACTGGGAAAGTAATTTAGTTTTTCCATTTAGCGTTTCCATCTTTAAAGTTGGAACGGTAATTCAGATAAATCTCCTTTCCTGCTGCTTCCCTTACTCCCCTACAAAGTATGAAGAATTTCCCAGGCATTAGGTTCTTCATGCTGGTTCAGAGTGTGCGAAGAGTCTGCAGCTTCCAAATAAGGGTAACCAAGTGATTGAAAATCTTTATGCATTTCTTTGTGTCCACCTAAGTGATTTTTCTCTATATATATTTTGTTTATTTATTGCAGTATTTATTTTTACCATTATTCAGTTGTGGTAAAACACAAAAAAATCCTCCTGTGGTGGGTACTGTGGCACAGCAGAGCAAGCTGTTGCCTGGATTGTTTGCATTCCGTATTGGAATGCTGATTTGTGTCTTGGCTCTTCCACTTTGAATTCAGTTGCCTGTCAAGTATGTATATTCCTGGGAAGTAGCATATTGACGATTCAGGTATTTGAGTTTCCTGCCACCCACGTACCACGTTCCAGCTGTGCAGCATTTCGGGAGTAAGTCAGTGGACAAAAGGGCTCTGTGTCAATTCTGTTTTCTATCTCTTTGCCTTTCAAATAAATTAATACATCTTAAAAAAAGAAGCTTTTATATATAAAGAAATGCTTATATTGATTATAATAATTGCATTGTATTGAGAATGTGCATCTGTAATTAGGGAAAACATTTAAAAATTAAGAATTTTTAATAGCTTTTAATGTTTTTGAGCGCTCAGTGATATGATTTGATCATTGAATTGTCCTTTCATTGTATTTGAGGTTGGTAGTTCATTTTTAGAAGCTGTTTTATGTGATTAGTTATATTTTTGATTGATTGATTTGAGAGGCAGCATTACAGAAACAAATGTAGAGAGCTCTCCCACCCACTGACTCACTCCCTAGTAACTGTGCCTGCTGAAGACAGGAACTTCATCTGGGTCTCCCATGTGAGTGACAGAAGCCCAGGCACTTGGAGCCACCTTTTGCAGCTTTGCTTTCTTGGGAACTTTAGCAGGGAGCTGGATGCAAAGAGGAATAGCTGAGATTCAAACTAGTGCCTATATAGGAAACCAGCATTACCTGCAGTAGCTTAGCCCACTGTGTTACAATGCTGGCTGTATAATCTTTTTTTTAATCTTTTTTTTTTAATTTCAGTTTTTATTCTTTCATTTATTTTTCCTTTTTTGTGTATAATCATTTTTTTTATTATTATTTATTTATTATTTTTATTGGAAAGGCGGATATACGGAGAGGAGAGACAGAGAGGAAGATTTTCCGTCCGATGATTCACTCCCCAAGTGAGCGCAACGGGCCGATACTATGCCGATCCGAAGCCAGGAGCCTCTTCTGGGTCTCCCACGCGGGTGCAGGTTCCCAAGGCTTTGGGCCGTCCTCGACTGCTTTCCCAGGCCACAGGCAGGAAGCTGGAAGGGAAGCGGGGCTGCCGGGATTAGAACCGGCGCCCATATGGGATCCTTGCGTGCAAGGCGAGGACCTTTAACCACTTGCGCCACTGCGCTGGGCCCGTATAATCATTTTTAAAAGATGATTTTATATAACCTTTTACATATTTTATATTACATTTTATATACAGTACATATTTATATTACATATTTTAGATATATTTTATGTTTAATTTGTTTATTATAAAACTTCTGTAGTATCCTATTAGCTCATGTGTTGCAGTCAGTGGTTGTGATACGTTTTCTATTACGTTTATAGTTTGCTTGACAGTTTTAAGAACAGCTTTCAATTTTTATTTGTAAACGTTAGCTGTTGAGCTTAGTGTTTTCCCTACAAAATGGAGAAAAACTGGATGCTTGTCAATATTCCCTCTAGGATCCCAGTGTGGCTGATAAGAGAGAATGGAGACCTGTACATTACGCCACTTTTCATGGGCGACTTGGCTGTTTGCAGCTTCTTGTTAAATGGGGATGTAGCATAGAAGATGTGGACTACAATGGAAATCTCCCAGGTATTTAGCCAAAGCAGCTATTTCAATTTTCATTAATGTGAACTTCTAAATGTTTGATCACAGTTAAAACATTTAAGCTGTTCTCATTCTAATAAAACCAAGTAATAAAAATCTTGAAGTGACCATTTTAAAAACTTTATTTTTGAACATTTTTAAAGATTTCATAAAATCCAAATGTTATGTTCTTGTTTGAATTTTTTGGTCCTGAAAGCATAATCAGCAAAATAATGCCTGCTCCATTGACAATTTTTTTCTTTTAATATTACTTTATGTTATTTTGATGTTATTTACATAATTGAGAGAAATGCATGCCCATGTGAAACCTCTGATTAGGGTGGGTGGGTATGGAGATATGAAAAGGTGGATGGGACAAATGTTTTATTTTTTTTCTCCTGTGTTCCCAGGGGAGGTTGGGGAGGGAGCTGCTCCTTGGTGCCAAACTATGTCAGCAGCTGGGGACGGGGGATGGTCATTTGATGACTCCGTGGAGCCCCTATATGGGGAAGAGTGTTCTGAGTGTGATACTTGAGTACAGTTGTTTTTTTTTAATATAAAAACACTAGTATATTTGAATTAATTTGCTGTTATAGTTGTTTATCTTGTGATAAGTTTACCAGTTGATCAGGCTCTATAGATCATATCTTCTTTAAGAAATTGTACAGAAATTCAGAAGGCAGAGAGATCATGGTGATTAGAGTGAAATGATACCTTGATTACACCTTGTGGGAATCTTCTTTTTTTATGTTTAACATTTTTTTAAAAATTTATTTTTAATTGGAAAATCAGATATACAGAGAGGAGAAGAGACAGAGGAAGGTTTTCCATCTGATGATTCACTCCCCAAGCTGCTTCAGTACCTGGAGCTGAGCCGATCTAAAGGCAGGAGTCCAGAGCCTCTGCAGGGTCCCAAGGCTTTGGGTCGTCCTCGACTGCTTTCCCAGGCCACAAGCAGGGAGCTGGATGGGAAGCGAGGCTGCTGGGATTAGAAACAGCCCATCTGGGATCCTGGCGCGTTCAAGGCGAGGACTTTAGTCACTAGGCTACCTAGTGGCATCGAGCCTACCTTATGGGAATCTTAAGATACAAATATATCAAAAAGAAGGTCAGCCAGAATAATATGAACAGGTCTGATAAATCACATTGCCATTTGGAACCTCTCTGGGTCCCTATAGAGCCTCTGATGCCTTAGACTGGCAGGCTAGACCTTCCTAATGTAACTCCCCACTCAGCCCTCACCTCCCTCCTTTGTTTTTAACTACCTAGGGCCTCTTCAATTTTACTTATTTATTTTTATTGAAGTATAACTGTTAATGTTTATTTGGTGATGATCTGTTCATATGAACCTAAATTTATTTTTTGTATCTGAAAATGACTTAATTTGCTCATTTTCTTTAAAAGGTAAAGTTTTAAATTTAGCTATGTATACAGAAAAAGTACTAATTCAAATGTACAACTCATTGAGTTGCAAATTTTTTTAATAAAATGCCTGATAATTTTTGTAGCATTTTTTGTCTGCTGATTAAGAAAGATCCAATTTTTGTTTCCTTAAATATGTGTAATTATTACAAAACCATGTAATTGTTCTTACCATTGCAAAAGGTAAGAATGTGGCCTCATGTTTAGACTGCTTGTGTTCAAACTTCTCCCAAAATAACTACTCATTTGCTGTGTGTTTATTGAATGCTAATTTTATGTCAGTGCCTGCTTCTAAGAAATGGGCGATCACATCCAATAAGGCAGAGGTCTTCCCTTCAGCTGGTAGTGAGGGGAGAGACAGTTATTAAAATCAATGAGCAGTGCTCACTTCGGCAGCACATATACTATAATAATAAAATCAATGAGCAAAACACAGGAAGAAGTATTTGGGTAAACATAATGTAGGAAAATAGACAGTATTGGAGTAGGTGATTGTTGTTGTTGTTTAATTTTAAATATATTTTTATATTCAATTCTGAATTATGTGGTACAATTTCGTATAGGCTGGGATTCCCCCCAAATTCCCACTTCCTGACAGATTTTTCCATTTTGCTACAGTAGTGTAGTCCTTCATAAGGAGTCATAATTCTATTAGTCTCTTATTTAAATGTACCGTGACATTGTTGGTACAGACAATGTCAGGCAGTCCAACATCCCATTGTCTACACATGTCCAACAGTTGCATTGAGAATCTGTCTTTCGTCTGAAAGCAGGGATGCATGTTCCATTATTCCCCCACATCTGTATATGATAGACCCCAGTACTCCATTACTATACATTACCATAAGTGAGAAGCCATGAAACCAGGTCAACAACTGGTATGAGTTAGAATAGCCACAACAACATTAACAACAAATTACATCACAGTGAAAAAACATGCCACTGAGTAACCAACACTTGAGCGACAAAAAGGAAACACAAAAGTCTCTTGGGAAAAATGATGCCACCGTGTAATCCATGAGCCAGTGATTAATTTGACAAGAGGAAAAAAATTATTTGGAATAAACATAACTGAAAAAACATCAAAGCACATGGGATACAGCCAAAAAAGCAAGCAAGCAACCAAAAAACAGTATGGATTGAATTGTTGAAATTACACTTTGCATGTTGGTTTCCTTATATAAGAGAGAATATATGGTATTTATTCTTTTGTGATTGGCTCATTTCACTGAGCATAATGGTCTCTAGTTGGGACCACTTGGTTGTAAATGGTATAATTTTATTCTTAATAGCTGAATAATATTTCATGAAGTAGATGTACCACAGTTTCTTTAACCACTCTTTGGACACACGTCTGGTTTATTTCCATGTCTTTGCTATTGTAGATTGTGCTGCTGTAAATATAGGATTGCAGATCCCCTTCCATATGCAGTTTTAATTTCCTTTGGATATATTCCAAGGAGCAAGATAGCTGGGTCATATGGCAGGTTTATTTGCAGTTCTCCAAACACTTTCCATACTGATTTCCACAGTGGTTGTACAAGCCTACACTCTCATCAGCAGTGAAGGAGCGTGCCTTTCTCCCCACATCCACACCAGCAGGTGGTATTAGCTGAGTTCTGAGTAGATGAAGTTTAAAGTGAGTGGCCAGATAAGCCTTCACTGTGTGGATAAAGACCTAAAGGAGATGAGGGGGCAGGTCTTGTGGTTATTTCTAACGAAGAACATTACAGAAGTAGCAGTAAGTGTGAAGCTTCTTGCACAAGGGGGTGCCTCACGTATGTAAGTGATGGCAAGTTGGTGTGGTTGAGATGGAAATGAGGGATGGAATCACACATAATGAGGCCACAGAAGGAACATGAATCATGGAGTGCATTGAGCACAGGAGTAATAGGGCATAGCTTATGTTTGAAGGATCATTTGGGCTATTATGTCCATAATAGATTACAGTAAGGATATGAGGGTAGCAAGGGTCAGAAATAGGGAGAGTAGTTAGCACTCTAAAGCAGTTATGAAGTCTACCATTTGAATTGGATCAGTGTGGGTGGTATACATAGGGAGAAGTAGTTGAATTCTGTAAGTAGTGTATATTCTGAAGAAGTCTGTAGAAATTGCTAATGGATTAGATGTGGGGAGTTACTAAGGGCAGTTGAGAGTAGTTTTGAGGGTTTTGCCTGAACAATATGAAAAGGAGAGAATTTCCTTGACTAAGATGGGGAAGACTGTGTAAAGAAAATGTGACAAAAACAAGGAATCCAGCTTTTGACATGTTTAGATAGGTGTACAGTGACATTTGAGTACATAGTATGAATAAGTTAGAGAATTCTTAAGTGTCAGTGGGAGTTTTTTAAAGGAAGGGGTAACTGGATAAGGATAGAGTGTTTGTTACATACCGGTCACTCAACTTCTGGGCACTGGGGCTTGTGTCTGCTGAGTTGAACTGATGACTTGACACTGCTGTACAGCTCATGAAGGCTTATGCATAGCTTGCTTTTATTTCACAAGTGATCATGTCTTCAGAGTTGTAAATACTCTGCATTCCTTGCCTCTAGGCTTGCATATCCCCATAGGCACTTGGTGTTCCTTCCTTTTGGAGGTTTTGGATTACGACTAACCCTCAGTCAGTTCCAGTGCATGTTTTTTTCCTTTTTAAAACGTTTCCTGCCTGTTCCTGGGTTTCTTGTTTCTTTAGTCCTTTGTACTTTTAAAATATATATTTTCCATTCTTTTCAAGGACTTGGGGTGGAAATGATGAGAACGGTATATGCATAGTCTGTAGTTTTGATTCAGTCTTCCTATTTGTAAGTAAATAATGAATTATTATAGAAAAGTAGGGCCTGGCGTGGTGGCCTAGCGACTCAAGTCCTTACCTTGAATGGGCTGGGATCCCATGTGGGCGCCGATTCTAATCCCGGCAGCCCTATTTTCCCATCCAGCTTCCTGCTTGTAGTCTGGGAAAACTGCTGAGGATGGCCCAAAGTCTTGGGAACCTGCACCCATGTGGGAGATCTGGAAGAAACTCCATGCTCCGGGCTTCAGATTGGCTCAGCTCCAGCTATTGCGGTCACTTGGGGAATGAATCATCGCATGGAAGATCTTTTCTCTCATTCTCTGCTCTCTGTATATTTGACTTTCCAATCAAAATATTTTTTTTTTAAAAAAAGAAAAATAACATATGTAGTGACAAAGCAATTAATATTTTCGTAATGATTTTTCTAACTTATCTCTATTATTTCCCTGAAGTATTGAGTTTATTTATTTATCTTTTTTAAAAAGATTTATTTATTTTTATTTATTTTTATTACAAAGTCAGATATACAGAGAGGGGGAGAGAGAGAAGATCTTCATTTGATGATTCATTCCCCAAGTGAGCGCAACGGCCAGTGCTATGCTGATCCGAAGCCAGGAGCCAGGAACCTCCTCCAGGTCTCCCACACGGGTGCAGGGTCCCAAGGCTTTGGGCCGTCCTCCACCGCCTTTCCAGGCCACAGGCAGGGAGCTGGATGAAAAGTGGAGCTACCTGCATTAGAACCGGCGCCCATATGGGATCCTGGCGCGTTCAAGGCGAGGACTTTAGCCACTGGGCCATGCTGCTGAACCCGTATTTATTTATTTTACAACCGCTTGCTCATGCAGTGATAAATTGCATAATTGAGATTTCACTTTTTTAGGATTTATTTTATTTTTTTCGGAAAGTCAGATGTACAGAGAGAAGAGAGACAGAAAAATCTTCCATCTGCTGACACTCACCAAGTGGCCACATGGCCAGAGCTGAGCCGATCCGAAGCCAGGAGCCTGGAGTTTCTTCCAGATCTCCCACTTGTGTGCAGGGTCTCAAGGCTTTGGGCCATTCTCAACTGCTTTCCCAGGCCACAAGGCGGGAGCTGGATGAGAAGTGGGGCCACCAGGACATGAATAGGCTCCCATATGAGATTCTGGTGGAGATGCAAGGTAGAGGACTTTAGCCACGAGGCTATCACGCTGGGCCCAAGAGATTTTACTTTTAATCAGTTAATATTTTAAGTTATTTTTAAAAGACAACTTGTAATTAATTAGTTTTTATTATTTTATTATTTTTTTTTTGAAAAGAAAAAGAGAAATGTAGTAGGGAGGGGTTGGCGAGAGAAAAAGAGATAAGAGAAACAGACAAGGAGAACTTCCATCCATTGATTTACTCTGCAAATCTGCTTGAGAGCCAGAAGCTCAAGATGCCCAATCTGAGTCTCCCACTTGAGTCTGCTGCCTGCTTTGGAGTGCATTAGCAGGAAGCTGGGATTCGAACTAAAGGTGAAACTGTAGTATGGCATGCAAGTGTCCCAAGAAGTTCTTATGCATTACATGAAATGCCTGTTCCATTGAATTTAAGTTTTTAAAAATAATTTGGTGGGATCTGATCGGTTGTGATCCTTATCTGTTCTCGGTATGTTTACAGTAAGTCTCGTATGTAGCTGATTAATGTGTTGCTTGGGCAAGGATCAAAGGCTAACCGCATCAAGAGCTTGAGGTTGGCACCAGGTTCTTTCTAGATCTGAGGATGTCTTTCCCTTCATGTGGTGTGGGAGTAGTTATCTCCCTATGAGCATTAGACTTAATGTGTTCTCAAGTTGTTTTTATTTCCATTATAAAATTAATGTTCCCCTCTTTTCTACATAGTTCATTTAGCAGCCATGGAAGGCCACCTTCACTGCTTTAAATTCCTACTTAGTAGGATGAGTAGTGGGACACAAGCTTTAAAGGCCTTTAACGATAATGGAGAAAATGCATCAGACCTGGCACAGAGGTTTTTTAAGCAAAACATTTTGGAGTTTATCAAGAGGACTGAGTATGAAGAAAAATACCCAGAAGATCAGGAAAGTAAGTAATGAACCTGAGATGTTTTAGCATATGATACAGTGATAATAGATTTAATAGAGTAGAAAGAAAAGAGAAGTTATAAGGCAAAAGTTATGTTCAAATTTATTATGCATCATTGTCTGCACATTCATCCAGGTTCTTTATTGTGAAATATTTTGGACAATAGTGTTTGGAGATTAACAATAAGAGAACTGTTAGTATTGCTAAACTTAAGAGTAGAATATCCCTGGAGTCTATTCCTAATGCTGTTCACTTTGTTACTGTTCTCTCCAGTGATAAGCTATTGTTTTGAATTAGTCATCTTATTCTCGGGTCTTCTGTTTTAGTTCTAAGGCATATGAATGTATTCATAGAAACAAAGATATTATTTTGTATGTGTGTTAGTTGAAAGGCTAATCTACTGTAATAAGAAAACTGCAACATTCAATGGCTTAAATTATGTGGAAATTAAGTGTGTGTGGCAGTCCAGGTTTGAGAGGGACTCTGAGTAGTCATTCAGGGTCTTCGTATCTTTCAACCTTTCCTAGTAGTTACTAATCTAACGGGCTGAAGAGGGAGCTGGGACAGAGAAATCTTCCATCCACTGGTTCATTCCCCAAATGTTTGTACTCAGCAGGTCTGAGCCAGGCTGAGGCAAAGAGCTGTGAACTCCATCCATGGGTGACAGGGACCAGGTATTAGGGCTTTCTTCTGAGTGCTTTCTAATGTATATAGGCATGGAAATAGATTGGTAATAGAGTGGTTAGGACAAGAACCCTTAAGTGATTTCAGCATTTCAGGTGGCAGTGTAACCTATTGCTTCACAGTGTCAGCTCTGTTTTTTTTTAATGTTTATTTTACTTGAAGAACAACAGACTCTCTCTGTGTCTCTCTCTGTCTCTCTCTCACACACACATACACACAGATTAGTTGATTTTTGCAATCACTGTTTCATTCTCCTGATGCTTGCCAGTGGCCGTCAGTTCAGGGCCAGGCAGCACCCAGGAGCCTGAGTCTCCCATTTGGGTGTCAGGCTTCAAACCACTTGAGCTGTCATCAGCTGCATCTTGTTAAGGCTTAGCATTTCACCATGGAGTACAAGTGTCCCAAACAGTAGCTCAGCTACTGCTAAGTATTTGTTTTATTTATTTATTTATTTATTTATTTTTCTCTTATATAAAGTGTAAATGGCAAAGTGTTTGATTTTCTTAATGTTGAATGAGGCAGTCTTTACTAGTGCTTACTATTGTGTTTGGCTCAATAATATGTAGTCATCATCATTAAAAACATTTTACTAAGTATTAGGTACCCAGTTAGATACAACTGTTTAAACACACATGCACCCATACCTAACTTGATTCGAGATTATTTTGCTTTATTTCCATTCAAATGAAGAAAAGAGTGATGTAGGCAAATATAGACCTTGACACCAAGTGTGTCTTTATATAGTGTTGAAAATGACCACCAGCTTGTATTTTGAGGTAACAGGATGAAAGAGAACAGGCCTAAGAATAGTTCCGATGCACTGCTTTCATGTGTTTTAACATCCTGAAAGGAGGAAGGGTAGCATAGTTAGTAATAATCTTATTTTATAATTCTTTTTATTACTTGTCATTGCATTAGTTGAACTCATTCCTTTACAGCAGTCTCATACTCGAGGAAACATTGAAACTTGAAATATACTAAGGGATGAAAGGGATAAAATGTTTACTGAAATGCTTAATTGCTTATTCAAAGCTTTAGCATATCCAGGTCATGTGGCTGCCTCTAAGGGTGATTTGGAAATGCTTAAGAAATTAGTAGAAGATGGAGTAATCAATTTGAATGAACGTGATGATAATGGATCAACTCCTATGCATAAAGGTAAGTTATAATTTCTGCTTCATATTGAGTTCTGACACATGGAACTATAAAAGTGTTTTCTGATGTACCTGTATATACCAGTCCACATCATATGGTATGCAGAACATCTGATTTTCCTATTTTTAAAATATTTGTTAATTTGAGAGTTACAAAGAAAAGAGACAGACAGATCTTGTGTCGGCTGATTCACTCCCCAGATGACCACAGGCGAGCCCTGAGCCAGGCAGAAACCAGGAGCCACATACTTCATCTGGGTCTTCCACATTGGTGGCAGAGGCCCACACTTTGCTGCTTTCTCTGGCAGTTGGCAGGGAGTTGGATTGTAAGTGGAGCAGCTGGGATATTATCTAAGGCAGTGACTTTATTTGTTATGCCACAATGTCTGGTTCTGTATTAGTCTAATTTTCAAGTCAATTGTAATATTTTTTTAATGATGCAAATATTGCTGCATTATCACATGAGCATAATTCTAGCAGAGTTTCTATTGTGACTTGATTGGGTTGGTATAAATGTGAAAGGACTCGTTAGTGAAGTTTCATAGGATAAAAATTTAAAAATGATCTATTAATTCAAGCTAAAGTAGAAACTATATCTCTTAAAAAAGTTATAGCTGGGACAGGTATTTTTCCTGTGAAGCTGCTGGTTATGTCTCCCATAATCAGGGTTTGATACCCTCTCTGGCCCCTGATTCCAGCATTCTGTTAGTGTAGAACTGGGGGGCAGCAGTGATTGGCTCCTGTGGTTGAGTTCCTGTGTGCACAAGGGATGCCTGGATTGAATTCCCAGCCTTCTGGCTTTTGCCAGTCCCAGCTCCATTGGTTAAGGGCATTTCAGGAGTGAAGCAGGAAATGGGAGCTTTCTTTCCTCTTTTTCTCTCAACAATAGATATTTTTAAAAGTTCCAACAGAATTTTCTTTTTGTAATAATTTCTCATAAAATTTTTTTCTACTTCCATAGAAATATCAGTAAACATTAGATCTGAACACATTTTCAAGGTCTCTGTCACTTTTCTCTGCATTCTTTTTCCTAATAGTATTATTCTTTTAAAAATTTACTTAAAAGTGAGCAAGAAAGAAAGAGGTAGGTGTATGTATTTTCCATGTGCTAGTTCACTCCTTAGATGTTCACAGAAGCCTGAGCTGTACCAGGCCAAAGCTAAAAGCCTGTAACTCCATCTGCGCCTTCAGTTGTATGTGCCAGTCACCAGCAGCTGTGTCCTAGGATGCACATTAGCCGGAGCTTGGGTTGAAAGTGTCTTGGGGCTCTATCCCAGATATGCAATGTTAGTGTCCCCAAGGGTAGCCTAATGTACTGCACCACAAGACCGGATTCAGGTGTTTTTTTTCTTATTTTTCTTTTTCACTATTAGAATTATGCTTGCCAGGCTTTTTTTTAATTTCTAAAATCAAAGAGCAAATCTTTATTGCACCTGAAATTTCCATTTTGGTTTATTTGTGATATTATGTTAAAAGTTTCTTCCTGATCTTATGGCAGGTAATTTCTAGAGTATGAGGACAGTAGTAGGCTTGCTAAAGCAGTGTTTCTGAAATGGGCTTTATTTCGTATGTAACTTCTGGAAGTCCCACGTATCATATTCTGTTCCTATTGGTTATATTTTTCCAGTATACAATTTAAGTACCATGTGTATCAGTAGTTTCACAAGGGAAGAATGAGATGGGAAAAGTGTGAATTGAAGAGTTTTTTTTTCCCAAGATATGGGAAGGTTCCCACATTGATGAGATCTTTATGGTGGATTAGGAATAATGCATCTGTCTGCTGGCTGTTCATGGGTTAAGCTCTCCACTGTTTGATTTATGCATGGGGAGGAGGCTTAAGGTGTGAGCCCTGAAGATAGTATCAGTTTACTGAGGGTGACTAACAGAATACCAGACTGGGAAGCTTAAACAGTGGAAAGAAATTGGGAGCTAGAGCAAGAGGGCAGCTGAATAAGATACTCAGTGATCTGTCCCCAGAGGCACTGATCTGAGCAGCTCCTCACACATGAGCCACCCCCATAAGCGATGAGACACGGAGGCTGGTTTTGGTATATCACAAGCTGCTTTTAAGGGAAGCAAGAAAGAGTTGCCTCATGCTCCATCTCCAACTGTTCCCCAGCTTCTAGGAACTTCACGCCTGCTAGCTGAAGGGAAAGTAGAGGGAAGTAAATCCAGACTCTAGACATTTAAAAAAATTTTTTTCAATAAACATATAGCTGTGATTTTGTTTTAATTTATGACATGGAGGAGAAACATGTACAGTTTCCAGTAATTACTGTTCAGTCCAGAAGGCCAGCCTGTGAATGAGCCACCTGCTTTTCTGTCTGGAGAGTCAGAGGCCATTACCCAGGTGGGCGCGCCTGGAGGCTGGGATTCTCACTCTGGGGGCACCTGCTTCTGCTGCAGCAGGGCTGCCTTGTTTTTGTATCACCTCAGTTTCATAATTCAGTAAATGACAAAAAAAAAATATGAACAAAAAACCCAGCACCATACAGTGCAAAAGCTTTGTTTGGCTTCCTCTGGGTACAATTTTTAGTTTCTCCATAGTTTTACCTAAAAGCTCTGTTGTAGAATCAAACTATGAATCCATTTCAGCTAATAATTTATTTTGATGTTTAACTTCAATGGTCACAGATTTTGTAGCTATTACCTTACTCCTCAGTCTTTCAGTGAGTCTCCTGTTCTACAGCTTCACAGGCGCTATACCCATTGCTTCCTCAGCCATAGTTGCCAGGGTGGACTCTTTCACTCAGACCTACCTGCTTCATCCTGCCAGAAGAGGGAAGAAGGCAGGCTGAGGTGGAGGGGCTAGGAAAGGGCCAGAGGCCACTCTTCAGTCCTAGGTTCCCAGTGAAATGCTGACTTCTTCACCCCAAGCACCACAACATCAATGAATCTGAACCCAGACTCTTAGATTTGAAACTCAGTTGTAGGCCTGCCACTGCCAGACCTAGTGCTGGTAGTGCTCACAGCCCCAGGTAGCAGGCCAGTGCCTGAAGATTGAACCTGTGGATCCTCCTTAGCTATTGGGCCAAGAAACAGACGCAATCACTTCTCCCAATTTCTGGTATGCTGAGGATCATGACTAGCCACTTTGGAGCATGGTGGGAAGGTTAGTACAGAACTTTGCCTTAGAGCTCAGTGCCTGCTGCCAAGACCCAGTACCAGTTAAAGCCAAAGGCCTCTAACCCCAGTGCTTACAGGAAACCACTAGCACTTTATTCTCAACAACACACCAACTGCAGGTTTACAACACACCTGGGATGCTGAAATAGCATTTTTGACATAAAATGCCATCTAGTGTTGGAATGGTCTAAGTGCCCAAGAGCTTCTAGAAAATAAGCATAGTGCTTAGAATTTCTGAAAGGCAGGTACAAATAAAGCCAGATTATAAATAAACTCCAATCTTTCAATGTGCAGGTGACATTTTAGGCCAGAAAGCATGAAGAACTTTCAGGGAATCATGAGCTCACCTAATGCACTAAAAATACAGTACTAGAAATCAGACAGCGACTGATATATTTTTAAAAGAAGACAGAGATGGAGTGACACACAGAGAGAGAGAAATATCTTGAGAGAGAGAGAGAGAGAAATAGATATCTTTGATTTGTCAATTTATTCCCCAAAGGGGTGGGGCTGCTCTGGTCCAAAGCAAGGAGGCCAGGATTCCTTCTGGGTCTCCCATGTGGGTGGCAGGAGCCAAGGCACTTGGGTTATCTAGCAGGTGCACTAGCAGGAAGTTGGGGAGGAAGCACAGAGGGGGCTTGAAACAATATGGGATGCCAGTGTCCCATTCAGTGCTGCCCCTAGCAACTGATACAGACAGAATTTAATTTAAAATAGATGTTATAATGAAACACAAAGACTTAGGAAAATAGAAGAGCAAATCATTAACACAGTGAAAGTCATTTCAAAATCAAACAAATCCTTCAACTGAGAACTACACTGAACAGTTACTATAGGGAGGCATCAGTAACAGAAAGGATCAAACAGAAGACAGAATTGGCTATTTGAATAATAGTAAGGTGGTAATTCAGACTGGCTACTTGAAAATACACAAATGAAAAAAAAATAATTAAAGAACAATAACAGGGCCCGGCGCGGTGGCGCAAGTGGTTAAGGTCCTCGCCTTGCACGCTTGGGATCCAATATGGGCGCCGGTTCTAATCCCAGCAGCCCCGCTTCCCATCCAGCTCCCAGCTTGTGGCCTGGGAAAGCAGTCAAGGATGGCCCAAAGCTTTGGGACCCTGCACCCGCGTGGGAGACCTGGAAGAGGCTCCTGGCTTCGGATCGGCATAGCATAGGCCGTTGCGCTCACTTGGGGAGTGAATCATCGGATGGAAGATCTTCCTCTCTGTTTCTCCTCGCTGTATGTCCGCCTTTCCAATAAAAATAAAATAAATCTTTAAAAAAAAAAAGAACAATAACAAAAAAGTTGATATAATCTTTGCTACAGCATTGAAAGAGCAAATATCCAAGATATTGGGGTCCAAGAGGGACTAGAGAATGCTAAAGGGGTAAAAGCATTTTCAGAGAAGTAATATGATAAAACTTCCCAAATGCAGGAAAAAAATACAGCTATTGGGAATGGCACAGTGGGGTAATACTGCATCTGTGATGTGGGCATCCTATGTGGGTGCTGCTTAGAGTTCTGGTCTCGGAAATTTTTTTTTTTTTTTTTTTTTTTTTTTTTTTTTTAGATTTATTTTTATTATTTTTTCATTGGAAAGGCGGATATACAGAGAGGAGAGACAGAGAGGAAGATCTTCCGTCCGATGATTCACTCCCCAAGTGAGCGCAACGGGCCGATACTATGCCGATCCGAAGCCAGGAGCCTCTTCTGGGTCTCCCACGCGGGTGCAGGTTCCCAAAGCTTTGGGCCGTCCTCGACTGCTTTCCCAGGCCACAGGCAGGGAGCTGGAAGGGAAGCGGGGCTGCTGGGATTAGAACCGGCGCCCATATGGGATCCCGGGCGTGCAAGGCGAGGACCTTTAACCACTTGCGCCACCGTGCTGGGCCCGGTCTCGGAAATCTTGTAATAACCTTTGTTAGCTGGTTTTAGATGGGCTACAAAGAGAGAAGAGTGTGCCAACCCAGCATCTGGCAGATGGCTCTGGGTCAGGCCAAGAAGGACAGAACAGGACTTTTTTTTTTAACTTTCTTTTTTATTTTGAATTTTATGGTACAATTCCATAGGGTCTGGGACCCCCCCTCCCAAATTCCAACCCCCCGACCGATTCTACCCATATTATTACAATAGTATAGTCCTTCATAAACAGTCATAAGTTCCTGTCTTTTATTTAAATGTGCCCTGACATTGCTGTTATAGGCATTGTCAGACCAGCATCCCATTGTTTAGATATGCTCGGCAGTTTCATTAGGAGTCCATCTTTGTTTTGAAAGTAGGGATTCATAGTGCATTGTATCTTCACATCTGAATATGACAGTCTCTATTATGCCATCACTATATAGTCCCTTAAATGAGAAGCCACAAAACAAAATAAACAACAGATATGAAGTTAAAACAAAAAATTTATCACACCATGGAGTTTGAAAAGTACACCACAGAATAACCAACATGTGGGCGAAGAAAAGAAAACACGAAAGCCTCTTGGATAAAATGATGCCACCCTGTGATCCATGAGCCAGCGATGAATTCAACAAAAGAAACTGTTTGAAGAAATGAAAATGAAATAAAAAAACATCAAAACACATGGGAAGCAGCAAAAACAGTTTGGAAAGGGTTATTGATCTTACAGTTTGCACGAAGGCTGCCTTAAATCAGAGAGAACATATGGTATTTGTGCTTTTGGAGTTGACTTGTTTCACTGAGCATAATGGTCTCACTAGTTGGGATCATCTGGTTGCAAATGGTGTGATTTCATTCTTTTTAACGGCTGAGTAATATTCCACAGAATAAATGTACCACACTTGCTTTGACCACTCCTTGGACGGGCATCTGGGTTGTTTCCATGTCTTTGCTATTGTAGATTGTGCTGCTGTAAATATAGGATTACAGATCCCCTTCCATATGCAGTTTTAATTTCCTTTGGATATATTCCAAGGAGCAAGATAGCTGGGTTATATGGCAGGTTTATTTGCAATTCTCTAAGCACTGTCCATACTGATTTCCATAGTGGTTGTACCAGCTTACACTCTCACCAGCAGTGAAGGAGGGTACCTTTCTACCCACATCCACACCAACAGGTGTTGTTAGTGGAGTTCTGAATGTAGGCTGATCTCGTTGGAGTTAGGTGGACCCTCAATGTTTCTCCCTGATGGCTAGAGAGCCTGAGCATCTTTTCATATGTCTGTTAACCATTTTAATGTGTTCTTTTGAAAAATGTTTGCTCATTTCCTTCATCCGTTTCTTCACAGTTTTTTTTTTTTTTTTAATTGTCCCTGGGTTTCTGAAGCTCTTTTAAATCCTGGATGTTAGTCCTCTGTCAGTTGTGCAGTGTGCAAAGATTTTTCTCCCATTCTGTTAGTTGCTGCATTAGTTAGTTAACTGTTTCCTTTGCAGCACAGAAGACTTTTAGTTTGATGTAGTCCCATTTGTTTATTTTGTCTTTGCCTGTGTTTTTGACTTCTTTTCCTAAAAGTCTTTTAATATTCTTATATCTTGGAGAGTGCTTCCTATGTTTTCCTGTAATAGTTTGATAATTTCTGGATGTAGATTTAGGTCCTTGATCCATTTAGAGCTGATTTTTATATAATGTGACAGGTGCAGGTCTTACTTCTTAATTCTGCAGGTTGCTATCCAATTGTCCCAACAGCATTTGTTGAATAGACCAGGCTTTTCCTGGATTATTTTCGGTTTTCTTGTCAAAGATTAGTTGGCTGTACATGTGTAGGCTCCCTTCTGGTGTTTCTATTATGCAGAACAGAAGTTCTTACCTTTGCCAGATGGCTTTGTAGGGCTGTGTGTCAGAATTTAAACTAAAATTTACTTTTATTTATTTGAAAGGCAGGGTTGAGGGGAAGAGACAGGCAGACAGACAGTCAGGGAGAGAAACCTGGGTTCACTTCCCAAATGTCTGCAATGATCAGAGACTGAGTCAGGCTGAAGCAAGGAGCCAAGGTAATGATTAGAAAAAAATAATAGTTTCAAATCTATTGCTCATTTGGCTTTGTGATGTTAACACATATGAACTTCAATTTTTATGTTTGTAAGATCTTTGTGTAGGATATAAGCAGACTAAGTATTTGATTAAATGTCTAATGAATGAGTAAATGGAGCATTTCTCAGTTGTTATAAAGATTAGTGCTCTAAAAAGAAGTACTCTATAATGTGAATGTCTAGAATTTCAGTAAGTAGTTACTGACAACTCTGTTTCCTGTTTATTACTTTTTTAAACAGCTGCTGAACAAGGCCACATAGCATGTTTGCAATGGCTAGTTAAAATGGGAGCAGACAGTAATATTGCCGACAAAGCAGGGGAGAGACCCTGTGATGTGGCTAAAAGGTATGGATCCCTGTCTGTTTTGCTGCTCTTTATTGGAGTTTTGCATATACTATCCTGTATTCAGAAGTATTTGGGGATTTTAACTTCAGGCATTTGATGAAATACAGATGGAATGGCAATGTTTAACATGAATTGGCAGTTAACATTATGCCACTCCCTTCACTAAAGTAATGGTTCTCAACCGGGAGGTAGATCGTTCACTTTCTTAGGAGGGGGAGCATTTGGGAATGTAGAGGAGGTTTGTTACCATGACTGAGGGAGACCATCACTACTTAATATTTAGTGAGGTCGTATCAGGAAAGCTAAAGGTTCGGCAGTGCTTAGATCAGTGGGACACAGTGCTTGTCCCACCAAAATGTTGGTAGCATCCTGTTGAGAAATACTGTGTGACAAAAAGAAATAATCAAGCTGATAATAAAGATGTCACATAGATTATGGAATATACTTTGATACTTTGTTTTTAAATCATTAGTTTTGATGATTTTTACATAGTTGATTAGGGTCAAGGGCTACAGGAAGGTGGATAAGATTATCATTTCCAAATTCTCTTTTTTTCCTTCCTGTACCTGGGAGAAGCGGGGAAACAAGGAGAGAACCCACACCCAACCTCCCAAGTGCCTCTGCACCCTGGGATGGAACACAGCCACCTTATACTACCCCAGGGTCCCCAATGTGGGGCATGCTGTGAGGGTTCTGTTCATGAGGTTTCAGTAGTTCAGCAGTTTCAAATTACTGCTGATGTTGCCATTCCAAGCATGATGAAATCTCTCCAGAATTCACTGGTTGAAATAGTCTACCTTAGAGTCTCCATTTGCAGAGTTATTCACTGCCAACACCTGTTTGGGGTAGTTGATCAACTTATTCTGTCCTCTGTCCTCTGTGGTGGTACCAGGTGTCCTCTGTAGGCTCCAATAGACTGCCATATCCTCCATGTACATTTGGATATGCTGTCCACTGCTCCATCTGAGCAACTGAGGAGGCCCAACTTTGATGCATATACTCCAAGGTCAGACCATGGAACTTGCAGTCCTTTACTGGGATTCTGAGTCCAGCAATTCTTTTGGGGGGAATCCCCAAAGAAACCTCATCTGAGGTGATCTCAGACCTGATTCTTATGTATGCTTGCCAATATAGGGTCTGGCACAGTCTGTCACCCCAGTCAGCTTATGCACATGCTGGTGGTTGCAATTGCTGGGTCAGTTTTGTCTCTGGCCCTGTTTTTTACGCAAACCAATGGGTGTTGCAGCCCAGCCTGATCCTGCCCACCAGGTTCTCCCCTTCTCCCCCTGGGTCTCACATGTGCTGGATGGGTGCTGCATCCCAGTCTGGCATGGCCTGCCTCTGCCAGTAGGTGCTGCAGCCTGGCTGTGCCTGGCCCAACCCCAATTCCAACTGCCTGCCCTTAATTCCCTTAATTGCCCTTAATTCTGGCTTGCCCTTAATCCCAACACTCACTGGTGGGTGCTGGAACCTGGTCCTCCTCAGTCTGCTCCCATCCCTGGCTCATGCAAACTGGTAAGTATGATGGTTTAGCTAAGCATGGCCTGTGTTCCAGCCTGATTTCTGCGCTTGCCTGTGAGATAAGTTTTGCTTGACCCTTCCCGGTCTACCCCCTTCCAAAACCAACCCACACATTAACCAGCAGTTGGAGCTACCTTGCCCAGCCTGCCCAACACCCAGGCCTGGACCATGTACTCACCAGCAGGTGCTTTGACTCACTAGGTGAGTTTCCCAAATTCCCCCATTTGGCCCACTCCCAGATCTCATGCATGGCAGCAGGTGTTAGGTTCTTGCCTGGCATAATCTTCCCTTCCATATTGGCCTAGTATGAGCTGGTGAATGTTGTGGCACGGCCTGCCCCACATTGGATTACTGGGTCCGTTCGGCTTCCAGCCCTGTCTTCCTTGTGAACCAATGGGTGTTGTAGTCCAGCTCGATTCTACCCACTTCATACTCGGTCTTCATGCAAACCAGTTGGAGCTGCAGCCTAGTTGAGGCGACTCCCCAAAACCCCTACCAGTTCTGCCCCCTACCCTGGTTCCCATGCTTGCCAGTATGCTCTGCAGGCTTGTCCATTCTGTCCCACATCCCAAGTAGCTCTCGCACACGTCAATGGACATTGAAGCCTGGTTCAACCCAACCAACCTATTATCCAGCCCATACACCCACTGGCAGGTGCCTTTCTGTCAAGCCACCCCTGCTCCTAGCCTGGGTTTCGTGCTGTCCAGTGAGGGTGGTAACCCTGAGGGAGGTGCCCACTATTTCCCTACTAGGCCACACCCACTCCTAGAGTATGCAGTCTCCAGGTAGTTTTGGCATTTGACTTGTCAGAATTGGCTCCTAGTACCAGCCTCTGCCAGCTAACGCTGTGGCTAAGCCCAAACACCCCTCAACCCACTCTAATTTTAACTTGCACCAGTCAGAACAGTCAGCTCTCCGTGAGGCCCACAGGTGCTATGGCCCTGCCTAGTCTGAACTGCCCCCATCCGTATTCACACTTTCCAGTGGAAGTAGTTATCCAGCATGGGTGCCCACGTTCCCCTGTTGGCTTTGCCTCCTCCCTGATTGTCACATGTGCTGGTTGTGTGCTGCAGCCACATCTGGTACGGCTCATCTCACCTTGGCATTACTTGTTGTGTACTGGTATGTGTTGCAACCGAACCTGGCTCGACCCACACTCTGTTCTGGTGCTCAGATTCACCAGAAGGTAATGTGAACAGATTCAGGCTGGTCTGCCCCCAACCCATGCCATGTGTATGCCAGTGGGATAATTTTCATTGCCTGTTTTGGGTTGTTCCCTATTGTGCTTCTTGCGCTTACCTGCATGGGACTGTGTCCTGCCAGAGAAGTTGCCCGGGCTCCTCCACCAGAACCTGTCCCAGTGCCAGTTTTCGCGCATACCAGTGGGTCCATGAGCCAGCACTACTCAGTTCGCCTGCTATCCTAGGAGGAACAGTGGCTTTTCCTGCCTGGCCTCCGACCCAAGCTGGTTCTTGTTGTTGGATATTTCAACCCAGCCATGGCTCTTCCATACCCCTACCAAGCTCACACATGGTTCAGTAAGGGCTGAGACCTAACCTAGTCTGTCACACAACCCTCCCCGGTCCTCCAGAGCACCAGATGGTGTTGGAATTTGGCCTGGCTTGGTGCTTCCCATCCCAGTCCACAATTGTGCCAAGTGAGATTACGATCGTATCCTGATCAGAATGTAGCCTCAGTTCCAGCCCATGCGCTCCTTGGTGGGAAACTCAACCCAGCTAGGGTGTCCTGTTATTTCCCCAACCGGGCCTCTGCCCTGCCATAGAGCAGGTGTAGGCCGGTGGTTGTTCTGTCTCCGCTTGGCAGAGCCCCTCACTTGTCGTGGCCCCTTGGATGCTGTGGCTTAGTGCCTCTGCCTCACACAGATCAGTATGTGCAAGGACCTACCTGGCATGAGCTGTGCTCCAACCTGATTTCTGTTGTTACTTGTGAGTTAAGGTTTGTTCAGCCCTGCCCCTTCTGTCCCCTTCCAGTGGCAGCCCGGCCCACCCCACATCCTGTTTAAAGATGCACATTTGGGTGCTGCTGCCTTGACCTACCCTGACTGTTGTGGATTCCTTTACCCATGAGTGATGGCAGATGGCGTGGTCACACCTAGCTTAGACCATTGCAACCCCAGCTTGGGAACTAACCCGGGGGACTTGTATTCCAAAGGGTTGGGCCCACACAACCCCACAGAGCCTACCCCCAGCCCAAGTTCTCTTGTGTGCTGGAGAGTGTCTTGATCCTGCCAAATGTGACCACTCCACAACTCCAACACTCAGTCGGGCAATGGTACCCAACACTGCCAAAGAGGCCCCCATCCATAGCTTCGGTGTGGGCTAGTATATGGTGATCAGTGATGTTCTACCCACATTCTGTTTTAAGATGCTCATGTGGGTGCTGTAGTTTGGACCTGCCCGGACTATTCTTTGTCCTTGTACCCGTAATTGTTGGGAGTTTCCATGATCACACCTCGTTCAGCTCATCCCCACCCCAACTCTTGAGCTAACCAGTGGGAGTTGCATTTCCACAGGTATTGGCCCACTTATTCCCAGGTCTATCCCTCGACCTGATTCTCATGTGCTGGTTAGTGTCATGGCTCTACCTAATGTGACCTGTCTCCTGTTGTGACATTCAGTCAAGTTCTGGGATCTAGTCCTGCTAGATAGGCCCCCAGCCCTAGCTTTTGTATGGACTGGTGTGTGGTGGTCAGCAATGTTCCATGCTAACATGGAACATTGGTGCAAGAGTCTGGCCCATAGAGATCTTCTAGTCTCTCCCCTCCAAACCACCAAGTCTCAGTCCCCTCGCTTACCTGCAAGTAAAATGGCCCTGTCATTGAGTGTCCCTCAGGATTCATTCCTCACCTACATGTACTGTAGCCTTATCCAAGGCAGTATTTTCTGACCCCATTAGACCCCAGAACTTGCCACTGAGTAGCTAGTGGTCAAAGGCCCGCTCCATTGTTGCTCTGGCCACCCACAAGCCCAGGATTCACCCACTGCTTGGCAGCAGTGGTAGGGAGCTAGGATCCCCAGCAGGAATCCTGGCTTGGCAGGGGTTCTTCCCACTACAGCCATGTGGCTGGGAGATTTAGACACCTGACGTTTGAGCAGACTTACCTGGACTCCTGATACTTATATTTAAACTAAATGTAGCTCCCATTAAATACTGCTAGCTACTTCAGGTCAGACCCTCAAGGATTATTAGTCCATCATTTGTCCATTTGATAGCTCTTTCATCCAGCTTCCTGCTTATGTTACTGCAAGTCACGGAGGTTGTATTTGGATAACAGAGAGAAGACGTAATTCCTATCCCTAAGGAGCTCACAGTCTTGTGGTGAAATAAATATACAATAGAGTTTTTTCTAATAAAAATCATTAGGTACAGCATTACATAATATATCTGGAAAAATAAGAGCATAGGTGAAAACAATGCCCATGCTTGCTTATTTGAGAACTGGGGGAGAAATAATTTAGATGGCAATGTTTAAGAGTCCTGAAGGAAATAGCAGGAGGACAGAATCTAGACAGAGGTTAGGGAAGATTTTTTTTTTGTACAGAAGCAGCACTTGAAAAAGGAGGGGCTCTTAACACCTTGTATGCTTGAGAAACCATATGAGGTTCAGAATTGCCTGCATGTAAAGTGGTAGGCCAACAGCTCCAGATAAGGCTTGACTGAATGTTAGGGCCCAATAATTCATCACACATATCATGCAAATTTTATTAGTGCGTTCTTGTTTCTGAAATTTTTTTTTTTGTGGGATTTCACGAACCTTGGAGTTACAGTTTTGTGCCATTTTATCTGGAATCAGTATTTAATTCAGGCCTATTTTATTTCTTAACAGTAACTTTATCAAAGTATAGTTGGCATAAATAGTTGTTTAATGAGCTTTGATATATGAGAGGTCTCCAGAATCTTTGTGGATAATGCACTTTAAAAAAAGACTTATGTATTTATGTATTTGAAAGTAAAGATTACAGAGAGAATGGCCAAGAGAGGTCTCTTGTCTGCTGCTTCACTCCCCAGCCACAGTTGCCTGGGTCAGGCTGAAGCCAGGAGACAGGAGCTTCATTCCATTCCTCCATGTGAGTGGCCTGGACCCAAAAGTTTGCGTCTTCTTGCACTGCTTTTCTCAGGCCATTTGCAAGTGGAGCCTTCTGGAAACGAACTGGTGACCATATGAGATGCGGTGTTGCAGGCTTTACCTGCTGGACCACAGTACTAGCCAGAGGAAAATGCATGTGTGAACGTATTAGGAATGGATTTCAAAATCATTTTTATATGAAAACAAACTTAGTTTTTAGAAATACTGTCATTCATACACGCCTGTAGTTTATCACCAAAGTCAAGATAGTGAGTATATCCATTGCTGCTGAAAGTCCTGCCATTTTGTGATCTTCCTCCTGTTGCTCCCCAGCCTTTCTTCCCTAGCACTTGTGTAGTTTTAGATTTTATGTCATGCTCTCTGATCCTTTTTAAACTATTTTTCAATGTGGTTGAATATGGTATAGGTATGCCTCCATGTTTGTTTTTGCATATGGGTATCTCATTTTTCTAGCACTATTTGTTGTAAACTGCCTCTGTCAAAATCCATTATCTGTATATATTTGTGGGCTTATTTCTGAACTCTTTTATTTATTGATCTAGTTTTATTCTGTCATAGCAATGTCTGAGTACAGTGGATATATTTGGAATTATTCATAATATCTGGTCCACATTTTTTCCTCAGGACCCAAAATACTAGATGTGACAGTAGTATTATAGAGATAACCTTGAATTTCATATAAAGCAAGCACTCAGCACATGATAACCATTAAATTATAACCCAATCATGTAGAGCTCTCTGAAACTTACAACTTACTGTGTACTTTTATTAGTATATCTAATGATTTGCAGTGTCTGATAAAAGATAAAGCTGTAAGTATGAGTGAATGATTTTGTTATTGTGGAAAAATAGGATTTGAGATTTTTGTATTTAGTAATTTAAAAAAATACTATAATTAAATATCAAAATAAAATCCCAATTAGCAAAATTATGGGAAAATGTGCAAATCAAATATAATCACAGCAATAATTTCAAAACCAGGAGCATTTTACTAGAAACTTCATAAAGATATGGGAAAGAGTGAAGAAAACTTTAAAAATAGATGGTCAGGATCATTATTTTTTCATTAAGTTTTAAAAACCAAATGCTTTGAGTTGAAGAAGGATGAAGTTTTAAGGTGGTAGAGCTATTTATTGTTAGCCTTCACACTGGGACAGACATTGATTTTCAGTCAAAATTAGGGCAAAACAAGGCAGTAAATATAGAGAATCAAGCAGGGTGATTCTGAGCTTTCTCTGCACTTACCAGCACTGTCTGGAAGCACACTAAATAGGATTTTGTTACTGGATTTTTGCCAATAGCATTTAGAGAATGATTCTTAGGAATTGGTAACTGAGTTTCCCATGTAGTTGAATATGTGTCAAAGTGTCATGGATTTGTTTTTTGGTGGCTGGGTGGTAGCCTAATGTGTAATGTGTAGTTACCTTTGTTAAGTACAAACTACAGTTTAATTTTGAGTAAGGTTGTGATTATGGTTAATTGCTTATCTTTTTCTGCAGGTTTGCCCATTTGGCATCGGTGAAACTGTTGGAAGGGCTACAGAAATATGATATAGATGACGGGAATGAACTTGATGACAATGATATGAAGTTTTTTATAAGACATGGTGTTGAGGGAAGCACTGATGCCAAAGATGATTTATGTCTCAGTGAGTTGGATAAAACAGACGCGAGAAGTAAGTATGCTATCTGTGTTAACAATTCATCCTTTCAGAAATATCATGTGTACTAGATACGATCAATTTCATAAGTATTTTAAAGACAATTACTATCAACAAAGTAAAAATAACTTGATATCTGTTGGGCCCAGAAATTAATAAAAATTTTTGTCCTAGGGCTTCCTGAACACTTAGAGATGTGTAGGATGTGATGTTTTTCCCTCAAAAGGGAAAAGTTATAAAAATAGAGAAAAAATATTTAAATGGATCAGAGGAGACAGGGAAGGACACGTCAAGGATTTCCATGATTAGTTGGCAAAGTATTTTAACAGATAATTGCAAGAAGTTATTGAGTGACTACTGTATTCCAGGCATTGCTGTAGTTCTTAGAGAAACAGTAGCTGATACAAAGGAGCTTGTATTCTGATAGTGGTGGAATTCAGGGGGAGGATAAAGATGACAAATAATTGATAAGAAAATAGTTATATAAAAAAAGTAAAGTCTAATGGTGCTGAAAATAAAATAACCATTGGGCATCTCTGAGGAGTGATGTTTCAGAAAAGACTGAATGATTGAGACTAGGCCATATGGAAGAGATTGGATGGACATTAAAAGCAGAGAAGGCCATATATGTAAAGTCAGGAAATAGAATTGATCATGATCAATGTGGCTACAGTAGGAAATAGGGGCAAGAAGAATTAATTGTATCAAAGCTGTATTTTTTAATTGGAAAAGCAGGTTTTTTTTTTTTTTTTTCTTTCTTTATGGTGAGAAAGATCCTCCATCTGCTGGTTCACTCCCCAAGTGGTCACAACAATCCAAACTGAGCTGATCCGAATCTGGGGGCCAGGAGCCTCTTGCAGGTCTCCTACATGAATGCAGGGTTCCAAAGCTTTGGGCTATCTTCCACTGCTTTTCCAGGTCGAACATATGGGGCTGGTTGGGAAATAGAGCAGCTGGAACATGAACTAGTAACCATATGTGATCCTAGTGCTTACAGGATACAAGATTAGCCAATCCAGCTATCGCACTGGGCATAAAACCTTTATTTTCCCTTTTTAAAAAAAAATTTTTTTTAAAAGATTTATTTTTATTATTTTTTTATTGGAAAGGCGGATATACAGAGAGGAGAGATAGAGAGGAAGATCTTCCGTCCGATGATTCACTCCCCAAGTGAGTGCAACGGGCCGATACTATGCCAACCAGAAGCCAGGAGCCTCTTCCGGGTCTCCCACGCGGGTGCAGGTTCCCAAAGCTTTGGGCCATCCTCGACTGCTTTCCTGGGCCACAGGCAGGGAGCTGGAAGGGAAGCGGGGCTGCCGGGATTGGAACTGGCACCCATATGGGATCCGGGGCGTGCAAGGCGAGGACTTAACCACTTGCGCCACTGCGCCGGGCCCTAAAAAAATTTTTTATTTTTAATGTTGCTTACATATTTGACAAGACTATAAGCCTATGGGGACCACTGAATAGGGTGGGTAGGATCAAGATAAGGTGGAAGGTGGGTGGGACAAATGTTTCTAATTTTCTTTTTCTTACCTTTTCTCCTATATCTGGGGACATGGAGGGGAACGAGTGAGTGGAAAGGGGGCTGCTCCCAGCTGCTAAACAATATCAGTACCTGAGGATGGGGATGTCCACTTGATGTCATTTTAGAATCCATTATATGGAGAAGAATGTTTTAAGGGTATTGCTTGAGGAATTTTGATAGTTCTCAGATGCTGTTGGTTTCACTGCTCCAAGTCTGAGAAAATCCTTCCAAGGTCCATTGGCTGGCAGACTCTACAATGATACATCCATCCACTTACCCAGATACTTGCTGCCAAAACTTGGCCAGGAAAATTGTCCAACCTGTTTTGCTCTCTGTCTTCTTAACATGGCACTCGATGTCCTCTGCAGGCCCTCTTTTGTACCTGGGCATGCCACCCACTTCATAGGCATCAACAATCGAGGAGGCCCAGTCCCAGTACATGTAACTCCTAGGTGGAATGATAAATCCTGTGATTATGTCTGTGGCCAGAGTTTTGAGACCTGTGGTCTAGTTGGAGTTTCCCCTAAAAAACTGGATCTGCAGTGGCCCCAGACCTGATTGTTGCATGTGTCAGCCAGTATAGGATCACACACTGGTCACTGTGGTTGTCTGGTCAGTTCCATCCCCAGTCTCACATCCCATGCAAACCAATGGGCGCTGTGGCCAAGCCAAACCCAGCATGCCGCAGACCTGCCCTTTGCACACACCAGTGGGAACTGCAACCTGGTTGGGGTGAGCCTCAACAACTCCTACCAGGGACACCCCCAGCTCTGGTTTCTGGTATATGTACAGCAGACTAGCCCCATTGCCTGGGAGCCTCTTCTCTGATGAGTGTAATCAGGGGAGAGCCTGAAGATGTTGGCAACAGCTGGACTTCCCAACCAGCAGCCCAGCCATATTATCCTATAGTGAGACTCAGGGCTTAGTGATCCTTTCAGTAGTTCCTGGCAGTGGCAGCTTTAACAATTTATATCATCAAATCTAACTATTTGAGGTATACAATTTAATCATTTTTAGTATGTTCCCAGATGTGTGAAACTTCTGCCACCATGAATTTAATGTCTTTTTGTCACCTTGACAAGATGCCCCACTACCATTCATAGTCACTCTGTTATGACCACTCCTTTTGGCCCCAATCTGATCTCTTAGCAACCGTTGATTTACTTTCTGCCTCTATAGATTTGTATATAGTGGATATTCATAATCATACTGGATGATGTTCTCTCACCTAACACAGTGTTTCTAAGGATCATGTACATCTTTAGCATGGATAAGTGCTTTTTATCCATAATAATCTTGTATAGATATACTACATTTTATATTTCCATTCGTTAGTTGATGGCTATTTGAGTTCTCACATTTTGACTATTAGGAATAATGCTATTGAACCATTATTTACAAATTTTTTTCTGGACATGTTTTTATTTATCTTTGGTAAACACGTAGGAGTGAAATTGCTCTCTTATCAGGTAATTCTGTTTAACATTGTGAGGGACCGCGAATTGTTTTCCAGGATGGCTGCATCATTTTACATTCCCACCAGCAATATATAAGTTAAAATTTCCCCACATTTTTACTTACACTTCTTATTGTTGTCTTATTCATGTGTAGCTATTTTGGTGAATGGGAAGTGATATCTCATTGTAGTTTTGATTGGTGTTTCCTTAATAACTACAGATCATGTTGAAGATCTGTGTGCTCATTAACCAGTTGTATGCCTTCCTTGGAGAAAAGTCTGTTGAGATCTTTTATGTATTTTTCAACTGAGTATGTATATTGTGCTTATTACTGCATTATACAAGTATATGTGAATATAGGTTTCTTTTCAGCTACATATTCCTCTCATGCTATACATTATCTTTTAATTCTCTTATTGGTATCTGCCCGGTCAGAAGTTTTAAATTTTGATGAAGTCTAATTTATCTCTTTTTTTGCTTGTGCTTAGATTTTCTTGTTGTATTGAGAATGGGCAAGGACTTTGAACAGCAGAAAAGAAGTCACTGATTTTTTTAGCATTTCAGTTTCTTCTAAATTACCTGAAAAACAAAAGATGTTACTGAAGGATCATTGTCAGGAATCAAAAATTTTAGCAAGATGTTTTAGGAAAGACTAAGAATATGACTAGAGTGGTTTCCTAGGACGATATACTTGATACGTATGTTCTCTGCATCCTTGCTATACCATGATGTTCACTGGTGCCCAGCTGGGGTGTTTGCAGCCAATGAGGTGATATTGTATATAAAATCATGAGTTATTTGTAGCTGTCTTATTTAAGCTAGTTGGCTTTTTCTTGGGATGCTTGACTTTGCCAGAGCAAAGAGGACTGCTATAGAAGATTTGTCATTCCAAACTTTCTGAAAGTGTGAGCCTCAATTCCGAGCACTTTTTAGTTAATTGTGTTCATGGTTATGGCATCAGAGAGGTTTCCTGGCTCAGCATTCCTGTCACATGTCATCTAGCTTCCACTCTGTCACCTTCAGTGGTCAGGTACTCTCCTCCAGGAGTTTCATTTTCTTTTGACAGAGATCCTACTAGGATTTACATGTGGGAGGTGCTTGGTAGAGTTCCTTGCGTATCATAGGTACTCCGTAAATATGTGGTAGTTTTTACAGTTTTTGTTGAAAAATGTCTTACTTTTTAGTTGAAATCTATTCCTGGAGCTAATCTTCATTAAATCGATCCTATGGAACAAGTATTTCAAAACACATCCTCTCAAATATTAAATGTTATTATACAAGCTAGTTATCTAAAACTATTTTTTTTAAAGATTTATTTTATTTTTATTGGAAAGACGGATATACAGAGAGGAGAGACAGAGAGGAAGATCTTCCATCTGATGATTCCCTCCCCAAGTGAGCGCAACGGCCGATGCTATGCCGATCCGAAGCCAGGAGCCTCAGCTCTGGGCTGTCCTTGACTGCTTTCCCAGGCCACAGGCAGGGAGCTGGATGGGAAGAGGGGCCGCTGGGATTAGAACCAGCGCCCATATGGGATCCCGAGTGTGCAAGGCGAGGACCTTAACCACTGCGCCATCGTGCCGGGCCCTAAAACTATTTTTTTTAAGGTAACACTTTAAAGAGAAGATTTATGTATGTGAAAAGCAGGGTTAGAGAGAAAGAGACAGACAGAGGTCTTCTACTTGCTGGCCCACTCCCCAAAGGGCTACAGTGGCTGGGGATGGGCCAGGAGCCAGGAAGTTCATCTGGGCGTGCCTTGCAAATTCAGTGGTTCAAGGACTTGGGCATCTTGTGCTGCTTTCCAGGTGCATTAACAGCTTGATAGGCCAGAAGTGGGGCAGATGGGATTTGAATATGTGTCCATATGAGATGTTGGTACACATGGCTTAGTGTGTGCTGTGCCACAATGCAGGTCCCATGAAGTTTTTCTTATTTCCTACTACCTTCCTTTTTTTTTTTTTTTTAAAGATTTATTTTTATTACGATTTTATTGGAAAGGTGGATATACAGAGAGGAGAGACAGAGAGGAAGATCTTCCGTCCGATGATTCCCTCCCCAAGTGAGTGCAACGGCCGATACTATGCCAACCAGAAGCCAGGAGCCTCTTCCGGGTCTCCCACGCAGGTGCAGGGTCCCAAAGCTTTGGGCCGTCCTTGACTGCTTTCCCAGGCCACAGGCAGGGAGCTGGAAGGGAAGCGGGGCTGCTGGGATTAGAACCGGCGCCCATATGGGATCCGGGGCGTGCAAGGTGAGGACCTTAACTACTTGCGCCACCGCGCCGGGCCCCTACCTTTTTTAAAAACAATTTTTAAAATCTCATTTATTTTTCATCTGCTTATAAAACAGACGAGAGAAATACAGAAAGACAGACATGCAGAGAAAGGGGCAGAGAGAGAGAGAGATTGAGAACTTCCATCCCAGGATCCACTTCCATCACCACATCAAGGGCTGGACCAGACTGAAGCCAGCATCCTGGAACTCTGGGTCTCTCGTGTAGGTGGTAAGGCAGCAGACACTTGAGCCATCATTGCTGCCTCCTAGGATGCACTGGCAGGGAACTGGATTCAGAACGGATGAGGCAGGTCTTGAACTAGTACTTCAGTGTGGAATATGTATGTCTCAGGCTGTGGGTTCATCTCTTGTTGCCATAAACCCTGCCACTACCTTTCTTGCTAGTAGTTATGGTGGTTCCCAAATTTTTCTGCCCTTCAGAATTGTCTGAGAAGGTGTATTAAGTACAGATACCTAAATTTGTTAGTGTATGATAAGGCTTTGGCATATACCTTCTAGAAAAGCATTCCAGATGCTTCTGGTATGTGCAGTATGGAACCTGCAGTTTTGATTTGCTGATAGATAATGTCAGAGTGGTGTTAGGAACAAGATAGTGTGATTTGCTAAGCTGGTCCTGTCTTGATATTTTAAATCAGATGAATATTTTTGTTGAGATCGGTTCTTTTGTTCATTGTAGAACTTAGTAGCCTTATGGGCTTTTACCCACTGGCTACTAGGAGCTGACCCTCACCTATTGTGTTGATGAACAGAAATATTCCTTGGGAGACAGAATGACTGCAGGTTGAAAACCACCCCTTTAACAATGGAAAGATTGCACTTTGGATAGTTGAGGATAGCTCATACACAAGAGTATTTTCTTACATCTGTATTACATGGGAGTAGACACAATATTTTGGCTAGGATTAGTTTTTGGCTGTTTTAAATTAGTCAAGCATATTTCAGTGTTTCTAATTTTATGCTGTGTGATCTGTAATATGTTATTTGTCCTAAAATATTACTGGTCTTTTAAAAAATTAAATTTTTTTTAAAGATTTATTTTTATTATTTTTTATTGGAAAGGCAGATATACAGAGAGGAGAGACAGAGAGGAAGATCTTCCGTCTGATGATTCACTCCCCAAGTAAACGCAACGGCCGATACTATGCCGATCTGAAGCCAGGAGCCTCTTCTGGGTCTCCCACGCAGGTGCAGGGTCCCAAAGCTTTGGGCCGTCCTCGACTGCTTTCCCAGGCCACAGGCAGGGAGCTGGAAGGGAAGCGGGGCTGCCGGGATAGAACTGGCGCCCACATGGGATCCGGGGCGTGCAAGGCGAGGACCTTAACCACTTGCGCCACCGCGCCGGGCCCAAAAAATTAATTTTTTTTTTATATTATTTACAGTCTTAATGATGTTATACATACTCGGACAACAGGGAAGGAATCTTTAATTTAGATATTTCATTGCTTGCTCATGCTACTCTCCGGTTATTGATATTTATCCTTTTGTGTGTCTGCCCCTGACTATCCCGTTGTCTCCAACTGTGTAGACTGTGGCTGTAGAGAAAATATGCTTGGCAGTACCAGTAGCCTGTGGGCAATTGAGCTGTTATTTCCCTAAATTAGGTTACTGTTCAACTCTGTCTTGCAGTGAGAGCCTATAAGAAAATTGTAGAATTGAGACACCTTCTGGAAATTGCTGTCAGCAACTATAAACAGTTGGGAGGGATAACAGAAGAAGATTTAAAGCAGAAGAAAGAACGTATCGAGTATGAAAAGTAATGTCCTTCAAAATTTTAACAGTTTGTATTTATTTACATCTCTGAATACCATGCAAGGGTTTGTTGATCAGCAAGTTTTTTAATAACCTGGTGAAAAGGGTATTACATTCTATTCTGTTTCCTTCTAAGCCCTCAGATGGAGAAGGCATTAATTTTTTCTTTTTTTGTAAATTTTGGTAAAATACCTGTAAAATACACTTTACCATCTCTCGCTCTCTTTTTTTCAAGATTTATTTGTTTTTATTAGAGAGAGAGATCTTCCATCCACTGATTCACTCCCAATGTGGCCACAACAGCTGGAGCTGAGCCAATCTGAAACCAGGAGCCAGGAGTTTTCTCCAGGTTTCTCATATGGGTGCAGAATCCCAGTGCTTTGGGCCATGCTCTACTGATTTCCTAGGCCATAACCAGGGAGCTGGATGGAAAGTGGACCAGCTGGGTGTCCATATGGGATCCTGGCTCTTGCAGGGGGACCATGAGACAGTTGAGTCACTGCAATGCACCCATCTCAGCTGTTTTTACTGTCTTAAGACATTTGTGTTAATTACTTTTATAACATTGTGCAATCTCTAGAACTGCCCATTTTGCAAAACTGACCCTTCATATGGAGTTGACTTTTGTTTTTTCTTGAGACTACTGTTACTTTCAGCTTCCACAGATAATGCCCTCTGCGAAAGTCCCCAACAGTTTGGGACATCCACTTTTGTTCTGAACCCCAGAGCGGTATTCACTGCATATAGTGCCTGTCAGAGGGTACTTCGTGTCTAGAGGCAGTGAGTAAATAGTTGCCTGGCCCACCTTTACTTCAAGCAGCCCAGACTGGCTCTCTGGGCAGTGGATTCCTTGAAGTAGTGACTGCCTGCTGGAATAGAGGAGGCCTTGTTCGTTCCTCTTTTGCCTCATCGTCTCCCTGCTCGTGTCTGCTTTCTGGGTGGACAAGGGCGGATTTCCAGCTTAATCCACCATGGATGTATAAGGGGAGCCACATGTGGATTCCTCTTTGTTCTCTGCTTTTCCTGTCTTTTCCTTTGGTTGTGTATCTGTAATTCATATATTTAAAGTATCCTACTTCCTTTTCTTCAGCCCCTCTCTGGACCTACTCACAAAGAAGACTGCTATGAGAGTTCTTAGTAACGTCTAAATCATTGATAAAAACTGATGTGTTATCCTTCTGTGGATGGATATTTTAGTAATTCAAGTAGCAAATCCCTAAGGTGAAATGTTCTTATCTCTTAATGACACTTTAGACAACAGAAAGTTGTGACAGACTTTTTTTTGTTTAGAGGTTGTCTTTATAATTTGCAAATTATATTAGCTAAGTAGCTGTCTACTGTCTCTATAATTTTTTAGGATTTATGTATTTTTATGAACTGGCGTCCATATGGGATGCAGGGACCCCAGGTGGTGGCTTTACAAAACTCTGTGCTATAGTGCTGGGCTCTATACTTCTTAATGTAGTTTGAGATACTGACTTTAATATTGACCTTGACCCAAGAACCTCCTCGAGAGTTCTTAGATCAAAGTTACTTCCTAGCAATGAGCATTAACATTGGATTTCCTTTGCTTCTCTACTAAAGCGGATTACTACCACCATCCTGCTTGTATGACCTGTCAGCATTGCTGTGCAGGCCAGGCCCTCCTGTGTGCTAAGTGTCGTACCTACATCATCTCACACAATCCTCACAATTCTGTGAGCTGCTCTCTCAGTATAAATTCTAAAGATTGCTTTGGCCTTCTTGCCCGATCTAGTTTCTTATCAGCTAACACTGCAGATTAAAACTTTTTTTTTTCTTCTAATTCTTCTCTGGTATTTGTTCTCCACTTTGGGATTAACTGCATCTTAGGATGTATACTCTGTTTACAGAGTATTGGTTTGAGGGATGTCCTTTAGATTTTGTTTGTCATCCATTATTTAGATCAAACTGTACAACAAAACATAGCTTAATGGTAGAGATTCAAAAATTCTTGGAAAATTTGCACTACTTTCTAATTCTGTTTTTCCATAAGCTTTTTGAAGGCTCTTCCCTCCTTATGGGGATAATCTTCCCCTGTCTGCTTTACTTCTAGCCTTGACATTCTCTCCTGTCCTCAGTCTTAATCCCATTTGCTTTTGTATCCGAAGTGTTACTCAAGTTGCCCTTTTTGGGGATACACAACCTAGCATGCCTTGAGATTTTGCCCGATACACAACCTAGCATGCCTTGAGATTTCTGTTCCTTTTATCACCCAGCTTCCTGTCCCTCCCTTTAGCTCTCATCACCTATCCTGTAGACTGTTCTCAACAGTTTCAGAGACTGGGAGCGCCCGTCTCGTGGCTCACTCCCCAATGCCTGCATTGGTGGGGAGCTTGAGAACTCAATCTAGATCTTATACATGGGTGAGAAACTTAATTTTTTTGAGCCATCACTACAGCCTTCGTAGGTCTGCTTTGGCAGGAAGCTGGGTAGTCAGCTAGGGTTGGGAATTGAACTCCATGATCCAGTGTCGGACATGAACATCTCAACCTGCAGGACAAACACCTGCAGAGCTGTCACGTTAGCACGAGTGAGATCATGTCCTCTGTGCTCACACTCCTCAGTGGCTTCCCATTTTGCTCAGACTAAAATCTGGAGTCCTTACTAGAATTTTTTTTTAAAAGATTTATTTATTTATTGGAAAGTCAGATATACAGAGAGGAGGAGAGACAGAGAGGAAGATCTTCCGTCCGATGATTCACTCCCCAAGTGAGTGCAACGGCTGATGCTATGCCGATCCGAAGCCAGGAACCAGGAACTTCCTTCCGGGTCTCCCACGCGGGTGCAGGGTCCCAAGGCTTTGGGCTGTCTTCGACTGCTTTCCCAGGCCACAAGCAGGGAGCTGGGTGGGAAGTGGAGCTGCCGGGATTAGAACCGGCGTCCATATGGGATCCCGGGAGCACGTTCAAGGCGAGGACTTTAGCCGCTAGGCCACTGCGCCGGGCCCAATCCTTACTAGAATTTATAAAACCCTCCTTATTCTGGCTTTTACATGTCTGAGCTACTCTATTCTTCCTTTAATTCTTTACTAATCTAGCCACATTGGTCTTGATTTTCTTTTTTTTTTTTTTTTTTTTTTTTAATTGTTGCTTACATTATATTATGTAGTACAGTTTTATAGGCGCTGGGGATCCCCCCTTGATTTTCTTTAGTTTCTTCAGGTATGATTCTGCTTTAGAGCTTTTGCATTTGTTTTTTACTCTGTCTCCAATGGTGTTTCCCTCATGTCTACACAGGCATCTTATTTCCTTTAGGACTTCACTCAGAGCCACTCTCTGTGTATAGCCTTCCCTAGCCACTGTGTATGAAGTTAACTGGCTCATCTACAACATTTCACTTTTTTTCCCCCCCCCCCGATGGGACTTATAGCCTCTCACTCATGTATATGCGTTCCCTCATTTATTTTCTTTACTGTCTGTCTTCCTGCATTACTAAGTTAGGGAGGTTTTGGCCTAGATAAGTGCTCAATACATAATTGTTAAATGATTTGTCTTACTTGCCTTAAATACAATGTGTGGGGGCTTTCTGTGATTACTAAAAATAATTGTAGGTTGACACTGGAGGCTAATGGAAAGCAAATTTCTTTTTGACAGGACCATCTCAGAGCTGCGGGCCCAGTTGGAATATGAACGACTGCGCAGAGAAAAATTAGAATGTCAGCTGGATGAGCATCGAGCAGAGGTGGATAGACTCAGGGAAATGTTGGAAAAAATGCAGGTCTCCAATTTCGTGCCTTTGGTTAGTGTCTTCCTTAACACATTTAATTTTCTTGAGAAACAGTGTAAGAATAGCTAAGAGTACAAGCTTTGGATGGGGTTGTTTGGGTGTGAGTCTGGCTTTAACTTTTTTTTTTCCATTTAGGAATGTCATCCACACACATACACACACATATATATATATACATATCTATATATATTTAGTTTACAACAACAATCTGTGACTTAGACGTGTAGCGGATATTGTTACCATTATGTACCACGTAAGGAAAAAACACTGTTTCCAAATATTTATTTATTTGAGAGGCTGAATGAGAGAGGGACAATTAGAATTTTCTATCTCCCAGTCTGTTCCCCGAATGCTCACAGCAGCATGGAGCAGGGCCTCCATCTCTGTCTTGCACAGGGTGGCAGTAACTCCGGTGCCTAGGCTCTCCTCTGCCGCCTCCCAAGGGCATCAGCGAGGCTGGATGGAAGCATGGAGACACTGGGACCTGAACCAGGTATTCAGATACGGGTTGCAGGCATCCCAAGCAGCAGCTTAACCTGATGTAGCCCACCTCCCACCCCAGAATTTTTTTTAAGATATATTTATTTTTATTAGTAAGTCAGATTTACTGAAGAGACAGAAGGATCTTTGACTCACTGGTTCACTCCCCAACTAGCTGCAACAGTTGGAGCAGCCAGTCCACAGCCAGGAGCTAGGCCCCCTTTCTGGGTCTCCCACTGGGTACAGAGTCCCAAGGCTTTGGGCCGTCTTCTACTGCTTTCCCAGGCCACAAGCAGGGAAGGGAAGTGGAGTAGCTGCAACATGAACTGGCGCCCATATGGGATCCCAGTTGCTTATAAGGCAAGGACTTCAGCCACTAGGCTATCGCCCTGGGTCCGATTTTTTTTTTTTAAATAAACAGTAAGAATTCTGGGTCAGCTGGAGGCTGTGTTCTTTTAATACTCTAATAATTATTTTGTAGCCAAAATAAAGTGCTTTACATGGAATCTATTTTAGACAGCTTCAGATCCTCCCAAAAAGCCAAAAGAAGGAAAAGAGCCAGCATTGAAGTTATTACAACATCCTGTTGCAGGTTTGCTGATTAATAAAAACTAAACTTTATCTAACACTTCACCAGTGCAAAGTTCTTTCACCTGTTATCTTACTGTATATCAGTGCACCTGCTCTCAACATTATAAGGAAATGGACTCAGAGGTTAAGTGTAACTTGTCTGAATTTATGGTTTGTAATGCTAGATTCAGTGTTCAGTTTATAATCTTCTGAATACATAGCCTCAGCTCTTTTCAAAACAGGAGTTATGAATTTAAAACTCAGGATGTAGGATGGGAGATCTCTGTGACTCCCTGGCTTTCTAGTAAAGAAAAACAGGTGGTGTGTAGAAAACCCTGAAAGTGACTACAGGAAATTCCAAGTGGTGCCTGGGATGTGTTTCAAGCCATCTAGTTTTAGAGAGAAGGAAGCAGACAGCACATTGGGAACTTTGGCGGCGTCTTTTCTGTGAAGATGACCGTGATGTGACCGCATGGACAGCTTATTGTGACACAGTGTAGGGATTTAAGTTCATTTTATATTTTATTTCCATAGGGAAGTAAATTCCTATCATGGATGAATTATTTTTGATACAGATTTTATCAACTGTTTATAATAAAAACTTCCTAGCTTTTTACTTTACATAAAGTAGCCATCTTTTCTTTTTTTCCTAAAATTTTATTGATGATTTTTACATAGCTGGTTAGGGTGATTAGGTCAAGGGCTACAGGAAGTTGGGTGTGACCATTATTTCCAAATTCCCTTTTTTTCCTTCCTGTACCTGGGGGAACAGGGGAGAAAAGGGGAAGCCGTACCCAGCCTCCCATCCATCCCAGGGTCCCCGATGTGTGGCATGCTCTGAGGACACTGCTCAAGAGGTTTCGATAGTTCAACAGTTCCAAATTACTGCCAGTCTCGCCACTTTAAGCATGATGAAATCTCTCCAGAATTCTCTGGTTGACATAGTCTACTTTAGAATCTCCATTTGTCTTGTAGTTGATCAACTTCCTCTGTTATGGTACCAGGTGTCCTCTGCGGGTTCCAGTGTGCTGCCATATCCTCCATGTGCAACTGGATATGCTGTCCACTGCTCTAAGCCACTGAGGAGGCCCAGTTCTGACACGTGCATTCCATGATCAGACCATGGAATCTGCAATTTTCTGTATGGCTGGAGTTCTGAGTCCAGCAATTCAGTTGGGGGGTGGGTATGTATCCCCAAGAAACCTCATCTGAGGTGATCTCAGACCTGATTTCTTAACTAATACAAAAGAATGTCTGTATCTAGTCCTTCCCTATTCAAACCACAGCAGCCAGCTTGATTTTTGTCTTGTTTTGGACTGCAAATCTAACTTATATGAATTAAATACTCATTTTTGAGTTTGACATTCAGTCTTGACCTACTTCACTAGCCTTATTTTAAATCTATTCTCCCTTACATGTGGCCTGTCTTTTCTTACTCCACATTTGCCCACCACCAAGCATCTGTTCATTCTGACTGTATACCTTGAAAGCTGTCAGCACTGCTTACTGGAATCCTTGCTGATTCCTGGTCACTCAAGACACACAGGATCTCTCTCCCCACCCTTTATAATGCTTTATAATGGTTTATAATCATTTACATTAGAGCTTGGCTGCTTGTTTTATTGAAGCACCAAAAATATTTCATGGCATCATCTAACTTCACCTCAGAAATATCGTGTTCCTCAGCAGGTACTGAGTACTTATTGTAAGCTGGGATTCATGTGAGCATTTTCAGCAGATTCCATCCTTATTCTACTAATGAAGAAATCAAGTCTATTAGCTATAGTAATTCGTAAAGTTACATATGGCTTATTAGATGTGTAGCCATGATTTCAACCTACATAACTTCTTGCTTTAATACCACTTATTACTACCTTTATAAACTCTTACCCTTGGTTTCTTACTATACATGTATGGAAATTTACTTTGAAAATTTTCCCTTAAAAAATACGTTATAGCAATTTTGCAGCTGAGGGGAGGGACAGAGGCATGGTTCTGTATCTCTAGGTGGTAATAGATAACAGTGTACACACTACTGGCATGTAAGTTAAATTAACTGAGCTTTTTATAAAGTATGGGTAGGTACACTTTAGGGAACTAGTTTCAGTGTGGGATTTCCCCAAGGGTATGTGCTTTGTCCTCTTGAGTTTTCAGATTTGTACTACCTAACTAGATATAGAGCATTTTCTGTTTTACATTTTTTGTTTATTTGAGAGGCAGAGTTAATGAGAAGGCACCCACTGGTTCCCTCTTCAAATGTCTGTGTTGTCCCGGGGTTCAGAGCAAAGCCAGAACTGAGGAGTCTAGCCCAGGTACCCCATGTGGGAGGCAGGAACCCATCACCTGAGGTCTCAGTACCATGCCCGTAGGGTCCACACTAGCAAGAAGCTGGAGTCAGAATGCAGAGCTGGAAGATGAACTAAGATGTTTGGTTGGGATACAGGTCCTGACATCTTCGTCACCTCACCACTCACCCCCAAAGCATTTTTGAAAGAAATATTCAAAGGTAGTTAACATCTAGAGAAGATCTATTGTGCTTCTAGTCTTTTCTGCTCCTTCCTGTAGATAAACAGCATTGGTGGTCTTCTGTTCTAGGATATGAGAATACCAAGACAGGTTAGAAGTATTCAGAAACAGTAGTGTGTATTGTTGGGGAAAGACAAGTAGGAAATGATACAAGAGCAACAAAGGGTTGCATGGACACACAGGAAGGGAATAGAGAGGCCAAGAACTGCGATTCCTAGCATTGTGGGGCTTGTAAGACAGCCCAAAGAGACTAACTCTTTTTGCAATTAAGTTAGTCATACATGGTCAAACTTATGCTAAGATAGAAGCAGAAATAGCAAGGTTTTATCTTTTAGGGATACCTGTAAATAGGTTATTGTATAATACGCGGTACAAGTTAGGTCTCTGGCACAAAACAGAACTGCATGATTTCTCAGGGTGCTGCTGATTAGTGATTAGCATGGTACAAAGCACTGGTAGTTCAGATTTGAGAACTCATTTACATAAAACCCTACAAAAAAATCTATGCACCTGAAAACACTTGGCATCTTTCCCTCCCCCAGACAATGCCAAAAGATGAAAATGTGTGCTAGCATTAAAAACTTTGAGGTTTTCCTTTGTTTACAGGACGATGACTCCTGTGAGTCAAGCAAAGAGAAAAGGAGAGTGAAAAAAAAGGTGTCTTCTGGGGGAATGTTTATGAGAAGGTACTGTGAGTGAAATCTTTAAATAAGCTTGTTTTTCTTTTAAAAATTGTTATTAACCTACATAAGCTTTTCTCAGACTCAGATATGCTATTATGTCAATTCTAAAAATGTCACAGGAATTAAAAAAAAATTAGACTTAAATTATATATCCTATCCCAAAGTATTCTTATGGGGATGTCAAGAAATTTATAAAGAACTAATTTAAAGATAGTGTAATCTGCTGATCGAAAGAAATCTATATACTAAAAATTCTATTGTAAATTCAATATTTATTTATTTTTATTGGAAAGGCAGATTTACAGAGAGAAAGAGAAAAATCCTCCTTCCATGGGTTCACTCCCTAAGTGGCTGCAATGGTGTGAGCTGAGCTGAGCTGAGCTGATCTAAAGCCAGGATCTGGGCCCAGTATGGTAGCCTAGTGGCTAAAGTCCCCATCTTGCATACACCAGGATCCCATATGGGTGCCTATTCTAATCCCAGCAGCCCTGTTTCCCACCCAGCTCCCTGCTTGTGGCCTGGGAAAGCAGTTGAGGACGGCCCAAAGCCTTGGCATCTGCACCCACATGGGAGACCTGGAAGAGAATTTGGACTCCTGGCTTTGGATCGACTCAGCTCCGGCCATTGCAGCTGCCTGGGGAGTGAATCAATGAATGGAACATCTTTCTTTCTGCCTTTCCTCCTCTCTGTATAGCTGATTTTCCAACAAAATAAAATAAATCTTAAAAAACAAAAAGCCAGGATCCAGGAGCCTCTTCCTGATTTTTCATGTGGGTGCAAAGTCCCAAGGACTTGGGCCATCCTTTGCTGCTTTCCCAGGCCATAAATAGGGTGCTAGAAGGGAAATGAAGCAACCAGGACAGAAACTGACCCCATACTGGATGCTGGTGTGGCAGGTGCAGGATTAATTTACTACACCACTGCACTAACCCCATGACTTTTAAAAGAGCATCTAGACTTGGGAGACAATGCAACATAAGATTTTTAAGTTATAGAAAAGCACAGTACAACCAAATATTTTATACATGAAAATTTTCAATAAAATGAAATCTGCTCTTGCAAAAACAGGAAAATGTGTGCTTGCTAGAAAAACTTATGTAAGTAATCTGCTCCCGAATTCTACCTGTGCAGTCCCCATAAAGAAAAAGAAACGTAAAGAGGCAGAATTAGGAACACATGGGTTTATTTTCTCTTCATCTTTTGACTCTTAAATGTGTTTGATCCAGAATTATACTTCAGTTTTGACTTGAATGCCTTCATTTTTCTTCCCCTCTTCCCTCTGTGAACTAGCAAAGATCTGTGACTATCTTGGAACAGTTGTTTAGATCCTGCCTCCTACTAATGATCTGGTTGTTAGCTTTGGGCTTTGCTGCTACTTCACATCAGCCTGTACATCTTCTGGACCTTGCCTGGATGCCAAAGGCCGTTTGGCTCAGTATCATCAGGATCAGTCGGCCCTGCGGAGAGTGCATCTGATTGCTGAAACTGGTTTAAGTTGATGAGGGGTTTGTAAGCACATGGTAAAAAAAAAATTTTAATAACTTTATTTTCACTTGCTAATTTATCTGTGATTGCCAAAAGGCCTTCAGACTGTAGTAATAGTTGTCAGTATTTAATGGGCACTTCACTTTGGGAGATCTGTGCCAAGCAAGTCTTTTAATCCTTACAACATTGATATTAAGTTTGTATATTTTATAGCTGGAAGTTAGTAATTCTGTCTAGGATCACACATCAATTTGGGATTTCAAACTTGGCAGCAGCAGTTTAGTCTATATTCTCATAACCAATACTGAATTATAAACTTCAGGGAACTCACCTTGTGGGACTACACACAGCCTTTGCCCCTGCTGACCTGGTGATTAATTTCCGTTGATGCCAGCTCTGTAAGTGTTTGTAACACTTGGCTCAGTTTTCTCAGAGCCGTGTCTGTAGTCTCTGTTGAAGTGAGGCGGAAGAGTACTAAACAGTACTAAACAGAAACCTGCACCTTGGTTGTCTTCTGCTCTCCTCTTCGAGGTTAACAGGCTGTTCCTAGGCTTGTGGCTTTTGGGGGTAGGGACCAACTTCTAAGCCCCCACTTACGGTTAAGATAACCATAATCATTAGGATGTGAGCAAAAAAATGGTATGTAAATCTTTAGGGTTATAATCCAAAAAGCAAAGGGCCGTTTCCTTTTGTCCCTTTCTTCTGGAATGTGGATATGGTCATTGTACCTTGTGAATGAAGACAACACCAAGGATGGTCAAGCAGTAAGGTTAGCCCTGGCTCCATGAAGGTAACCCAACCCTAAGAATGCTTATACAAGAGCTATGAAGTAAACCCATGTAAGCCACTATGATTGTGATTCATTCTGTGGCAGCAAAATTAAAGTTGTTATATTATCCTCAAATTACATACTTATTTATAACACCCTTATGTATTATTGTCATGTTAATAAAATACAGAGGGGAAAAGGATATCAAAGGATGTTGTTTTATTCCTGTGACCCAACAGACTGTCCATTTCTTTGGTACTCAAGCTGGAAAATATTAGTATATTAAGAGTGTGAGATTACAGCAGTGAAGGGCCCTAGGTCTGGGTTACTTATTTGCTCAGTGACCTATAGCTTGTTTCTTCATTGGGCTTGCTTCTTCAGCTGTAAAATGAGGATACCACCCCTCTTAGAAGTCAGCTGTGACAAATAGATGAGTTTTAAAGATTTATTTGTTTTTATTGGAAAGGCAGATATACAGAGAGAAGGAGAGACAGAGAGGAAGATCTTTGTTGGTTAACTCCCCAAATGACAGCAACAGCCAGAGCTGAGCCATTCCGAAGCCAGGAGCCTCTTCCAGGTCTCCCACGCGGGTGCAGGGTCCCAAGGCTTTGGGCCGTCCTCTACTGCTTTCCCAGGCCACAAGCAGGGAGCTGGATGGGAAACAGGGCTGCTGGGATTAGAATAGGCATCCATACGGGATCCTGGTGTGTTTAAGGCAAGGACTTTAGCCGCTAGGCTACTGTGCTAGGCCAAAATAGATGAGTTTTATTAAGCATGTTTGCTGTCAAATATTCCAAAGTGGCTCTCATTTTCCAAATTAACAGTAGTTTCAGAGGGTGCCCGTAGCCTTTCCTACTGCGTTTTCTTGATCTGTATTAAAAAAACATTACTTAAATATTATTATAGAACTGAAGTCTGACAAATGAGGCATTATAACCTTTGAACTGTTCAAATTACATTGAAGGCTTTTTGACTCTTACCTAGTCTATCCACTAACCAAAGCAGTATGAATGGAACGTTAGCATCTGCTCTGGAGCTACAGGTGACACAAGCTAAATGCCCAAATTAGTTTTTTCTTAAACTCAGTATAAATGAAACACTCCCACAGTATTATAATCAAATATAATAACTAAGAAGTTTTGAGGTCAATAGAAGATTTCTCATACCAGCTCTTCCGCAGGCATTTAACAAGCTGGAAAAAGATGGTGATTCAAAAAGTCCATGGAAAATATATATCATGAAGGCCCAGTGCAATGGCTCAATGGCTAAATCCTCATCTTGTACCCATCAAGATCCCATATGGGTGCTGGTTTGTGTCCTGGCAGCCCCACTTCCCATCCAGCTCCCTGCTTGTGGCCTGGGAAAGCAGTTGAGGTCAGCCCAAAGCCTTGGGACCCTGCACCCACGTGAGAGAATCAGAAAGTCCTGCGTTTGGATCAGCTCAACTCTAGCCATTGTGGTCACTTGTGGAGTGAACTAGCAGATGGAAAATCTTCCTGTTTTTTTTCTTTATGTAAATCTGATCTTGCCTTTCCAATAAAATAACTAAATTAAAAAAAATTATATATGTATACATGTATATATATATAATGAAAGCTACAGAGAGAAAATTTATCAAAAATGAACTTGTATTTTTCCCAAACTTTTAGAAGTGCCCTCAATCACAAAAGTTTTTTTTTTGTTTGTTTTTGTTTAGAGTACAAATGGTGGAATGGAGAGGTTTTTTTCCCCCCCTTTTTTTTAAAGATTTATTTTTATTTGAAAGAGCTAGAGAGACAGAAAGCTTCCATTTATTGGTTTACTTCCCAGATGGCTGTGACCGCCAATGCTGAGCACATCACAAGCCAGGAACCTTTTCAAAGTCTCCCATGGACTTGAGCCATCCTTCACTGCTTTGCCAGGCCATTAAGCAGGGAGCTGGGTCACAAGCAGAGCAGTGGGGCCTTAAACTATTGCTGAAATGGGATCAGGTAGTAGGCTTAGCCCACCACACCATGGCGCTGGCCCGTAGAGGTGTAGTTTTGATGAACCTGGGAACATAATTCAGTCATTTTCTTTTAGGTATTTCCAAAATCAAAAATCAAAAACTCCAAAACTAACACTAAAATGAAGCGTCAGCGGAAAGGATATAGGATCTGGAAGCAATGGGGATAAGGTATGGTGTGTTGGATGCTTCTACTCATTATCCGATGCAAAGCACTTCACTTGCTAAATCTCTACAGTAAAATGAACACAGATCTATTTACTGGTTATAAGAGGACTGTGTGTCTTTGTTATGAACAAGTCCCGTAAATAATGCCCCTCCTATATGAGTTGTAAACATAATTGAGATGAAGAACGGACAAACTGATGCTTGTCTCAACAAACATACTTACTGATGAAACTGATGTTGGGGAATATGGTCAGTCTAATAAAGTTCTTATCCCTGAACTCCAGAGTTAGACAGATGTACCCTGTCTCAGATATCAGTATCCTGGGGCAGACAGCAGTTAGGGCCTGCTGGTATAGAACAGAATGGAATGAAATTATTGACCAACAAGTTAGATGTGGGGAAAAGGTAAGCTGGGCTGCTGCTTCCAAATTTTTAGCTGTGGGTAAGTCATTTTACTTCACCTGGGGCAGAGTGGACAAGGGGACGAAGCACACTAAAAATGTTATGCTATGATAGTTTCCTTCACATAAAGCAAAGAATTTCTTCTTATCATTTCAGTACCTTTGAAGACTGTAACAATTATTTACCTGTTTAATGTCTCCCTTCTCCACTAAGATTGTGAGTTCCATGAGAAGGAAGCCACGTTCACCTTTTGTGCCTGTGGGAAGTTACTATGCACTGTATTGTTCAGCACCCCGCCGGCCGTCCAGGAATTCTGGCCTGATCTCCAACGCGGGAGGTGGCAGGGATTCAAGTACTTGGGTCTGTTGCCTTCACAGGTGCATTATTAGGGAGCTGGACTTGAAGCAAGCAGCCAGGACTTGACCCAGCCAGTCTTAAGTAGATGTTAGTATCCCAGACAGTGGCTGAATCCATTGAACCCCAGAGCCCGCTCCAGCACCGAGTTCTTTAGAGTACAAAGAGAATCTTACTGTCACTCATTCATTGGTCCAGATGAATCTGTCTCTTGACTACTGTATATTCCAGGTTCCTATTTACAGCTAAACAAATGACAAGGCTATTTTGAAAAATTCACTACCAAAAGTTTAACTGCCAATTCATGAAATCTTTTGAAATGTTTAGCACTTTCTGGCCACTGCTTCTTTATTTGGATAACATTGAAGAACTTAGAACATAATTATATTACAAGGAAAAAAAAGTAGACCTAATACAAATTGAATAAAAATGTGAATTTCCTCATGAGTTTGCAGTTTTCAGTAGATAAATGAAACTACTAAAAGCTGTGTTTTATGTAGTAAATGTAAGATGGGTTAACTTACACTGGCTTAAGATACGGGATAAACTGGTTTTGTATGAAAAATATTAAATCCATGTAATAAAGCAACCATATGTTTCACATGGTTATTCACTTGTACTAAAGCACACATTTTAACATTTTAGTTCACTATAAAAAAAGAGAGGTCACTTTCCAAACAATTGTTTAATAATCTTTATGTTATATAAAAATGTAATTGCAGCAGTTATCAGTAATAAGGCTAGGTTAGGCAATGGTTTTTTCAAACAAATTTACCGTTCAAACATAAAGCTGATTTAGTTTTTACGAACAATCAAAATAAGGACAAAATGCCCTTTTTCAAATAAATCAGGCTGGGAATGACAACTTTTCAACATAGCTGATACAAATGAAATAAAAATACCTCTTCCCATTCTAAAACACTTCTCCTTAGTCCAATGCACTCTGAATCATCTTGTGGTAAAGTGATGCTGCAAACGACAGTGTTACCACAAACCCCTCCTTGCGTGGTGCTCTGAGAAGTCACTGGCAGCAGCCGAGGGGCATTAATAGTACTTCCAGATTCTATAGAATCCCAATGAAATTGCCAGGCAAGTAAACACTGATGCTGTGGGGAGAGAAAAGCCGTTAGAAATCATGTACTTGAGGTTATCTTGCAGGCACAGAAATGCAGCTCTCAGTTAAAATGAAAAACAACAAATGAAATCCAAATAATTTTCTATGGTTTTCATTCCCTAGAAAATTTAACTAAGGATAAAAGGTATCTGTAAGGGCAAGATTAATGGCAGTTCATCTTAAACAACAAACTTCCTGTATTTAGGTAGATACAGTAATTTAGAAATGTAGCCTATGTATATGTGAGAATATGTAAGCATTAATCATTAACCTTAGGATGATAAACTATAAATCCTAATTTTAGGTCTTATGACAAATGAAAATGTATCTTTAGGAACTGCCTGGTTTCCAGTTTAATTAGGCACAGAACAATTTTTTTTAAAATGGAAAATCATGGATATTAGGCAAGCAAAGCAAATGATTAAAGACCATCATTTCATTAATTTTAAAAAGTGGGACCGATTCTCTCAATATACTAGAGGGAAGCTGGACATTGAGAAGATTAACACTAAGAAATGCTGTATCTGGGCAATTATAAGTTACCTCATTTGATCCTTATAGTGGAGTAGTGTTCTGAGCCATATAAACATATATTACATATGTCTTAATAAGTGTAATTAAAACCCAATGTATAGATGAAGCAACAAGTCCAAAGTTTTTGCCACTAGGTGGAGCAAGGATTCAAGATCAGGTATACCTGAAGTAATTTTTAAAGCGATTCTGATATCTGTATTTATACAGGACACCTGAGAGATTCAATCTAATTTATTATTTTTATAAAGTGTGACTATAACATTTGCTAATTTAAGAGATTAAAAAACTAAATATTAGTTTTTCAGATTATCACATATGCTTCTGGTGAGGAGTGATATTTTATTCCATTATTAGAATACACAACACTGTCACTGTAACACATACACAGTTTCTCAATGTTGCTGTTACTTCAGCTTTTACTTCTTGACCATGCTAACTATGGAGCACTGCTTTAGAATTTGCTATCACCTTCCATGGCCTCTTTTCATCTTCCTCTGTCTCCCACTGGCCTCTTCAAAAATGTAAAATGCCTTGGTGGCTACGTTCTTGGTACTGTTTTTTTAGTTTTTACAGCTTTATTTATTGAAAGAGAGAAAAATCTTCTATCTGTTGGTTCACTCTCCAGATGACTGCATTAGCCAGAGCTGGGCCAGGTGAAGCTGCAAGTCAGAAGCTTCATCTGGGTCCTCCATGTGGGTGGCAGAGACCTAAAGAGCAGGGTCATTTCTTTTGTTTTCCCCAAGCCATTGGCAGGGAGCAGCTGGGACACGAATCAGCATCCACATGGGATGCTGGTGTCACAGGCAGCGGTTTTACTTATTATGCCACAGTGTTAGCCCTTCCAGTACATTTTAAGATTCCATATGTGTTAATTTATTTTTCATCTGCCCAGAACAGACTATACAGGGTAAGTTCAAATTACAACTTTTGGGCGGTAGACTACACCTCTGCTTCCAGAATTCAATGGTAAGGCAATATTAGTCCCTTGAATGCCTAAGTGAAGTTGGATACATGATATTTAGAAGTCAAAGATAACTAATAATATACAATGGGGAAGTAAATAAGCAAACTGATTAAGGTTTATACTTATGAAGTTTAACCTAGTGGTCAGGATACTCAGGAGTGCCTGGCTGTGACTGGATTCCAGCTTCCTGCTGATGCAGACCTTCGGAGGCAACGATGGCACTGGAAACCGGGCTCTTGCCACCCCCTGGGAGATGTGGCTGAACCAGGCCACTGTGGGTGTTACAAACAGCAGATGGGCGCTTTCTTTACGAATATCTGTCTCTCAACTGCTGAGTCTCACATCATGTTTAAAATTTATAATCTAATGACTTTTTCTCCAAGGAAATTAGAAGATGTCAACTACTGCTGTTGAACTGAATGTCTCCAGAGAATTTAACAACAGTTTTCAAACTTTGTAGCATTAGAATTCTTTCTTCAAACATTAAACAGAAGGCCCAAAAAGATAAATACTGAGCCACTCAATGTTGGTCAAGAGAAGTGGATATTAGCTGGAGGTTTCCTTGACCACTTCCCCAATTCAGTGGTGGTGGCCCATAAAACCACTCTTGGTGTAAATTTTATTTATTCAGCTACATACTAATATCAATATATTTTTTAAAAAGTCTTTTTGGGCCCGGAATGGTAAACTAGTAGCTAAAGTACTCATTTTGCATATGTCAGGATCCCTTATGGGAACAGGTTTAAATCCCAGCTGCTCCACTTTCCTTCCAGCTCCCTGCTTGTGGCCTAGGAAAACAGCTGAGGATGGCCCAAAGCCTTGGGACCCTGTACCCACATGGGAGACCTGCAATAAGCTCCTGGCTGCTGGCTTTGGATTGGCTCAGCTCAGCTCAGCTCAGCTCAGCTCTGGCCACTGTGGCTACCTGGGGAGTGAACCAAAGGGTGGAAGCTCTTTCTCTCTGTCTCCTTCTCTGTAAATCTTGACTTTCCAATAAAAATAAAAATAAATCTTAAAGGTATCTTTTTACCCCCCAATTTTAAATGGCCATAGAAATTTGTTGCATGGAAATATTAGCACAATGGTAGGATAGGGACTTGTGTGCTTACTCAAAGATATAGAAAGTCTTCAAAGAAAATATGTTACAACAAAGCTGTGCAGATTTCCGATTGTTTTGCACCACAATAAACTTGCAATACAAGTTCCTCTATGGAGTTATTCCCAAAATGTATATAATGGTCAAACCAGCTGAGAACTAAATTCGGGCCTTCCCAAGTGAGGGGCAGGGATTTGGTTGTCTGAGTCGCTACTTTCTAGGGTGTGCGCTACAGGAAGCTGGAACTGGGGAGGAGACGGGGAGGCAAGCCAGGTTACTCCCGATGTAGGTGTCTCACCAATAAATATCTGCCCCCTGAACTTTTAGTTTTATTTTTCATTAACATTTTAAAGTAGGTACACACACAAACACGGCTTTTCCATGTAATACTGTTCTTATTAATGAAAAATGGAAATTCCTCTTCATAAAAGGGTAATGGCATTTTCATACAATGGGATATTACTGTTTTCTGATAAAATGTGTACATACATACTAATGAGGGAAATTATTTAAGATATTTGGTTAAACTCTACAAAGTTGTGGAATATAATGACAAAATTTTTGAAATATATATAATGATTATATACAGAAGAGTAAGCCTAGGACCCAGCAGCGTGGCCTAGTGGTTAAAGTCCTCGCCTTGAACGCGCTGGGATCCCATATGGGTGCCGGTTCTAATGCCGGCAGCTCCACTTCCCATCCAGCTCCCTGCTTGTGGCCTGGGAAAGAGTCGAGGACGGACCAAAGCCTTGGGACCCTGCACTTGTGTGGGATACATGGAAGAAGTTCCTGGCTCCTGGCTCCAGATCGGCGCAGCACCGGCCGTTGTGCTCACTTGGGGAGTGAACCATTGGATGGAAGATCTTCCTCTCTGTCTGTCCTCCTGTCTGTATATCTGACTTTGTAACAGAAATAAATCTTTAAGAAAAACAAAACAAAAGAGTAAGCCTAGAAACACAGACTAAGAGTAAATACACAGAGGAGGGGATTTTGAAGACTTGCAATACTTTTTGAATTACATGAAGAATTTATAATTACCACTTGACCAGGGCATTCTTTCAACTCACTGGGCCTGTAACTGTCAGGTGGGGAGCCTGTGTGTGGCACATCATGTGACATCTGGATGGGGCATGTGCTCAGCTGGCTCAAGGAAAAGCTCATCTAACCTCTCACAGGACTGCTGTGTTAACACCTACACTTTACTATCTGACTTCTACTCAAATCCTATGGAAAAACACAAGCTAAATAAAAAAACTATTCATGGTGTAGTACCCAGTTTAACATTGTATAACTTTGTGCTTATGTTTATATATTCAGCATCCATAACTTGCTTTCTTCTATTAGCAAGTTATGCAGTTGCCTGTTTAATCTAATATAGCCTGACACAGCTTCACAGCACTACAGAGTACCAAGCAATAAGGAGTATGTTATATACCCCGTGCTAACATATTTATATAAGGAAGTAGGAATGAACAGCACTGAAAATAAAATGAGATCAAGTCTTACCTGCAAGGTAACGAATTGTTTCAAGTTTGTTAGACTCCATGAGTGTTTTCAAGGAAGCAATTTCACTGTCAATTTTATTACTGATCTCTGAAATAACACTTTTGGTTTGAGTATCCTGTAGTAAGAAACAATAAAGAAACTCAATTTTGTGGACAAAAAATATCTGGGCTAATAACTGTACATTACAAAATTATAAATTGGGCAAACAGTAAAAGCAGTTATATTAAAATCCAATGAGTGTTATAAAGTGACAAATCACTTTCTTCTATTTAAATTTGGAGATGATGTCTTAGGATTATCACATAGTAAGGATGTCCTGCTAAAAGCCTCAAAAGATAATTTGAAAGCTCCATAACTGTCACTATATGAGTATAAAGTCTTTTGAATATTCATGGTTAAAACATTAAGTGTATTATACAAAAGGAAAGTTGTTTGAACTGGCACCAATACCAAAATAACAGATCTGAGGGGGAACACTAAATGCCATGTACATAGAGCAGAGGGGCAGGGAGCAGAAACAAGATGGCATCTAGCACTGAAAAATTAGTTCTAAGTGAATTTAATATTTTCATTTTTATCTCTTTATTTTACCAAGAAGTATAAGAAGATAGGGTGCTGGGCCCGGTGGCGTGGCCTAGCGGCTAAAATCCTCGCCTTGAACACGCTGGGATCCCATATGGGCGCCGGTTCTAATGTCAGCAGCTCCACTTCCCATCCAGCTCCCTGCTTGTGGCCTGGGAAAGAGTCGAGGATAGCCTAAAGCCTTGGGACCCTGCACTTGTGTGGGATACATGGAAGAAGTTCCTGGCTCCTGGCTCTGGATCAGTACAGCACCGGCCGTTGTGCTCACTTGGGGAGTGAATCATTGGACAGAAGATCTTCCTCTCTGTATATCTGACTTTCCAATAAATAAATAAATCTTAAAAAAAAAAAAAAAGAAGAAGATAGGGTGCCTGAAAGGACAAATGGCTCCTTTCTATGAAATGAGCAAGACTGATGTCTAGTACAAGGTTGGCTGGTGGTGCCAGAACAATGGCTCAACTAGCTAATCCTCCACCTTGCTGTGCTGGCATCTCATATGGGCATTGGTTTGTGTCCTGGCTGCCTCTCTTCCACTGCAGCATTTCTGGGAATTCAGTGTAGGATGGCTCAAGCCCTTGGGACCCTATACACACACTGGGGGTCCCAGAGGAGGCTCCTGGCTTAGATTAGCTCAGTTCTGGTCTGGCCGTTGCAGTCACTTGGGGAGTGAACCAGTGGATGGAAGATCTTATTGTCTGCCCTTCTCTGTAAATCTACCTTTTTGATAAAAATAAATCTTGAAAAGAATGTAAGCCAGTAGCTTTTAATATAATGACCAGACTAAGTTAGAAATGTGAGTTATGCTCAAGCAACAGTTACTAAGATCTTAAAACTTATCCTAGGCATTTATATAATTACCAGTTGTGGAACACTAACACTGAATGTTTGCCTCTTATAAAAAAGTTATTTTTTAATATAAAAATAGTTTAAAGTACTATGTACAGAAAGCTTGATTCTTATTCAGGGGCCACAGCTCAAGTACAACCATCTGTGTATGGCAGCTTTCACAAGTCGGTGGAGAAATGTTAAGTGACAGCCAGGCATCTTGAATGCTTCAGGGCTGGCTGGCCTTTTAAGTCCAAACTGACAGACATACAAGAAGTCACACAAAAATTATATAAGATGAATTTTTACATACTAATTACCTTCCTGCTAAATTCTGTGGTTGCTTCCATAAGTTGCTTTTCTTGATCTGTAAACTAAAAGATATGAAACAAAAGATCAACAAAAAGACTAAAAAGAATTAAAAGGAATGAGTAACAAAGCATATGCTCTTAGAAGTTCATTACCATATCTGTTACTCTGCTCCTTTCCAGGTTGATGTCTAGCTTATTATCTGCTCTGGTTCGACTGGTTTCATGCTTTAAAGAAAACGCAAACATTTTTTTGTAAAGATTTATTCATTTGAAAGGCAGAATTACAGAGAGGGAGACAAAGAGATACAGATCTTCTGTCTGCTGGTGCACTCCCAGTGGCCACAATGGCCAGAGCTGTGCCAGGCCAAAGACAGAAACCCAGAGATTCTTCCAGGTCTCCCACACAGTGCTAGAGCCTAAGCACTTGGGCCATCTGCTGCTGCTTTCCCAGGCATTAGCAGGGATCTGGATGAGTAGAGCAGATCAGATGAAACTTGTGTTCATCTTATCTGGACAATAACATGCTGGAGTCTATGCTTTGTAGATGCTTGCAATGAAAGAATCTCAACTGAACTTGAACTATGGTAATGCAACAAGGTGGAGGAATCCACCATGGGGGGGCGGGGTTTGAGGAGGAGAGGGAGGAATCCCAGTGCCTATAAAACTGTGTCATGTGTCACATAATGCAATGTAATCAATTAAAAAAAAAAAAAGAAAAAAAACTTGTGTTCATATGGGATACTGGCACTGCAGGCAGCAACTTAACATACCACACAACACTGGCCCCCAAAATGAAAATATTTGAACAAATGATTCTGTAATAACTACTTGTACTGAAATTAGAAAGAGGAAAAAACAAATTTCACTTACTATTAACTGCTGCTTAACTTGGTCCAATTCAATTTTCATTTTCTAGGTATAATAAAGATCACATACAATTAGCATAAAAATAAAAGCTTATATAATGATTTATTTTAAAAATTTAAAACTCTGGGTTAGCAAATCTTAACAACCTATTGATTTCTAATACAGAGTAACAAAAAAATTAACACAATCATATTCAGGAAATAATTTCTTTAAAAACATTCGAACTATTTAGTATTAAACTCTGCTTTTGAAATATAATCTTCTTAATTAAAAAATATGATAGATTATATAACCTAAAATTCTCATTTAATAAAAAACATGTATTCCTCTTAAGTGATAAAGGCAATTAGGGAAGGACCCATGAAGTGGACCATGATACATTCAGCCCTGAGAATATTAAGATGAACTACACTAGACATCTGATGCAAGGATTTTTATTTTATGTATCTTTCATATGTGAAAAATACAACTCATTCTTTAGTACACAAACTACGATTTATATCTAAAATATTAAGTATGAATAAACAATATTCTTTTATCTAAAAAACAATTTACAAACGTGTAAAATTATTATCTGGCGTTATTGTTTATTTGAGTAGGATAAGTGTGAGATTAGTTAATTTATTGGTAATAAGTTAAAACCTGAGTCACCTCGTTCTCTGCTCTCAGATTTGCAAATTCGCTCTTCTCTAGGATGACCATGTCTTTCCTGATGGAATCTAAATGAGCCATTAGCTGTTGTACTGTTATTTCCTAAAAGACAAACGACAGAGTAAAAATAGCTTACTGATTCATGGAATGGTATACTTCAGACATGGAATTACATGAAATTTGAGAGTTTTACATGCCAGAGCATATAATATAGTTTGCTTAAAAAAATATATATATATACACACACACACACACATAAAACCTACATATTTTGAAACACCAAAATGAAAACAAGACGCAAGAAAGAAAAACTATTTTCCAGTTGATATAAACATATAGGGCTTTTAATGAAAAGAATCTGCAAAAAATGTTTACATGGTCCCTGAGAGTTCCTCAACAAATAATGTTTTCTGAAAACTTGTTTATTTTGTTACTATGATTTTAAGGGATTTTCTACACTGGGAAAATTCATTATGTAATTGAACAGCTGGGACTAGAACTGGTTTTAATTTTAAAATTTCTGGGTATCTTTCCAATGTCTGACATGGAAACAAATATATGAAAGAAAAGTTGGGCTATACATGGAATTATAGTCCTTTTGCTTTGTTGTAGAGAAGCTTTTGTAGATATGATTTGCAAAGAAAATGTAAGGGGGCATCAAGGAGTTCTTGTGAAAAAGTAGAATTACAAGGCAATGCAAATTTTCTTTGACCTTTTCTAGTTCCTTCATAAGACTGTTAATTTTCCAACTTACTGTTTATCCTTCTTTGCCAAAGTTAAAAGCAGATACAGGTAACCCAGTACTGGCATCACAGTTGTTTTTCAGGGTGAACCAGCAGATGAACAACCCTCTTTCTGTCTCTCCTTCTCTCTCTTTTCTCTTTATCTCTATCTTGATTAAAGTGAATTATTTTTTAAGAAGCAAAGTTACAAAAAGAGAGCTCTTAAATTCACTGCTTCACTCTCAGATGGTTGCAGTAGACAGAGTTAGACTGGTCTGAAGCCAGCAGCTTCAGCTGGGTCTTCCACTGTGGGTGCAGGGGCCCTAAGAGTGAGCCATCCTTTGCTGCTTAAGCAGGCACATTAGCTGGATTACAAGTGGAACAGCTGGGACTAGCATTTGTGCTTATATGGGATGCCGGGACTGCAGGCAGCATCTTTACCTGCTACACGGTGCCAGCTCCCAAGTAAAATAAGTTTCTAAAAATGACAGGATTAAAGTGAAAACTTTCTCTACAAAACAATAGCCTAACAAGCTTTTTTTTTTTTTTGCCAAGAGACCAACGATATCAAATAACTCAGGATTCAAATACAGACAGCCTGACCCCAGAATTCTTTTTCAAAGATTTATTTTTATTGGGAAGGCAGATTTATAGACAAGAGAGACACAGAGAAAGATCTTCCATCACCGGTTCACTCCCCAAATGGCTGCAATAGCTGGAACTGAGCCAATTCAAAGCCAGGAGCCATGTGAGTGCAGGGTCCCAAGGCTTTGGGCATTTTCTACTGCTTTCCCAGGCCATAAGCAGGGAGCTTATGGAGGATCTGGGATATGAACCAGTTCCCATATAGGATCCCGGTGCATGCAAGGTGAGGACTTTAGCCACTAGGCTCCCTTGCTGGGCCCAGACCCCAGAAATCTTTTTAACCTCAGCCTTCTGTGACTATGCCATCTGAAAATCATTCTTACAGGTTTATGTACGCTACACACCAAGGTTAAATTGTCTCTTGGTCATGTGTGGGAATTGTTACAGCTTCCATTTTCTAAAAATCAAGCCAGTGTTGAAACAGTCCTCCCTGACGTTAATCAGTATGGGACTGCAACCCCAACAAGGACCCGGGTCATATATTCTGACTTGGGCCCAGCATGATAGTGTAGCGGTTAAAGTTCTGCCCTTGAATGCGCCAGGATCCCATATGGACACTGGTTCTTATCCTGGCGGCCCCGCTTACCACCAGCTCCTGCCTGTGGCTTGGGAAATCAGTTGAGGATGGCTCAAAGCTTTGAGACCCTGCACCCACGTGGGAGATATGGAGGAGGATTTGGGTTCCTGGGTTCGGATTGGCTCAGCTCCAGCTGTTGTGGCCACTTGGGTAGTGAACCACTGAACAGAGTATCTAGCTTTCCAATAAAAATAAATAAATGTTTGAAATTAAATAAATAAATTCTGACTCGAAAAAATGGGAATTTGGGCTAGTGTTTGAACTAACCCTTTTTGTATAAACTCTATAAAGAATATATATATATATTTTAGATTTCTTTTTTTCAAAATCAGAATTAGAGAAGGAAAGAGAGCCAGAAAACTTCCATCTTTCATTGCCCAGATGGCTGCAGTGACTGGTCATATCCCGGCTGCTCCACTTCCCATCCAGTTCCCTGCTTGTGGCCTGGCAAAACAGTAGAGGACAGCACAAAGCCTTTGGACCCTGCACCTGCATGGGAGACCCAGAAGCTGCTCCTGGCTCCGGGTCAGCTAGCGCTGGCTGTGGCAGCCACTTGGGGAGTGAACCAGCGGATGGAAGATTCTTCTCTCTGTCTGTCTGCCTTTCCAATAAAAATAAACAGATGTTACAAGAAAAAAAAAAAAAAAAGAGATAAGTCCCTAAAATTAACTACTGTGAATTAGTTCATGATTAATAGACATAAATCAGTGATCCAGTTCAGGGAGGGAGGAGACAGAGACCTTACCCCTGCTGGCTCACTCCTCAAATGGCCACAGGAGCTAGGAGCTTCTCCCATGTCTCCCACATGGGTGAAGGGAGGAGGAAGCGCTGGGGCAATCATTCATTGCTTTTTCGGACAACGGTACACAGCTGGTTCCGAAGTGGAGCAGCTGGATTCCAGTGCCACATGGGATGCTGCGGCTGAAGATGGAGGCTTAACTTGCTATACCATGGAGGTGGCAGAAAAGCTGTTTTATTAACAGCCTACTATATGCCCTGATTCAAAAACATAATCACCACACGAAACCAATGATTTGGCAAAATTCTATTCTGTTACCGGAATTGTGTGGCGCAGTGAGTAAATGACCCGCCTCCGACACTGACGTCCATCTGAGTGACAGTTCATGTCCTGGCTGCTCCACTCCTGCTCACAGCTCCCTGCTGCCCTCCCTGCCTGGGAAAAGCGGCAGACCTGCAGGAAGCTCCTGACTCAGACTTAGCAGCTGTCGCCACCTGGTGGGTGAGCCAGTGGATGGACGATGTAATTCTAATTTGATAATTTCATGAAAGGTTCTTTTTTGTTGTGATTCTTTTATAAGGAAAAATAAAGATACACGTATTTTGAAGGTGGGTGGGTGAAAAGAAATGTGTCAATGAAAAAGAATATCTAATAAAACTGTCAGAAGAAAAAGGAATGGATTACCTGTTGAGCTTGAGTGACCATCTCCTTATAGATAGTATCCAGGCTGACATTGGATAAAGTGGTTAGTGCTGATACAATTGTTTCTGCTTGTGCTTTGTCAAATCCTGTAAGCAGTGAATTGGTATTTGTATTGTTATAAAAAATAGACACTGTGATCAGCATAGACAAAAACAGACTCTTGAACACTTAGATTGGTTTCACTTTTTCAAATGAGAAACATTCAACTTTTTTTAATGTAATAATAAAAGACAAAAGACGACTCTGGAAAGGTGTCAGATTAAGAGACCTGAGAAACGAATAAAGCACATCACATTAGACTGCATCTAAGTGAGGAGGGAAGTGCCAGAATGTTCCTTATCAGATCAGCTGGCAAAACTGGAACACAGAGGGTGGATTCAGCTTACTCATGTAAAAGGAATGGCCTTTTTAGAAGACAGGATCTCCTCCACAGAGTGGGAGGGGGAAAAGAGACTCAACAAAGGGTAAAGCAGATGGAGCAAAGTGTTTACCACAGGAGAATTTGAGAAAGATTACACATCTGTTCTTTGTACTCTTGTTGCAACTTTTCCAAGTAAAACTTTTTCAGGGGTGGCCAGGAGCCTGGCCCCTAGGCCGAGCCCCTGTGGTCACTTGGAGCTGGCCTTCGCACTCTAGGCCAGGTTTTTACGGTTCTCTCTGGCTCCAGTAATCACATGTCTTAGGATGCCAGCGATCTTTCCAAACAGGGCTTTCTGAAGAAGCTGGTCTTGGGCTGCCCTTGGGTTCTCTCAGGACACCATTTCTTTCCCAACTCTCCTGTTCTCCTTCATCCCTGTGGCACCAGACTGTCCCTGGCCTTGGCACATATCTGGTGGCAGCATCAGCTACAGCGCAGACTAAAGGGTTTTAAAGTTACTTTCTAAAAGCGTACTAGAATCTAAATTCTCACTAACTCACTTCTACTTTGATAATTTTCACTGTACATACTGAGCACTTCGCTTATCAGTAAATACACTTTAACCACTATTTGTCCTGGCTGTACACTATGTATGAGTTGCATTTCTATTTAAATAGCTACTCTGAAGTGTACTTAATAGTGATAGTATCGTAACTAGACAAATAATTATCAATTTTCTTTCAAAGGTATCACTGTTTCTTACCATGAGCTTCCAAGTCCTGGACCAATGCATGAGTATCAAAAGTTAGTTTCCTCTGCTCTAACGGGGTTATGTCCACGGGCCGCCTGTCATAGGCTTCCTTGGTTACGGTGGTCGAGAAACCTGACAAGAGAAGAGGACAGTTTCATAGTGAACTGGCTGCGGTCTGTAGCTCCTGCCGCATGCCTTGACCTCCCCTAGAGCCCGTCCCTTACTCCTGACCTGACAGCTCTGTCGTTCTGCACGCGGCATTCAACAAATGCTAATTGTTCGAGATCCTCAGGTTTCTACAGGAATATTTAATATGTAGACTAAGCACTGCAAGCTTGTAATCAAATGACTGGTGAAAATTTCCTTCTGGACCCAGGAGAGGAACTTTCTCTGGTCCCCATCCTCTTTTGCACTGACCACCAAGGTCAGGGTCGCTTAGGAGCTCCAAAATTAGCTCAGATAAAGAGGGACTAATATAGAAAGATTTAAACAGGAAGAAGTCAGCTGGCCTATAATTGCTCAGTCTGTACCTTACTGGTCAGGCTCCTGATCTGGCTTTTCCTAGACCTCACTAGGTAGCATGCAGAGTTCAGTTATTTCTCACTAGCTAAGTTATTGGTGATTCCTCTGCTCACCCACCTTAAGACTGTCCTACCCTTCAACTGTTAATATATGGCTTGTTAGATTGTTTTGATTGCCCTATAACGCACAAAGTTCTGTAAAATCTCACCCGAATACGATAAACTGCTAAGTTTAAATAAAAATGTAAAAAAAAAAAACAAAAAGCCTGGCGACTGTATGGCGGCTAGACAGCAACATTAGGGTGGACCCGCAGGTGCAGTCCTGACACACCATCAATAAAAGGAAGCAATGGACAACCGCATTCTTGGTCTCAAAGTCAGAAACTCTTAAACGAGTCCACTGGCCAAACCTGTGCATTCCAGCGCTCACAGTGTTTTACTAGAACTTTGGGCTCGGGGGTCCCCCGAGTGAAGGCGACAAAGACGCCAGGACGGCCTCGGGCAACACCCAGCCAGGAGAGGGAGGCTCCCGGGAGAGGAAGGGCAGGGCAGATGGGGCGGGCAGGGCGGAGCACGCGGGGCCCGAGCCGCAGGCCTGCCCCGCCCCCGCGCTGCCCCAGAGGAGGGCGGTCTCCCGCAGGGCCCGCCCCGGGCAGGCGTGGCAGCCGGGAAGGGGCGTGGCGCCTTCCACCCTCGGGCCCCGTCGGCCGGCGGGGCGTGCGGACACCGCGGCACGACGCCCCTTCTCACCTCTCCGCAAGCCCGGCGAGGAGCGGCCGCCGCGGGGCGCGAACCAGCCGCTGACGCCGCTTCCCGAGCGCAGGAGCCGCCACAGGCAGCGACTCCTCATGTCCCCGCAGCTTCCGAGGAGCGAAAGCGGAAGAAGATGCGCGAACTGCCGCTCAGGCTTTCGGGCAATGTAGTTCTGATACGATGGGAACGCTGGGAAATGTGGTTTTGAGCCTATGACAAGCACCCACGTCACGCGCAGGCGCGAGCCGCCGTCGAGCGAGGCTGGGGCTCTCGGGAAGGCCCAGCTGGTCACTAGCACGTCCCCCGCTGCCCTTCCCGACTGTGCGCGTCGTCCAGGGCCAGGCACGCGGACACCTGACCAACCCGGGGACAGTCAGTGGTTGTTCTGCGACTGGGCCTATGACCCGCACGGCAACCTGGACCTGGAGGGCTCGCTCGCTGAGCATTCTGGGAGATCACATAGCGGGAGGCCACGAATGCAGTCCACGAACTGGTCGTTCTTGCTATGGCGCTCCCTGGTGGACAGGAGGACTAGTTTACTGGCGCTGATCCCTCTCTGAAGATGGTTCCTCCCCTTCCAAAGCGGACCTGATTTTTACTATTTATTCCTCTGATAATTCAGGCTACTTGTGCTGGTCAAAAGCACTAACATATGTGAACGTTCTTCGTAATTCCGGAAATGTGTACAGTTTAGGCTTTTTATGGCTTATTTTTTTCTCACCAGAATCTGAATAGTTGACACAAAGTTTCATGCTTAAATGTACACAAAATGTTGTCAGCTAATTAATAAACACCAAATTCTAAACACTGAGGCACATTAGAAGGGGAACACTTTATTCTTTCCAGCAAGAGCTTTAACATCCAATTTAAGAGAAAGAGTTTGAAACGCTATTTTTAAAAATTGGCAATGCAAGGTCCCGGTGTGATAGTCTAGTTGCTGAAGTCCTCACCTTGCACACACCGGGATTCCCATCCAGCTCCCTGCTTGTGACATGGGAAAGCAGTCGAGGACGGCCCAAAGCCTTCCGGCCTTGCACCCACATGGGGGAACTGGAGGAAGCTCCTGGCTCCTGGCTTCAGATTGGCTCAGCTCCGGCCCTTGTGGCCATTTGGGGAGTGAATTCGTGGACAAAAGATCTTTCTCTCTGTCTCTCCTCCTCTCTGTATATCTGACTTTCCAACAAAAATAAATAAACCTTAAAAAAAAAAACATGGGGAACACAAAAATTTAAAAGTTTAATCTCATCAAGAGAAAATGAAAAAAAAAAGTGCTTTTTTTTAAACCAATAAAGATTATTTTTTAAAATCAATTCTCATTTGCTACCAAATTTGCAATTGTGTATGCTGATAGGCGTCCAAATTAGTATAATGTATCAGAAAAGCAGTTCAATAATATACATGGAACACTAAATTGAAAAAAAGGGAATCACTAGTGTCACTTTTTAAGAACCTAGTCTTAGGAAATAATCGCAACTTTAGCCAGGTTACTTAAAAACGATGGCTTACTTTGTGGTGATACGTGTAATAGTAAAAACTTAGAAAATAGTGTGAATATTCAGAAGTGATTCAGTAATAACTTGCAGGTGCTAATCAGTCCCGTGTTGCAGTTGATGAAATCATTAAATCTTTTTTAGAAATCTTAAGGACATGAAACCTGATATACTGGTAGATAATGCTAGGGTTTCATTCCAACGAGCTCGTCTTAAAATGATAATGAAGCATGTTAAAATGTATTTAATTCAGACATGATTTACAATTTTGTGACTTTACTATGGTGTGAGAGGGCTACACGTTCAGGAGAAATTGGAGTTGAAGTACTGTTCTAGTCCCCAGCCTTGACTTTTGACAAGCTCTGTCTGTGATGCTGGCATTGACAGTGGACTGTGACTCAGGGTCAGAAATGGATGGCACTGTTGCTGAAGCATCCCCATGACCCGCTTATTAGTTTTAACTCAATACTTCTGTGACCCAGAATCTTCCAACATCTATTCCAACAATGATTTTGAATGACCCGAAAATCCTAACTACTTACGTGGCCCTTGGCAGAAACAAGGTTTCCCTCCCTCTGCTTTAGATATTTATACATTCCCACTGTCTGCTTGGCCTGTTGTGAATAAAGAAAGCTTTGAACAGCTCCCAGCTGAGGCTGGGTATCTGCTGACACCTCAGGGCAATGGCCCTTCACACCTGCCAGCATGCCAGACCCATGTGGTATCAGCCGTGCATGTTAATGGTGCGTGCAAGTGTGACCATTCTGGTTTTTTATTTTAGTAGAATCTTTGGGAATTAACCTGAAGTATTCCACACTCCACTATTTTTATAATGGTCTTTGTGTCAGGAGATTTTAACCAACTGAAGACTAATGTCTGTTTGGAGTGCGTTTTAGGTGGATGAGGTGGAGTTGTGATACTTGACATGTTGGTTGTGTTAAGTGCATTTTTGACTTACGATAGTTTCAATCTATAATGGCTTTATTGGCATGTAATGCCACTGTAAATTCAGTTGGGCAAAATCAAGTAATACAGAGTCTGAAATGAAGCATTGAATATATGAGTGAGTTATTGAATCTTATATTGAAAGTGAAAATCAGAACGGTTGTGTGGGTACATTAAGGCACCATTATAAATTTGAAAAACAGTGTTTTGTTGAAGCAAGCCCTGTAATATGGTATGCATATGACTATAACTATGATAAATATAAACTGGAAAAGTTCACTGACCAGTGAGTGAGACAGTATTTTTACTTACCTTAAATTAAGTAATGATTAGGGAAAAAGTGGGTCTATTTCTCCATGAATACCTATTGGTTATTATTTTTATCACCGCAAAGCTTCCTCCCCAACTCACCTTACCAAATTTGAACCAATCGTGCTTTTTTTGTGGAAATATCACTCAGAATCTGGGATTCTTGGTAGTCTTCTAGGACTGGTAGGAACTGGAACACAGAGGTTCAGGGGTTGGGGCAACCTTTTTGGTTTTTTCCCCTATATTTATTTGTATTAGAAAGGCAGGTGTTACAGAGAGAAGGAGAGACAAAGATCTGTTTGTTGATTCACTCCCCAAGTGACCACAATGGCTGGAGATGAGCTGATCTGAAGCCTGAAGCTGCTTCTGGGTGTCCCATGTAGGTGCAGGGTCCCAAGGCTTTCGGTCATTCTGCACTGCTTCCCCAGGTCACAAGCAGGTAGCTGTATGGGAAGTGGAGCAGCCGCAACACAAACTGGTGTCCGTATGGGATGCCAACACTGCAAAGTGGAGCATTAACCAGTTGAGCCATCGCGCTGGCCCCTGGGGCAACCATTTCCTACCCAGTGGGCCAGAGAAGTGCAATGAAGAAGCAGCAGGGAAAGCAGACAGAGTAAGTCTAGTTGGGATTCAGCTGGTAACTATAGCTCCTTCCTGAGACTGCCCTATTGCTTCAGCATGGTGTTAGATTTTCCACTGTTGTCATTTGGAAATCATTCTTAATTTACATAAAACAGTTCCTCCAAATTTGTTACTGTTCTTACATAATTTTATTGAGAAAAATAAAAGGCTACTGCACAGGGCATGCTTAGCCTGGCACAGAGCAGCATCGATAAGCAGTGCTAACACCTGCTGATCTGACTCAGCCTGGGAGATTATTACCCATAACAATGCTTTTGCAAGTGTTGCGAGCAGAAGCCTCCTCTGCTGTTTGTTATGCCCTGTCTTTGTCAGGTGGTTTGTATAATGAACTGCTTTGGGAAACACAACACCTCCCTCTGAAGCGGAATGCCTCGTGATGCTCAGGGTTCCTCGCTGCAATGCAAGCCATCATGTGCTCAGGCCTTCACCTGGGCCTGTATGTATCATGCCCATTGGATGCTGAGCAAAAGGAAATCAACCCAGTTGAGTTGATGCTCCTGTTGATGGCTGTGCTGGGTGTGAGAACTGATTCCAGCCAAGGCATAGCATGGCTTTCTCTGGCATCTGTTGTGGCAGGCTGATTTCATAGCTTGTGAGTCAGGTCAGGTTTCAGACCCGTCGCAATTCTTCACCATCTTTGTGCTATCCTGGACTGAGAAAATTGTTTTCATTCTTTCAGTTTCATCCCCAGAAGTGCCTCAGTGTCAGTGAAGTTTTAGGCTAGCTGTTGAGGAACATGGCCACCTCACACTGCAGCCACTGCTCTGGGGACCTCATGGAGAGATGACGCAGCCTTTTCCCTTGCAATAGGTGAAGTGAAGGAACCCCGGGATATTTATAAAAGCGGGTGAATGAAGCCTTGATTTTCTTCTTTGGCTTTCTTAAGAGATCTTGACACTAGGGGGCGTCAGTGCCCAGAACAGAAGACAATCCTGATTCTTCCTCTGAAGCAGATTTTATGGTTTGTGTGTAATCAGTCCTTCAGAGGAGCTCGTTGTTGCAAATGCTTTGCACAGCTTTATACTAACACCACATGGTTCATGGCTTGAAAGTAACCACCAACTTGTGCTTGCTTCCGCAGCGATGCACTAAAATTGAAACGATACAGAGAAGGTTAGCATGCCCTATGTAATGATGACATGAAAATAACCACGGACTCTTGCACCTGAAATTCTGGGGAAATTAAATGAGCTAGAAGGCTGACAATAGCACCGAATCATACATCCACCAGTTACAGTATTTCAAGTGAAAACATAATTAGAAGAAGCAAAAAAAGCACTGAAAAACTTGTGTACTCTGCAATGTGGTAGCCTGGTGTTTCTCATTGATTACTCATTTATTCTTTTGGCTGATCCCTTTTGAAAACCTTTTTGGCAAGTGAAGATCCCTTGTAGTATGCATCTCTACTCCCAAATAAAAGATGAATGCCCAATGAAACTGTGAAAATTTTCTTAACAGTAGGATGGTGGACTCTGCTGTTGTCTGCACCTGAAATGTCAGGATACACTTAGATAGCAAAATGATGGACTTAGGACTGCTGCTGAAGGACGATGCCATTGTGTAATAACATGGGGGAAAACAGTGGGGGGGGGGAGTGGCAATTAGGAGAGTAGAAGGGCAAATCCCCAAGCTTATGTAATTGTATTATGAAAAGCAAAATAATAATAATAAACACTCGCAGTTCCCCAGGCACTTTGTTAAGCCACGAGGAAACGGAAGACCCAGGGTGGCATTCCCTTTTGCGGGGGA